CACTTTGGAAATAGAAGAGATTGAGGCTGACAGCCTGGACTCTGAGATTCCACCTTGCTCTCAAGCCAGGGAATTAAATGCTACATCTGCTGAGGTTCATCCTCCTGTCCAGTCTCTAGCCTCCAGAGATATGGCTTAGCTGCAAGGCTGGATTAAGGTAGTTGGGAGCCCTGGTGCAATTCCCAAAATAGGGGCCCTTTACTTCCAAAAAAGGAATGCATAAAATAATGTACCACAAAAAATATTGTGGTCTCTTAAAGATAAACACATTTACAATGGTGTTGAATATTCATGGATTACAAAAAACATCAATCCTGAACATATGCAGTTTCACAATTGTCAGCAAACTGCAAACACGTTTGTTTGTGTGTGTGTGTGCCAATCTTGATAAACAAAAAGAAAATACTCTGGGCATGTGTACTTAACTCATCACTGCTTTTACTCACTTTCTGCCTTTGACCCGTCACCAACTCTCGGCCTAAAATACCTCAATGGTGGTTGTGAAGATTTAGGTGGTGCAAAATGACCTCAAAAGGGAACTTAGTGCTTGTATCATAGACATCAAATGTTGGTGCCTTTAACTAAACTGATGCATCTTTGTTCAATAAGGGGTTGTGTTTTTCTGCACACACGCATCACAGATTAATTAGTACAGCTCCAAGGCTTCAACCACTTTTAGTCTGGTTTGATTATTGAGTTTTAGACCCCTATGTTCCTAAAAAATAAAACAAAGCCTGCTCCCGCTTTCCAGTGTTCTGCACTGGGTATAAACATGCCTGATCAAAGGCATCTCCATCAAATAATATTTAAAACCCACGTTTAGCAATGAGTTTCATTGGGCATTCTGGTACAGTCGTGTTCTTTCTTTCTTTCTCTCTCTCTCTCTCTCTCTCTCTCTCACACACACACACACACACCAACAAACACACAAACACTACTTACAAATATATATTCCACACACACCCATTTCCACTTCTGCCATCACTGCATTGCCTTCTTTAGCCCCCAAATCCCCCCCAAAAAGGTGCATAGGCAGCCACCTTGTAGAGTACCCTCTAAAGTGAAGGGGAGAGGGCTACTTCTCAGCCAGCAAGTGTGGAAGAGGGGGCCCTTCTGACTTCTTGAAGCACTCTGCAGAGTAATATGAAACCTGTTTCCCCTCCCCTCCCCTCCCCTCCCCGCCCCCAACTTCAGTAAAATATTATCTTCAATCATGTTGGTACCCTGAACATTATGATTTATAACGTCTCTTCCCAAAGGACTAGGGATGTACTTTTTTTTGGGGGGGGGGAGTTCAAACTCTGTGCTGCCTTGCAGACATGGGCCCTGGTGCCATTGTTCCAACTGCACCATGGATAATCCAGTCTTGCTTGGTTGCAGGGGGTTGGACCAGATGACCCTTTGGGTTCCTTCCAACTGTACGATTCTACGATTCTGTCAATGCTATGTGTTGTTATAGGTTAAATCAACACACTCAAGGTACACAGTGGAGTGTCATGTATTGTCAGAGGCCAGCCTGCATTGTTAAGGTTTTGGAAATTTTTGTTTATTAGGAATGGGCCTATCACTGGGCAGGTTATCGATGGTCAGGAACTGAATTTTAAAAAATATGTTGCTTGATGACGGGAAAGGTCTTTCCCCCACTTCTGTTGGAAGGTGACACCCTGGCAGGGAAAGGGAAACCAGCAAGTTTGAACTGGAACAGAGACAAGGCTTATCCACACTTAGCTTTCTCCCCGCTCTTTCCAGGCAAGGTCTGCACTTTAAAGCTACGTGTCTAGGCATCATTATTGTCAGGGAACTGCCATCAGTGCCGAAGGGAGAGAGCAAAAGCCAGAGGGATTCCAGAGAGCGTCCAGGGATTGGGAGAAGCAGCCCATCTTCTGGGGAAGAGAATCAGCGTAGCACCAGTGGAGAAGGGGGGCAGATGGGGGAAGCGGCGAGGCGGTCCCATGACTCCTTGCCTGGGACCAGCGGGGAGAGTAGGGGTCCTCCGTTGCCCACGCCCTCCTTGCGCAGAAGGCTTTCGCGCAGAGAGAGTAGGAGGAGACTAGGCGTCAAAGAGCTTCTTTGCTGGAAGAAGTTTAAGAAACGCCCACTGACGGATTCTGCCAGCGATTGAGTCAGCCACGGGTGAGTGGCTGTCCGGACAGAAAAGGTTCACTTAGGCAACCCAGCCAGGTGTTTGCACCCAGCCGGGGAGATAAGCACCGGCTTACGCACGAGCAACCCCTAGAACCATTACAATTATTTTTGTTCCAGAGCTTTCCCCTGTGAAAACCCACTCTTTAGCTCTCAATCGTAGCAAACGTCAATCTGCTGTTTGTTCTGATTAAGCGCTAAAGAGCAGTTTTTTCATAGGAAATCTCCATGAAAGCTCTGGGGCAAAAGGTAAGTGTGGATAAGCCCTCAGAGACAGCTGTGATATTTATTTGTTTTTTAAAGCTGGGGCATGGCTAAAAGAGGTACAGTTGCTCTTTGGATATTTCATGCCAAATTGGTGGTAGAGCTGCCTGCTTCAAAAATCCCTTTTCTTGTGCGTTCATGGTAATTTGTGCTCATGATGCTCTCAGGGTGGTCATGCGTGATCCTGCTTTCAATACTATTTATGCCAGCAAAAAGTTTTGGAGTGTTCATATTGCTTCATTTTCAGTCAGTGCATGCCCTGTAACATCCTGCTGAAATATCATAACTTTATTCCACAAATCTTCTGGTTATTTTTGTCCCACTTCTATTGCTCTGTGGCCCTTTCAGACAGCCATAACACTGGGAAAGCATCACAGAACAACCAACAAAACAGACAAAATCCACCGTTAATTTACTATTATTGTGTTAAGGACATGTTGCAGAATACATCCACAATAAAACACGAGTCTGGAGGGTCTGCTTGCATACTTATAAACAAGCAGATGTTAAATAGATGTCACAAGTCTCCAGTGCTGCCTTGTCTAAAGCAAGCCACCCTATGGCTCTTCCTCTAGACTTCTTAATGGGGACTTGGGAAACATTTAACCGTAAAGTTGTGGCACTGAACAGCTAAAAATTCCAGACTCCATATTTTGTGCCAAGGAGAGCCACATTAAGAAAATCTGGTATTATCTTTGCTTATTTTTGGGGACGAAGTGCCAAACTGTCCATGACATTAATCACATGATTTGCCCCTGAGTGCATGATTTTTCTTTCAGAAATCAAGACTGGGACTCTGGAGAGTGGGGCATAAGTGCTGTTTAGCTCACTGCAGTCTCAATTGGAAGGGGGGAGGCATGGCTGCAATTTACATGAGTGGGGGAAGGCCTTGCAGGGGCCCAATCTGCATTGAATTGCAGTGGAGGAACTCCTGCTGGCTATTTATGAAATAAAAATTGTGCACTCAAGGACAAACTATGTATGTGATCAACACCACCTATAGTTTGGTTCTTAATGTAAGCAAATTACCTGCTCCCTCTTTTTCCTTGGTTCCTCTTCTTATTTTTGTTTTCTGCTGTTTTGTGAGATTAAAACAAGGCTGGCGGTTTGTTAGAGGGAGGTGGGTGAAGAGAGGATGGGTGAAGAGAGGATGAGCCTTGTTTTTTTGTGACTCATCAGTATAGAAAGGAATGCAAACCTTAAATAAGAAGGCTTCCCCAAATATGCACACACGCAGAGAAACCACACTGTGGCAAGGTCTGAGCGGGATTAAAAAAGCCTTTATTTCTTATGAACGCCCTAAAATAGTATCGAAAACCCTAGCCCCTCCCCCCCATCCGGATGCCTGGGTCCCTGCCCCACCCAAACCCTGCCCCATTCTGTCGTGGGGCGCTGCCCCATGGTCCCACTTCCCCACCCCACCCCAGCGAAACCCCACCCATTCCAAGAAAGACCACCCCCACCCACATAGCCCGCTCCCTAAAACAGCAGTTCTAAAGTTATTACTAAATTGCCCCCCCAAAATAGGAAAAGGGACAAAGAGACACAAAGAGAGAGAAAGAGAAAGCAAGGTTGGGAGTGTGAGTCTGAGGTTATTATGGGTTTATTTATGGTTGTTAGTTTACTTGTGAGGGAGACTGCATGTGGTCCCGATTCTGCACATGTAGTTGTATCTCAGTGTTCATTTATTGGAGGTTTGGGGGGTGCACCTCTTCTGTGGTGCATTTTATGTCACACATTTTCATGTATGCTACAGTTCCTATGGTTTTATATCTCCATGTCGGTGGGTCCTGTGCACACTTAGTGAAATCTTTAGCAGATTTTGCTTACAAAAGATGCGCGTCTCAACAAACACATTGCCCTTCCTGGCGCCACCCTTTGCTGCTTTAGACTCAGGGGCCACTTCACACATGACGTCGCTTCCTAAACCATTTAGGCCCACAGTCCTGCCACAAGGCAAGCAATAGCGTTACCCTTATCTGCACGCCGGGGAAAAACGTCAAGTGTGCCGCAGTCCTGGCACGGCTGCTTTTTGCAAACGCCTCTGTCGGTGTGATTTGTATACATGTGTGATTGTGGGTTCCTTTGAAATGCTTGTGTGGCTTCGATCCTGCCTACCTGTATCTGAGATGGAGGCTGTGTGCTTGCAATGTTTGTTTGTTTTTTTCAAAAAATTGTGGTACCTTTTTTTGCTGTGCAAGCTCCATTAAGCGGCACATTAAGTCTGTTTTGCGCAATGGTGGGTTTTATATGCAGAGGCTCGTTTCTCTACCTGCAGGCGTGATTGTTTGGTGTGTGCTTGTATGCCTTTGTGCTTGACTGTGGCTGTGTGATTGGGAGTATGTTCCCCCTCCCCTCCCTGCAGTTCACTGTTGGCAGTGTGTGCACCATTTTGGGAGTGACCGTATGTGACTCTGGCACCTGGGACCATGCCACTCTTCTTGCCACTGTATTGGATAACTTTTAGAGTTGCGAGGGACTCTAGAGACCCTTGGATCCAACTCCAGCCCTGAGACAGGACATCCTGTACACTTAAAGTCTCCTCAGCAGATAGGAGACCTGCCGGCTTGTTTGGTGGCTGAATAATTAGGGGTGTGCCAGCACCAGCTGGTTTTCCCAGAAGCGGTCTGGGCCTTATCCCAGTACTGCCCCCCTCATCAGGACTTCATTTCTGGACTTTTTTTGCAAAAATGCTAGCACCTCAGTAAAAAAGAGGATTCACTGGTTCCACCAGAGTTCCCTCACAATTCCTGTGACCAGACACAGTGAGGATCTTTGCTCCTTTCTCCCTTTGCAGCTCAGTAATGCCAGCCTGACAGGATGTGGCCAGATCTATACACTTAAAGCTCATTGTTTTATGTCCTCTCCATCTGCTGTTCTCTCCCTCTGCTTTCCAACGCCTTTTTAAATATTTGAAAACTGTCAACATCTCTCTCTCTCTCTTCCCCCGCCCCCTTCATCTTATTTTTCTCGAGGCTAAACAGACCCAGTTACTTCAGCATCTCCACATATGACTTGCCTTCCAGACCTTTGATCATCCTTGCAGCTCTCCTCTGAATCTTTTTCAATTTGTCAACATCCTGCTCGAACTGAGGTGCTCAAAACCAAACACAGCACTTCAAACGAGGCCTTGCTGAGCACAAGCCTCACTTGGCTAGGGGAGGATGGATGAGAGGAGAGGTGCTGCTGCTTTACTGGGTCAAAGTGGTGGCTGGGACCTGTGTCTGCTCTGTGGTCCATTGAAATTGCGTGCCAGGGTAGCTGCTGCACAGTGCCGAGGAAAGCTGACAGATTAAAGAAACAAGTGGCTTTCTTTGCTTTGTTGCTTCATTCTGTTTCTGCTTTTCACAGAGAGAGAAGTGCCACAGAGCACGTAGAGACCACCGTCTGGGCCCTGGAGATGCCTACAAATCTGGTAAGCCCAGCCTCACCTTGTGGCGTCCTTTGAGCAGTCTAGCACTTTGGCAGGGTCCGCCAGGGTCAACTGGCTGGGTCTGTGGGATGCCATTTTAAACTTCCTGCTATGCTGCAACAGGAGCACTATGGGAAGTTTAAAATGGTGCCTTGTAGATGCTTGTGGCTGCTAAGGAAGCCTATGGCCACCAATGCACGGCCCCTGCCCCAGCAGAGGACACTTTGTTGAGGGCCCTCTAAAGCCTGTAGCCAGACCTGCCTTCAGACCTGCTGAGCACTTCAAACTGATCTTGCAAAAATTAGATTTGCAGAGTGCAACGTTCTGTGCCTAACACCAAATTGGCACTTGCCTGGAATTGTAGCACACACTGTGTCTCCGAGAGGGGCTGGGACTGGTGACACACAGTCTACAAGCCACCCGTGGCCCTGGCAAGGCTTTGTTTCATGTGCATGGTCTTTTTGATTTCCCCAGAATCCTCATTTTCAAGGTTTCTGGAGAAGACTGAGAGCCTTGGGTAAGGGGCAAAATGACATGACTGCTTCATGCCATGACCCTTGTGTTGAAATGTGGGTTGTGCCAAATTCCCATAGAGCAGGGGCAGGATGAGAAAAAGAGTGCAGCACAGGTGGAAGGTGAATGCTGAACATTTTTCCTGCCCGTGACCCTATTACCACCACCACGTCTCCTGAGCTGCCTTTTTCCTGGTAGCTATTACTTCTGGTTTCACCCCATCAGGGGAACACTGCTTATGGAGAAGTGGTTGTGATGTTGGACTTGGCAGCGGCCTGGTTGTATCATATGGGTTTGCTGCCTTCAACTCTAGTTTGCCCCCAAAACTTGAGTTAATCTGTAATGCTGCCCATGGACTTTATGTTACTGACCTCTGCTTTAGGGAAAGTTCCAAACATTCTAGAGATGAAATATAATAAAAGAATACCCTGTTCTCCCTTTTCTCTTCTGGATTCTTGCTGTCTTAAGGTTTAGAACCATGCCAAGATTCCCATCTTATCTACTAACCATTTATATTCCTGTCTTCCATGAGTTTTGTCTCATTGTTGTTGGTTTTTTTTCCAAAAAAGAAATAGCTCAGTTTGCCAATTAATAGCCACATCATGTTGCAGTGGATCTCAGATCATTTGCAAGCTGAGTGAAAAACTCTTCCTTCAGACCTGCTACTTAAGTACACTTGGCTTCTCATATTTGCAAAAGTTTCTCCTAGAAACTTGCAAAATTCTAAGGCTGGGCATTTTCCAGAATAGTGCAGAGACTGGGCTTTCAGCTGGCTTTAAGGTCCGCCTTCCCACTCATCAGCAGTCTCCAGCAAAAGGAGAACTTGTGTATCTTCTCTGTGGAAAGGTGCGCAAGATGTACCTGCATTGGGAGCACATTTATCTTTCCCTGCAATGGGGGATGCACAGTTCCCCCCTCAAGCAGGAAGCATGGAAATAAGTTTTATAATCACTCTCACATCCAGTGTTCCAGCTTCCCAGCTTAGAGCAACCAGCATTAAGATGGTGTGTGGTAATTTTGGTGATGAGAATATACAGTATATTATCTGTTGAATGAGGTTTTTATTCTATTAGATTTAATTTTGTTTGGTTTGAAGTGCAGGTGCCCTTTCAGTCTATATAGTCATGTTTTCTGTCATTTTCTGCAATAGCTCTCTTAATACGGAGAGCTTTGGTGCACTGATGTAGGATGTGTGAAACAGACACTTTCAGTCATGGGACTGGTTTGTCTATGTGGTTTGGGGGGCAGTGATTGCTTTTGCCCATTACAGCGCACAAGTGTGTGTGTGTGTGTTTTCATTTCAGCATCCATGATGTTTGCATGTGTTGCTATCTCTATCATAATGGGTGCATGATTGCAAGATTAAAGCAGGGGGGAAGGAGAAAGAAGGTGGTGGTTAAGAAGAGCAAAGAAAGCAAGAAGGGAGAAGAGGGAAATGTGCAGGGGGGGAAATATCACAGTTTTCTGTTGAACAAAGTCACAGTTTTGTCTCCTAACATCCCCTCCCACCCAGAAGTCCAGACAGTTTTGTGGTTATTGTTGTCCAAGCCCCTCCCCACCCCCTCCGGAGCCTGACTGATGGCACTTCCCCCCTGCTGCCAGTCTACATGGGGACACAGACTCTCTCCAGGTTCATGATTGGTTCATTTCATTGGCACTCTCTCGGGTTTTGTTCAGAGAGTAACAGCCCTGCTGTTGCAGTAGCCAATTGCCACTGGCCACAGGAACCTACCCCATCGATGTGCCACAGGGTGGCAGAAAAGCCCTTTTTCTGGATATAAAAGGTCTGTTATGGATACACAGGAGAGACCAATTCCCCTCTACCCCCTGCTGTAAATCGGCTGGTGGATGGGACTGGGTGTTTTGTCACAGGGAGCTATTCTGGTGGCACTTGGGGTAGCAGTCTCAGGGTGTTACCCCTCTCTGACATATCATCTCCACTCCCCTGGGTTTTTTAATGGGATTATTGGTGGTTCCAGTCCCCACTGTTTAATCTGTGATACTCTTTTGGTTGAACACTTCCCCTTTTCTGTGGCAGGGAGATGTGGTCCTATCACATATATTCCTGGTGGCATCCTGGTGGCATGCCCTTTGTCTTGGTGGGTTCACTTGTGGCACTGTTCTGCTTCCCCCTCTCTGCAGTCATCTTCGTGGTCCTCCCTTCTTTCCATTCGGTTGAACCACAGCGCCATCTGCACCACCTCAGTCCCCACTGTGTGAGCTCAACTACAGCTCAGTCTTTTTTTTCCTGCTGTCCCATCTGAAGCCTCTTTCCCCACCCCACCCCCACCCCCACCCCACCTGTTGCTGGTCATACCTCTGACTCCAGGCTAGAGAAATGGGCAGAACCACGGCGGGCAAAAAGCTCCCCGCTTCTGCTCACCCTGCGTGGCAGCCACTCCGGCGAGAAGCCGCCCTGGTGTCGATGGGAGGCCCCGCAGCGCACCATGTGGCAAGAGCTGAGGTCCTCCAGGCTACGGGAGGTGGGATGTAGAACTCCGCCAGCTGGCCCCAGCTCGCAGGAATGGTGATGGCAGCGTCGGTGAAAGCCGTGGCGGTGGCGAGGAGCCAGGCATCCATACAGGCTACAGTGGCGGTGCTCCCAGTCCAGCCGGCGTTCCAGACGCTCCTCAGAACAGCTCAAGTAGCGCAAGGCCTCCTTGCGGCATGGTGGGGTGGGTGGCGGGAGCATTTCCAAGCTCAGGCAGTGCTGGCAGGGACCGTGGCATCCGTGGCACTTGGCCAGCTTGTCGGCTGACCAGTAGTGCAGGGGCTTATGCGTGGCAAAGAGCTGCCTCTCTCGGGACGGGTATGTGCAGAAATAATCCGGCGACTGGTACCAGCAGCTATGCCCATCACTGTCCCTCTCACAGATGTCAGAATCAGAGTCAGAAAAATCCACATAATGACTTTGGCTGCGCAAGCTGGCACCTACGGCAAGCGGGTGGGAATGACTGCGGCAAATGTGAGCCCGGGAGCTCCTCTCTCGGCTGGATGATGTCGGGCATTTGACTTCTGTCTCGGCTCGAGGCAGAGATGTCTCTTCAGCATGTCTGTAGCGGGAAACAGGTGGGGAGCGTTCATCCTCATAGGACAGCCGTGTGTAGCCATACCGACCCCGTTCTTTCCCAAAAGGCCGACTGCTGCCCCGTTCCAACTCACAAGGGCTTTTGGTCGCATAGCCACTGGAGGAGCCATCATACTTCTTCACCTCTGGGGCTCGGCTTGCCGCTTTCCCGGCTTGGAAACTTTCATACAACCCACGGAGGGATTTGCGTTGCCAGCCCGATGCCACCGGTGGCATGTCGGGAGTTTCTTTCTCACGCACAATGGCAAAATATGAGGGAGGATTTTCCAGCCCCCGGGAGGGTGGTGGCGGAGACAGCTGACAGGGCGCCATCTTTTTGCCACTGACGTGATCGGACAGCCCTTCTGGTTCAATGGGCCCATAGAACCGGTGGAAGCCATCTGAGAAAGGGCTCTTGAGGCTATGGCGTGGGGGTTTGGTTGTGGGGAGCTCTGTAGGCGTCGGAGGGTACAGATCCTTGTAGCAATTGGGACTACGAGCGTGGCGCCACCGTTCCACAATGCGCCGTTCACGAGGCAGGAAGCTAGAACAGGGAAGTGGAGGGCCAGGGGGGCTGGGCAACGCTGGGGCTGCACCTCGCGACGGCCCGTAGGTGTGGTTAAGGATGGGTAGCTGCTGCTGATCTGGGACTTTGGGGTCTTCACTGCTGCAACAGCTGTACATGCCCTGGAGCGAATTGGAGAAAGAGGGATAAATAAGGGGGCTGTTGGAACTGTAGCACAACTGCCAAACTACAGGGAGGAATACTGTTGCTGTAAGACCTGCATGGGAAATATGGTGGGGACCATGATGAACCCGAGTACTAGCCTGGGGGCAGGCTCAGTGCATACTACCCCTCCTTCCCTGGGGGGTGGAGGGGATCCACAAAGAAGAGTGTAAAAGTCATCTGTATTGCATGCTCCTTGTGAAACCCATCAGGACTTCCTCTGTGTGATAAAGTATTGCAGTCATAATGCTCTCTCTTTTTTGGGGGTGCTCTTTTTGCAGTTCTTTATAGAATATCATAAAGAACGGTTTCTCCAGTTCCATGAAAGTGCAGTTACTTTCTAACCCATAGCCTAGAAATCTCACTGGGGGTAATTAGCTCTAGCACCACCTACAACATCACTTTTCTCTGCTCACCAGCTCCTCATGTCACTTCACCCCATGATTGATTTTCTACATGCACCATTCACCCTGCCCCATCCTGGCTGCTGCTACACAGCTCTTCTCCCCTGAGTACAGGTAACTAGTCTCACAGATTCCTCACCCCATTTCTCCGTCTCAGTGATATTCATGGGGTCACAGCCCACACTTTGGAAAACCCTGGAGTGTATTCCTGATGGTATCCCATATCCCTTGATTGTGAAGGACCTCTTGTTATAAGACTGTCTTCCTGTACCAGGGAATGATAAACACCAGGGAACTGAAATTCTTTCCCTCCTATCCTTCACATGCACACAATCTTCCACCCCAAATGCTACTCCAGATCACTCTCCACCATGGAGAGCCTTCTGCTATTAACAAAGAGTGCATTTCTACCCTGTCTAGCATATGCATTCTCCCACCAGCCCTGAGCCTATCCTTCATAGTAGGTCATTTATTTCAGAGATGGATCACTGTGGCAGTGAATGGAGGGAAGCAGAGAGGAGGATGCGGTGAGAGGAGGAGGAGATAAATACAAGTGGAGAAACTGACATAGTGAAGATCAAAAAAGAGACAATGGAAACTCTCCAGGTAGAGGAATCAGAGAGTAGGGTGGGATTTTTGCCACCTGGCTGAGTGATTAAAAGCAAAACAAACTTAGCCTCAATGCTAGGCGGCAGCAATTTTTAATCTGCATTTAAAGTGATCAACATATGCAAATGAGAACTATAAAGAACTCAATTTGTGCTTTAGCAATGAGAATCTGTTTTGAAAGCCTGGGGAATGGCCTGTTAACGTCATCACTACACTACAAATTTAATCTATTTTGAAATCTTTTAACTACCAGGCTTCCCCTCCTCCTTGTGGAATGTGGTCTGTAGTGTGCCAGCAAGTCTTTGTTAGTCTTCCCAGTCATATCATAGAAATACCGTGCCCCAGGTTTCCCTCTGTAAGCCAGAACCATTTAAAAGGCTTGACGCCAGTTTAAATTTGTAGTATAGACATAACAAGATATGATGAGTATGCTCCTCTTTCCTTACCTAGTAACCACAGCCAATCTGGTGGCAGAAAGCAGGGCTTTAAAATAAAGTAGTATGGCTCAAACCTCAACACCCATCTTTAGGAGTTAGTCACTAAGTATCCAGCATAGAAATGAGAGGGATATAGAGACAGCAATGTTGAAATAGGACTTCCTGCATTTTTTTCTTCTGCAAGTGAGCTACCGGTAGATTTTGTTTGATGGATGTAGTAACCAGCAAATAAAATGCAAATATGCTAGTCTCTCTGGTACTGTTCTACTTGATTGCTCAGGTACGGTGCCAACCTCCCTTTTAATTTTTTGAAGTGCAGCAAATAGATTCATTCACCTGAACATTAATTTTTCACCTTAATTTTAAAAGACCGTCAACACAATTTTTTAAAAGTTGAAAAATTGTTCCAGCTAATTAGCTCTGTGCATCCAGCTTCTGCTGCAGACAGGCTGAACTGGTTTTCCTCATATCAGTCCCACAGTGACCCCTACTATTCAGGCTAGGCATGTACAGGTGGTAACCACTTTAGGCTCATCCAATTGACATGCGATCGCTGACACATGGGTCCTTTTGGATCCAGAAGAGGGAAGACCAGGGGCGTAAAGGGCCGGGCATGCTGATGAACGCTGTGCTGATGCACATGGGGGCTGGGAATGGAACCACCACACAGAATGGTCACCACCTGTATGTACACAACCATAAATTAATAGCTAGGGAAAGGGGAAAATGTAGACGGGTGTATATATTATTTTCCGTGTTAAGGTAACCCAAAGTCTGTGATTTGTACTATGAAAACCTGCATATACAGTACTGACTTCTTTTGTATAATTTAGTCACAGCAGAATGGCAAAGAAAGATGCAGGCTCTATAGCCCCATCTTTAGACCACTAGAAAACTTGCAGAGACCCCACCTTTTGCTTTTGAGACTGTATAAGTCATTGTCTGCACATACACTTCCATGCTTACCTTCACAGCCATAAAGGCTGGAAATGGTTGCTGCTTTCTGAGGGGAAAAAGAATGGTGAGATTCTAAGGATGCTGATTTCTGCATACAGGTGTGGTGTGATCAAAGATTATTCACAGTCCTGGGTGAAAGGAGAGTGATGTGGAGGGAGGGAAGAGCTTACTCTCTGGACAAAGAAATTGACAGTAATGGATGTTGAAATAGCTTAGTGGGTGAGCGGATCAATGGGCACCCAACTGTCCCTTGCTGATCTTGCAACCTCACCCTGCTGAAGGCGAGCAGGAAGTCCAGCCGCCCTGTATGTCTCATACAGTGACGCAGTTTCCAGTAGATTAGGTGTTCCCAGGCAAAGACCAGCAGACTTAGTCCCATGGCCACCAGGAGCATGTAGAAGACACCCGCCATGTTGTCTATGTCCAACTTGCTACTCATCACCTCAATTTTGTCATTGTGGCAGATCCCTGATAGCCACAGGCGCTCTAGCAGTTCAATCTCATCTGAAACAGAGGAGGGGATGGGAAGAAGAGATGGAACACAAGAAATGTGCCTTTTCACAACCTTCCCTTGGTATGGTCCATTAGGCATCAGTCGCAGAAAATGCAGGAGCCCTTTTGCTCAATGGTAGGGAATAGGGATTTTGTTCTGAGGTCTCAAATGAAATAAGCTGTGTTTATCTAGTGACAGTATAGAATCTGAGTGTGGGAGCTTGTGGAGACAGGAGACAAGGGAGCAGAACCATTCTGAGCTTAGGTACATACTTAAAGGTCAGGTATCACAAAGTACTTACCCATTGACACTATTTAATTATCCTTTCATGCTTAGAGTTGTGAGAGGTTGTTCTCGTCCTGTCTTTCCAGGCATGTATAGGTGGGTAACCTTCAGCATTTTACTGTAACAGCTTCATGGTGAGTACTGGCACCTCTCTCTTTTGGTTTAAAAGTGTGACACTTACTGTAACAATTTCATGGTGAGTACCAGCTCCTATTTTTCTAGAAAAAAGCACTGGCCAACATTAAGCCAATTTGCCAGCTTGGACTTATTTGTATCTGCCTATTTTTACACCTCCATGCTGGTGAAGGAAGGCAGGGCTGCTGCACTTTTAATACAAGCACTACAGGAAGAAATCTAGCAGGTCAAGCTCTTGTGACTAGGACTTGTAAACTGGGGCATTTGCAAGGGTGTTTAGTGGCGGAGTTTGAGGGGGAAGCCTGGAGTGTTGTCTCATGGACCAAGAGACATGGATGACAAGGGAGCTGCAGCAGTGACCTACTACACCTACAGCAAATCCAAGCTAGAAGAGAAGGTACAGCAACTTGAGGCCCACCTATCCACACTTTGAGCTACTGAGCAGATGAGGAAATTCTTGCTAGAGAGTGGACTGTCCTGGAACAGAGAGGCAGGTGGGATGTCCCTAGGGAGGTAGAAGATTGTGCAGTGCAGGAGACGAACTCCTGGAGGAACATGACACAAAAAGCAGGAGCCGTGTTAGGAGCCATGCTGTGTCTCTGGAGCTGCAAAACTGACTCCATGCCCTCACTTTGGACACCAGTTCTCAGCCAGCGTAGCAAGAACAGCAGCTGCAGACCTTAAAATACATCAAGGTAGCAGTGGAAAGTACAGTGTATGGAACGATTCCTTCTGCTCCCCAGAGAAGGATGAGATGTGTGGTGGTGGCAGGCAATTCTCCACGGAGGAGGACAGAGGCAGCAGTGTGTGGACGAATGACTCATGGTTTCAGTTGTTTCTACACAAATGCACAGAGTATGGGAAACAAGCAAAAAGAATTTGAGCTCTCAGTACAAATATGACCTAAGTAGGCATTTCTTGAGCCTGGTGGATGAGACTCATGACTGGAACTTGAGAGGTGCAACCTGTTCAAAAGGAGTAGATCAAACAGAGGGGAGGAGTAGGATTATATGTAAAGGACGTGTACATTTGTGAAGAGATCCATAACTTGGAGCATGGAAGACAGATTGAGAGTATATGGATAAAAATTGTAGGAGAGGGTGTCTGCTATAGACCTCCAAGCCAAATGGAGGACTCAGTTGATGCCTTTCTACAGCAGATTCCCAAACATTCATAAATAAGAGATATAGGAGTCATAGAAGAGTTCAGTTACTCAGATACATTGTCAGTGAGGCAATTGAAGAAATGATTGGACCTTTCATTCTTGGCAGAGTTTGAGTTTCAACAAACTCTGCCAAGAATGAAAGCTCCAACAACTTCCTCAATTGCCTTACTGACAATGTCATTTTCCAGAAGTGGAAGAAGCAACAGAGGAGTCATCTTTATTGGACCTGGTCCTCACCAACAGGGAGAAGCTGGTCAACAAAGTGAAAGTACAGGGAACCTTGGGAGAAAGTGATAATGTAATATTGGGTTTCATTGTATACAAGCAAGGGAAAGCTGAGGGTAGTTGAACATGCACTCCGGACTTTAAGAAGTCTGATTTCAAAAAGCTTAAGGAACTTTCCCATGATCAGAAATACTCAAAGAGAAGGGAGTCCAAGAGGAATGGGAGTTTCTTAAAGGCGAAGGCAGAAAGGCAGAAAATTCCAACAAGAAAGAAAAGTAGGAGACACCTAAAAAACCAGTGTGGCTGCATAAGGAGCTTACAGGTGAACTGAGATTTAAGAAGGGCATGAATAAGAAATTGAAGAAAGGAGAAATCACAAAGGAAGAACATATATGAGTAGCCAACAGTTGCAGGGAGGTTAGGTGGGCAAAGCTCAGAATGAACTCAGGCTTGCAAGAGAGATTAAAATTAATAAAAAAGGTTTCTTCGGCTATGTTTGAAGCAAGAGGAAGACCAAGCAAGTAGTAGGTCTCTTGTGTGAAGAGGATGGAGAAATGCTGTTGGGTGACAGAGAGAAGGCAGAACTGCTCAACACCTACTTTGCCTTTTGTCTTTACCTCAAAGGAAAGCAGTGCCCAACCTGGTGATAACAGAATAAATGATGCAAGGAAGGAGCTAAAGCCCAAGATGGAAAAGAGGTGGTAAAGGAACACCTAGCTACATCGATGAGTTCAAATCTCCAGGGCCTGATGAGCTGCACCCAAGAGTATTAAAGGAGCTTGCAGATGTAATCTCAGAGCCTCTGTCTATAATTTTGAGAATTCTTGGAGAACAAGTGATGTCCCTGGAGACTGGAGGCAGGCAAAATGATGTCCCTGTCTTCAAAAGGGGGAGTAAAGAAGATCTGGGTAACTACTGACTGGTGAGCTTGACATTGTTACCAGTGTCCTAGAACAGATAATTAAACAGTCTGTCTGTGAGCACTTAGAAAAGGTGACTGTGATTACTAAGACCTAACATGGGTTTCTCAAAAACAAGCCGTACCAGACGAATCTCATTTCTTTCTTTCTTTCTTTGATAGAGTCATAAGCTTGGTGGATCAGGAACTGCTGTGGATATAGTGTATCCTGATTTCAGTAAAGCTTTTGACAAATTCCCCCATGATATTCTTGCAGAGAAGCCGGTAAAATTTAGACTGGGTGAGATAACTGTTAGGTGGGTTTGTAGCTCATTTCCATACTCAAAGAATGCTCACTAATGGTTCCTAGTCATCCTGCAAAAAAAGGGGGGACAAGTGGGGTGCTGTAGGGTTCTGCCCCGGGCCCATTGTTGTTCAACATCTTTATAAATAACTTGGATGAAGACATTGAGGGGATATTTATCAAATTTGCAGATGCCACTGAAGACAGAATTGGGATTTAAGATGACCTTAACAGAGCTGGGCCAAAACTAACAAAATGAACTTCAGTAGGGACAAATGTCAGGTTCTGCACTTAGGCAGGAAGAACCAATATGCACAAATATAAGATGGGGGACACTTGGCTTGCCAGTAGTAGATGTGAAAATGATCTAGGGGTCTTAGTAGACCACAAGTTTAACATGAGTTCACAGTGTGATGAAGCAGCAAAAAAAGGTTAATACTATTGCAGAGCAGGGCGACCAAGATGATCGAGGGTCTGGAAACCAAGCCTTATGAGGAATGTTTGAGGGAGTTGGGTATATTTAGCCAGGAAAAGATACTGAGAGGAGATATAATAGCCATCTTCAAATATCTAAAGGGCTGTCACATGGAGCAAGCTTGTTTTCTATTGCTCTGGAAACTAGGACCTGAACCAATGGATTCAAGTTGCAAGAAAGGAGATTCAGATGAAACTTTAGGAATATTTTCTGACAGTAAGAGCTGTTAACAGTGGAACAAACTCCAAGAGGTGGTGGACTCTCCTTCCGTGGAGGTTTTTAAGCAGAAGTTGGTTGGCTGTCTGCCATATATGATGTAGCTGAGATTCCTGCATTTCAGGGGGTTGGACTTGATGGTGTTTGGGTCCCTTCCAACTCTACAATTCTTTGATCCTATGAATCCTGATCTACTTGAGTGATTGCAAGGATGGAGCTATGCTGTGGTAGTCTTTCAGGACTGATTAATGCTGCAGACTAAAATTGTGTGTGTGTGGTATAAAAGGTAGTACAGGTTTCAGTTGTATGATATGACAGATGGGTGGGTTGCTGGGCAACTGTTCCTTGCCTCCCTCTCCCCTAATAAGCAATTGGAAGCTTACAATGGTGTGCATGTGTGTTCCTTCATACCCAAGCAACAGGCTCCTTTAAATGCATACATCCATGCAAGATCATGGTATGCTCTTCCAATAGAGATTTGGCAGGCAACTTTGACTTTCAGGTGTCTCTTTAAGACTTTTTTATGCTGACAGGCCTTAGCAGTTGTTTAAAAGGTCTCTTGAGTAGCCAGTCACATTGATGATTACCTTGCATTGCTTTTAAATGTCTAATTGTTGTGGTACACTGCCCTGATGTATTGTGAGAGGATATTATTTAATTTTTTTTTAAAATAACTATAAATAAATAATAAATACCCAGCACCCTTCAGCATGTACATATTCAACATATGAAGTTATACATCAATACACTGAAGGTTTCCAAACAGATGAAATCTCCGCTGTATATATTATATACCCTCATACTGGTGGAATTATATACCAACAAAATTATGGATATTCTGTGAACCTAAAGTGAAAATTCTGCAATTAAAGTAAGTTTTAAACATTGGTTATTATACATGCATTTTTTTAGTTTGCACGCTTTATTCTTGTGCACAGATGCTTGGAATATAGAGTAATTGCAAGCAAATAGAAGTTCTAATATGTATATCTGGAATTTTGTCACTTGTGAATGTTGGCAATCCCAGGTGAATGTTGTGAATGCTTAATTAAGGTGGAGATACCCTGGCGAATGCCAACAGTCAAATAGTGATTATCATTATGCAATAAATCTGTCCCCAAAATGGGAGTATGTCTGTCTGTTTGTGGCATTCATAAAATTCATCTGAAGTTGTCAGTATTTACATGTGAATAGTTGACATTCACCACATTTTGGACATTCATTGTAACACATCCAAACTCTACAAAGCAACCATCTGTCGGCCTCTCTCCCACACACAATTCTTACACATCATGATCCTCACAGGGCATTTTTCACAAGTGAAGCAAAGAACGCCTCTCTGTCTGGAATGCTTCACTTTTGAATGTTGTTAATCGCAACAGAGAGAGCTGGAGAGTAAACCATGTAGCTTTTTCATTCAGCCTAATAGATGCAGGGAAGGCAAAATGATTTAAGTGTCATGGACACTGGGTGGCCCAGTTGAAACACAGCCCCGTCCCCAACATCTGCTTATATGTCCTGGTGGGGCGGGGAAAGCCCCGTGTGCTGTTCTCTAGGATATCCCCAGAGTCAGTCAGGCCTATTAGGAGAAGCAAGATTGTTGGCTAACAGCAATTAGAGCCTCAGACTGAGCCCATTAGCAGCAGCAGAGACGGAATCCAGGTTCCTCTGCTCAGATCAAACACACCAGAGCTGTGTCTGTTCATTATCCCTGGAGCTAGAAATAGAAAGCAGGATGTCTGTCTCCCATCGCCTTTGCTCGGAGTCTAGCCCACTAGGAATTGCTTGCTCTCCCAGGAGACGCAGGAGTCCTGGCTTCCAGACCTCCTTGCGTGAACTGAGTGGGCTCCACACCTCTCTTGGGATTCCTACTCCCTTTCAGCCTGGATTAATTAATCCAAAATAAAACACCATGATCTGGTTGCATGTTCACTTTGATCAGTCTGCAGGTCTGCTAGGAGATAGTCAGGGAAGTGCATTGTGACAGCTATCTGGAGCATTGGAATGGGGGAGGGTGTGCAGGCTGGTGTGGGGGCATTAGTGTATATGAGGGAGCCATGTCAGTTCCAGGGCCCATAAGTCCTCTCAGCAAACTTCTACATTTGAGTTAGAAACCCCTCCCCATCTCCATGGATAAACATACACTAAAAGAATTGGAAAAATCCACACTCCTGCTGGTAATATGAGTTTTGCTCACTTGATTAACATGAATGGGCCTGTCACATTGGTTTTGCCTGACAAATCAACCGTTGATCAGGGACTTGACAAATGGGCTTTAATTGCCCTTAATGATATCAAATCTCATTCTAGCTTGTAAATGCAACACCCATCAGAATTGGGGTGTGGGAGGAAGGGAGACAGCAAGAAAGCATTTTCATTTTTTTAATGGGACAGACAGATAAGGAGCTGTGAGTTAGCTGAAGGTGAAACAGCTTGGAATGCAGGGTGCCTCTCTCTCTGAACATCTGATATGGGATTAGTGGATTTGTTCTGTGCTGTAGGGGTGCCTATTTGCTTCCATTATGCTAACATTTTTTATTACAATGACACCATATACCTCCTTCATCTGAGGATCACAGGGCGGTTTACCATACAAAACTCTTTCATTCAAAGGAAACTATCCCATATAGCACTGCCCCATGACTTCTCAAAATTCAAGGAGCACACAACAATAAATTCAACCAAATACATAGTAAAAGTGTGTTAAAGGAAACTAATCTGTTTTAACTGAACTTCAGAATCCAGATAACCCATTTTATAGCAAAGGGTAATGAATGTTTCATCTTGGCAGACCAGCATTCCTTTACCTGACTAAGCCTTCTGCCCCAGCAAACATGTGAGGGAAAGTCCTGTTCACCAATCACTATGAAGAACATGACCCATCCATAAGGAGTGGGATTGGCAGTTTGGTACTTTTCTGGGCTCTGAGCTTACTAGAAACGGGTGCGTAGGTGGGGTGGGGGCTGAGTATCTGAAGAAGGAGCACCAGTTGCCCCATATTTCAACTTCATGCTTTTTCATAGTGTATGGATAGAATGGGGTGGTCTTGCCCTGCAGCAGGAAGTAGGATTATATATAGATTTCTTTCCAGTGCAAATTATTCAGGAGTGTCCACAGCAAGTAATAAATATCCTTTATTTCAGACACCCCTGCTCCAAAGTATCTTACGCATACACACCCAGCAATCATTGCCTAGTGGAAGAGCAGGTGGGGCAGAGACAGAGACAGAGACAGAGAGAGAACAATACCACTCACACAGATGTTGGAGAAAATATTCCCCCCCACCTCCCAGTTACTCACACTTAAGTTTGTTCTCATCCAAAAAACCTGGGCAACTCTCAACTTCCCAGTGCTCTCCCTAGAACCTGGCATGTAGCTAAGCCTTACCATCACTCAGAAACTGGAGCAGGGCCAGGTCAATGGGCCGTTTCCACTTGGAACCTTTCTGCAGCGCAATGCCGTAGCCTGTGGTGGCAAAGACTTTCCCACTCCCTATGGTGACAAGTTTACAGCCTTCTTCCTTTCGGGCCATGTAGTTGAGGACGGCTGCATCGTAGATGAAGGCATCCAGCTTCCTGCAGTCAGATAAGAAAGGCAGGCAGAGAAAGACAGATGGATGCAGCATTTAGCGCATTAAAAATGCCTCCATTTATTATTTGTCCACCTTTGCAAAGACCTATTGATTAGAACTACAGACATTCATATTGCAATTAAAGGGAAAGCATATTTTTGAGGGAAGGGGACAGCTTTCTTTAAGTGTGAGACAGCTTACTATTTAACAAACAAATAGTAAGGTAAAGGTAAAGGACCCCTGGACGGTTAAGTCCAGTCAAAGGTGACTATGGGGTTGTGGTGCTCATCTCGCTTTTAGACCGAAGGAGCTGGTATTTGTCCACAGAAAGCTTTCCGGGTCATGTGGCCAGCATGACTAAACCGCTTCTGGTGCAACGGGACACCATGATGGGAGCCAGAGCACACGGAAACGCTGTTTACCTTCCTGCCACAGTGGTACCTATTTATCTACTTGCACTGGTATGCTTTCGAACTGCTAGGTTGGCAGGAGCTGGGACAAAGCAACTGGAGCTCACTCTGTCACACAGATTCGAACCGCCAACCTTCCGATCGGCAAGCCCAAGAGGCTCAGTGGTTTAGACCACAGTGCCACCCGCATCCCTATTAAACAAATAGTAATATTCATTGTTAGACAGAGAGGCTCACTTGTTTCTTATCCCATATGTGAATATTTCCTGTTATAGTAACACACCAAAGTCAAAACGGCATCAAAAAATAAACACATTGAAGGCCCATCAATATTGTGGAAGGGTCAGGCTTTTTAAAATATTTTAAGAATTAATTCAACAGAGCACTGTGGCCTTCAGTTGAATGTGAGAGGGAGAGCAGTATAAAAATCAATTAAATAAAAACTGGTTCTTAGCATTACATGAAAGTATACGACTCCTGAGAGCCAAAAGGTGGCCACCTTTGGGTAATAAACTAGAAAGATAGAACACCTTTACGTTTATTCTTCGTTGTCATCAAATATGTCACAGGTAGGAGCTAGAAACTAGATGATTGCCCGGCAGCGTGCCTTTAAACATGACTGAGCCTTTCCGTATGCTTAGCCTGACCAATTAACTGGGGTGCAGGGATTTTATTATGAGCCTGATTAATCTTCCCATTAAAGCTGTTAAAGTTTTCAGCCATAGTTATATAGCATAGGAGATACTTTTAATAGGCCCATAAGGAAAAGGTGCCCTTTACTGTTAGAACTGCATGTCAGCCACTGTCCCACTCTATTTTATCTTCGCTTCCTCCCCCCTTTATTTATTTTTTATTATAGACAGGCTCACCTCTTCAGCCACCTCTATCTAGATATCTTGGTTCCAAGCTTTCTTCTCAGTCTTTTGCTTTCTAATGCCCTCTGTTTCACAGTCCTAAAAACAGACTGACCCTACACAGGGCCCATAACTTTAAATTCACATAGGATCGGATTATTAGGTGTCTCCGTCCTGTCCCCTTGTGCCCATCCCCATTCAACCATTCACACATACTGGCAAAGTTTTGGTGGCCATGAATGTACATGGTGGTATTTAAAAAGAAAAAAACTCTGAACTTTAAACAACAAGAACAAACAAACCCTGAAGAGTAGATGCAGGCCACTGATTAAAAAGAGAAGGAAGAACTTAACAAGCAGTAAACACACAAAGCACCAGACAGGGACAGCATAGGGGAAAGCAGCAAGAACCGAATAGTTGAATTCTGCAATAGTGGCAAAGTCATTCTTTTAGAATCTTCAGCACCGTTGAAATGGCCCAGTGCCAGAACTCCTGGCCAGAGCAGCTCCAATTTAGACAAGGCGGGCCACTATCAGTCCAGCAGCTACAAGGAAGATCACAGGCCCTGGTATCCTGTGCAAGCCTGAGTCACAGCCTGAGCCCAGCAAATCAGGCATTCTGGAATCCAAGGCAGGAATCTGTACTTTCCAAGCCTGCACCTCCGGAGGAACAGACCTCCTCCACATCAGAGACCCACATCCACAGGTCACCACGTCAATGCAGGCAACATGCAGGGAGGGATTTGCCAGTGCAAATCCAGAAATCAAGTTGCTATCTGCTGGTGCTAGTTTGCAAGCTGACCCCTGCATTCTGCATTAGCCGCAGTCTCCAGATCAACTGCCAAGGTAGTTCTACAAACAGTGCGTTGCAGTGATCCAACTGTGAGGTTAGCAATGCATGGATAACTGCTATCCTGATCCAGGAACAACTGTATCTGTCTTCTCAGCCAAGCTTCCTAGCCACTGAGGACACCTCCAGTGGTAGAGTTGGATCTGGGAAAATCCTCAGACTTTGCACCTGCTCCTTCAAGGAGAGAGCAGCCCCATCTAGGCCTGGCAACTTACTGACTTCCCAAGCCTACAAACCTCAATCTTGCCAGGACTCAGACTCAGTTTATTAGCCCCCATCCAGCCCATCACTACAGTACAACCCCAACACCTGCAGCCAGCTTGACAAATTGGTCAGGAGTGAAAGGAACTGAAGTCACATAAATTTTGGTGGCCCAAAGTTGGAGGTGCCTGTCTTAAGTACATATATGTACAGAGTAGGAATTCTAATCCATATATAAATGATTGTGACTGTAGAAGTGGGAGGTGGTTGTTAATTTGGGTTAATTAGCAGAGTATGTGGGTGTTTAAATGGTGAATCGCGCACCCATAACCTTGCCAGTTGGCTTTTAAAAAATTGTTAGTAGGATTGGCAGCAGTTCCAACAGCAGTGGGAACCACCCTGAAAGGGCGCTCAAACAGGCAGAGCTACAATGCACTCCTACAGCAGCAAAAAATTAGCGTTTAAGTCACAAATGCTCACAAATCCAAAATCCACATACAAAAACCCCACATCGAAGTCTAGTTAACAGCATGATGGCGCAGCTCAATCCTGCACTTGAATGCCTCACTGTGGACTTGTCTTATTTGGTTTATTTATGAAATGAGCCAGCAGGAGTTCATAGAAGTTCACAGAAGTGTTGTTGTGGGGAACAGTGGGGAGGCACTCTTGCTGGTGTGTGCAGCTACCAAGGCTAGACAAGCACTTGCTCACCAGAGTTATACACAGAAGGAGTGCATAGCCTTTAAAGGTGTTTTTTGTTTTTTTTAGGACTGCAGTTTCTATAATCAGATCTTATGCGAAGCTTACTTCCAGGTAAGCGGGCATAGGCTTGCAGCCTTAATTAATTGGTTAGATTCATTCAACTAAAAAGGACTCCCCAATGAGCAAGGCAACAGTTTCTTTAAAAAAAAATATTTTTAATGCAATTACTTGCATTAACAGCACATGGCAAGCACAGCTTTTGCACAGGCCTTCACTCCTATATGAGAGAGAAGTGGGGATGCCTCTTCTAATGTCTGCAGTGCATCATCTAAAAACAAAGTATGCTTAAAAAAAAGAGAGTAATTTTTGCTCATATGCACATTTCTGCAGATTTAATTAATTCACTGATTAATTGACCCAAACTCATATTATTATTAAATTGGCTAAGATTTCTTTAATCAGATGACAGCCTAATGAAAATTGACTAATTATAATTATAAACTTGTTAAAGGATCACAAAACAGCATGGGCATTAAAGCTGGCCATGTCACAAGCAACATCCAGCAGCAGCCTGTGTCACTCACACAGTCACATTCCACATAGCAATTGCCACAGCAATTAATGTACTACCGCTGGAGGGAGAGGATGTTGCAGAGGGGAAAAACTGCATTTACTTCACTGAATATTTACCCCAAGTGTGGGCAAATGGTGGTTTCTCTACAACAGGAGTGTGGCCTCATGGAATGACGACGAGAGTGTGCGACATAAATGAGAAGCATTTGCACATCTGTTGTGTAAAAAATGGGTTATGTGGAGAGAAACATAGGGCACATGTGGTCCCACTGTAGGGGCCTGCTGCAGGCCATGTGCCCCAGGGAGCAGAAAGGCTTAGGATGAAAATATATGCTGAGAACTAAGGGTCTTGGAGTTGTCCTTCCTGCTGCCACCACTGCTTCTTCCATTTCCCCCCACCTACCCTGTCTGCAGGTTCTGGAGTGCATCCTCCACGCTGCGCTGGTTGTACTTCCCCATATATTCGTGCATCTCCCCATAGTTGTTCCGAATGTTTTTCTCGGTGCTCCCGTTGGGAACAGTGCCAAATCTCAAAGGTGGGTAGTGATGCTGTGGTTTCTGGAACTGTAGAGGGAGGTAAAGGGAAATTGGAGTGTGAAGAGTGCTTCTGCGGATCTTGCCCCGACCCCTTCCCTGCTCTCCTCCCAAATGTAAAAACTGAGCAAGGACGGGAGGAGGGAGATTCTTAAATTTGCTGGTGCTACTTTTGGAGTAGTGTATTGTTGTGCTCAGTTGGCTGAGAAATAAAACGGAAATTTGGCTGGCATCAATTAGAGCAGAGTTCACCTTCCCAAGCATTATGATTTCTGGATATGGAGAAGCACCCTGTTGTGTGTGATGGATGAGACAGACGAGCAGAGTGGTATGGATAAGAAATGGAGAGATGCATATAGTGATGGATGGGTAGGTAAATACCATGTTTATTTGAGGATGAATAAATGAGCCAACAGATTTATTTATGAGCTTCCATTTTTATCCCCATCCTTTTTGGAGCTAAGGGTGAGGCACATGGTTTCTGCTTCCCCATTTTAGCCTCACAATAGCCCTGTGAGGTAAGTTAGAAAAACAGGCTGGATTGGGGAAGAGGATAGTCAGGAAGGGTTGATATCTGGAAGTTCTAAATTTTTCTCTGGGCATCAGGAACTGCCACAACCTGAGTGAACAAGTTTTGCTCATGCTCAGGGTTGACCTTCATGTCACACATTTTTTTTAGGAAGAGCAGCTTGGGAGAGGGGGATTTAGAAGCCGCTAGAGGAAACAGCGTATCAGCAGGGGCAGATCCAGCTCTGTGATTCTGTGTTTCCAACATGCTTTTGGATTCCCACAGACGGAAAATTTGTGTTTTTGTGCATGACTTGAAGCAGAAAAATGGCAGACAGAGAGGGGATTATGTACACCCTTTCCTCCTGTCCATCCTCCTGCCACTCTTATTTTCTCCTCTCCTGAACCTGCTTTTCATTTAATAATGGCTTTGGGGGTCAGTTTCAACTCCACAGGGTGTAATCGTTCATGATGTTTAGAGTTTGAAGGGAATTCCACCCCTGTAATGTCAGATGGACACTGATATTGGAAGATGTGGGTGGGTGGGCCCAGCTGGTGGCAGGGGTTAGACTAAGGGCCTTGTAGCCTCCTCCTTCTCAAACAGTTCCGTGACACGATAGGAAAGCAGACAGACAGTAGTATTTGGAGATGGACGAGAAGACTAAATAGATATGAGCAAGAAACATCATGTATGATTATTGAGTTTGTCCTCTAGAATCCAGCCAAGAGACCAGTGCCCAAGCCAAGGAAAAGAAAACGAACTTTTTAGAGATTTATCTAAGGACAGGAGGGTGAGACAGGCAGTTTGGGAAATAAGACATAGAGCGAAGGGAGAAGCAGAGTGAGAAAGGAACAGTGGGATGTGGAACTCGAAGGCCATGCAAGATGAAACACCTTGAGGGTGTGTTTGTACCAGTACCCAGGCAGCGTTGATTTTGTTTTTTGTCCTTTTTTGACCCATCTTTGCACATTTCCTATGCTTACACACACCCTCTTCAACTAATGTGCTTGTTTGTTTGTTTATTGTCAAGCTGCAGAGAGCCTTTCTTCATGATCAGTAAAGGCATAGACGAGCCCTATGTTTTCCATTTTAAAATGCTCTTACAAACAGCATTTTAGCAACAATCACATTGATTCCTGTTTGCCTGTTATGGTAAGGGGAGAAATACAGAGGATGGGGGCGACTGCAGTGGATATGCAGTACTCTGCATGAGTTGAGCAGCAGATTAAACATAGCCTCTGCTCCCTATACCAAGTAAAATTCCTGGTAATTTTTTTTAATTTTTTTTTGGTGGGGAGGGAGCTCAGAAGTGCATACGATGTGATGGAAAAAAGGGAATAGTGTAGCTCTTCTGATACTACATTGTGGCCCCTAGTGAAGAGATGCTTGTGACACTACCGCAACCAAAGTCAGAAAGGAGTCAGATGAGAAAAATGGAAAGGGGCAAGCAGGGCGGGGTGGAAAGAGGCCAGGAATGGACTCATAAATAGAAGACACAATGAACAGGTAATTCTGGGTATAGATGGATTCAGCAGTTGGCAGACAGGATTGTTGACAGAGAGGTGCACCGAGAGATCAGTGATACTGAAATAGATGGGGACACATTTAGAAGTATGAAGGGCAGAGGCAGCCTGCTTGTTCTATTACAAGAGTCTGCTTCAAGAAGGCTGTAGATGGAGAAAAACATCTTTGGTCTGTTTTGAGCATCACAAAATTGGCTTCACACAAGAGCTCTCTGAGCAAATTCAGTCCCTCCTTGATATTCCTGGGGCAACAGGGCCTTTCGACATGGAAACGGGAAGCAAAGAAACAGCAAAAATCAAATGCATCCCAGGTTGGGGACAAAATACAGAGTGCCAGCAATGGGTGCGGGGAGGAAGAAAGGGGGAGCGATGGTTTTCTTGCAAATGGGGATAATGGAAAGAGGCTTCTAGGTGTCTAAAGCTTAGAAGCCATTAGGCAGACAAAAGCGTCTGGGGAAAGTGAGAAAAGAAGATGGGAGATTGGTAGAGATTATCTGGAATTTGACAGAGGAATGTGTATGACAAAGCAATGGGGGAAAGAATTAATGGAAAAGAGGCAAATAGAGGTAGAAGAGAATACTGGGAAAACCATCAGGATGGAGAGGGGAGGGGAAAACGTTTCTACAGCTAGAAACAAAACGAGAGTCTTGTAGCATTTTAAGACATGTTCATTTATTGTACAGGAAGCTTTCATAGGCTCAAACCTGCTTTGTCAGATGCACAGAATGAGGCTTTCCACTTTTGATGGCTAAATGCAGTGCCTTCTCTAATGGCAAAGTCCAGAGGGGGTCGCCGTGTTAAGTGGGTTTTTGTCCAGAGAAGTTGATGCCGCAATTAATCTGTTAGTTTTTAAGGTGTCACAAGGCTTTTGGTTGTGTTTGTTGCAACCTGATAACATGGCTCCCTCTCTTGAATTTCACAAGACTAAGGCTGCATTGCTATTTAACCTGAGACTAGGGATGGGTGGCAAATATATCAGTTTTGGTTTCTCTTAGTTTCTCATTCTTCCAATCTTATGTTAGGGTTATATCAGCTGAATATATTTTTTTTTAAAAAAGACCTAGTGAAAATCTGTCACCATTTTTGTGTGAATTTCTCCTTTGATACACATTTTTATATGCAGTTTTGCCTAATATACACATTGTGGAAAACAGTTTCCCCTACTATGATGCATTTTGTATGCTGTGTTCATTAATATATGCATTTATATGCAAATGATACCATTGTATATACATGTTTGTACACATTACCTTACTGGAGAACTGCAATGCAAAATGTAGGTAAGTCCAAAGGACAGCTGTGTTTCAGCTCACATACTGTTTCAGAAAATGTGAAGTTCATCTTTAAAGGTGAATTGAATCAAATTTCTCCCCCATCCCTACCTGGGCGTAAGGTCCAATTGAATTCAGTGGGACTTCTGAATAGATGTTACTATGATTCCACTATAGAAACACTTATTCTTTTCCTCTGCCTGGATTTTCTTCTTTTACCCTCTCCCTCAAACTGCTCCCTACTCAGTACGAGTTGGTTAATCTGAGCTGTTTAATATTTATCTGAGATTGTGTTTCATGTTGGACGTTAATTACGCCCATTAATTACATCCCAGCTCGTTAGTTCTTAACGAAAGGGATTCAATTGGAGTGAGGCTGCCTTGCCACAGCTGGTCCGGTTTGTGGGGCCCCCTCCTTCCCCACAGCTGTGGTTGTTCGTCAGGGGCTAATTGCCAGGGGATAATCAGCCACGTTCTGGTTTATAAATACACACCATGCATGCTGGGCACCAGCAAAGTATCCCAGTGGAGGGCTATGTGGAGCTACCAAGGGTATGAGTTCCACTGCTTAGGTCAGCCACCCTTTAATCTTGACCACATGCATGTATGCATGCACAGGCACACCCACATATTTCCTGTTGCAGTTGTCTTAAGGGGAGTGTGATGGATCTGGCCTGATTGTGGGTATGTGTGGCTTTTCTGAAAGTAAACATTGCCTACCAGAAGCCTATCAGCACAAGCAAGTGTAACATTTTAAAATTAAACAGCAATTAGGACTGAAGGTAAGAGCTAGAATCTGTTCTCAGTGCCACCGTTAGTTTCTAAAAATGATAAGTGTGCCATGAGTGCATCAACGTGAATAGCTCTCCTGCTCTGCAGGTGGGTAATCTACAGGGCTCTGCTAGCACTTTTTCCAGAGGAAGAGCTATAGATTAGTGGCGGTGAGCTCATGCTAGATAATGTGAACTGTAATACGAATGCACAGACTTGGTATGTGAGTTTCAGCCAGATCCTTACTAAGAGCTCCCTAGGATTCAGAGGCTTTTCAGTGTCAGGTCTGGTACTTTGGAGTAGGAGACAAAGATGTGCAATTGCCTGCCTGCCTGCCTGTCTGATCTTCTGGCTTTGCCTTTGTTCTGGGCAGTTTCACCTTCACTGACATTTCCCCAACAGCACTATTGGCTCTGAAAGCAAAACTTTCCAGTTGCTGAGTTTGCAGTGGTCACAGCCAGGTAGCTCCTCCCCAAGCAATTTAAAATAAACCTTGCAAAACCTGAGCTGCTCAGTCAAAAAAGAATGCCCTTGCAAGACTATGCAAGTGAAGTCAAGACAGCTGAGATCTAAGGCACTGCAAGCAGACACTGTAGGACCATGGCTTCTAAAAGTGATTTGATGGAAATGTGTACAGTGAATAACAGAGGCTCAACTTTACTCTTTTGTGTTAAAGTGTAGCAAAGGTACACATCTTTTTGATTTTAGGGTTGTTTGGTTTTGGTTTAACATGTGGCCATGATTATACACACATCTCGTGGTTTTCCTTGCTTCCCTTTCATCATTTGTCAAACACTGGGGAAGTAGTGGTGGTCACTTAATTTTTTTATATTAGTGGAAATGGGGATATGTTTAATCTGGTCTGAAGGAAAACATTGTGCCTGGCATGTTGTTTTTGGTGATGGAAAAGAAAATGAAAGGGGAAATAAAACGAGAGCTGTGGCAAAGGAATGAATGGGGAATTTTGTCTGGTAGGGATAGATATGATGGGAGGGAGGGAGTGGAACTTATTATTATCATTATCATTAATTAAAATTGTATAACACCCCTCATCCAAAGATCACAGGGCAGTTCACAACATAAAAATACAAAATGAGAACACAAAATACATAATAAAACAAAAACAGACCAATAATGCTCCCCCAACATTTAAAAGGCTATAGAATGTTTAATCAGCCCAAGGCCTGGTTATAAAGAAACGTTTTCACCTGGCACCTAAAGATATGTAATGAAGGTGCCAGGCGAGCCTCCCTGGGAAGAGAATTCCACAAATTGGGTACTGTGCCTCTGTTTCCCCCCCTCTGGGAGCCCTCCCTTCTTCTCACCTTCTGGTCGCTGAGCCCAGACACCGTGTCTACATATTCCTCCTGTATCATAAAGGCGGCCAGATTGGCGGTGTAGCTGGCAAGGAAGATGACGGCGAAGAAGGCCCAGATCAGCACCATGATCTTGCTGGTGGTGCCCCTGGGGTTCTCCACAGGCACAGAGTTGTTGAACACCAAAGCCCAGAGCAGCCAGATGGATTTCCCAATGGTGAACTTGGAGCCTCCAGTGCCTACCAGGCAGGATGGGATGGGGGAATATGAATCAGAGTTTGAACTTTGCCGTAGAGGCTGGAGCGCAACAGGCTGCACATGCTTGCCGCCCTTCCTTATCTCCATAGGTACCCCAGTTTCAGACACATGCCCCTCCCTTATCCTTGGTGCACTCACGTTTACTGGCGCTGAGGCTGCGATTATAGCCTACTGGGCTGAAATATTCAAAGATGAAGACGGTCACCGCAACGACAGTCAGGCACATGACAAACATCATCACCCAGACAGCAGGGCTGTAGGGCTCTGCAGGAAGAGAAACATGGACCACGGTGGTGGTATGCCCGAGACAGCTAGGCTCTAGTGGGTGAAAGCAGGGGTTCTGAACCTTTGGCATAAAAGAGGCACCCTAAATCACGAGTAACACTTTTAAAAATGGTATAATTTAAGGCCGCCTCTTTAAATTGGCTTTTCCTGAGGAGCTGTGTGAGTTGTGGTCATGTGGAGACTCTGAGATAGTCTGTCAGAATTGATTTAAGAGTATGATGCAGATGAACCCCAAAGCAGGGGGGGGGGGGAATGGATCTACCATTATCACCATCCTTGAGGGAATAGTGGCTCTGGGAGGGTGCCACACAAGTCCCTCCATGGCAAAAAAATAAAGCTATTATTTTGATCTGAAAGATCAAAATGTCTTCCTTGAAAACTGGACATTTGTTAATGTGAGTCAATTTGGGTGAAATTGTCTTTTCCCAGGATTTGGAAAAACCTGTCTGCTGGTACTTCCATTGTGATTCTAAGTACTGTGTTAACTGCAGTTATGTAACTCCCATTGATACATATTGGCAGCTGCCCACTTGATACCCACAAATGGGCAAGTTTTCTTTTCTTTCTCTCTCTTTCTCTGCTTATGGCTTTTCTCAGGCCATTTTCCTTCAGCCAAAGGTCATCATTTTGTATGTCCATTTTAACAATTTTTTTAAACATTTTTCTATTTTATCTATACCCCACCTTTCCAGCATAAATGGTGGGTTAAAAATGCTAAAATAAAATTGACACTAAAAAATTCAAAACTCTACCTCAGCAATAAAGCAGGTCCTTAGTGGGGCTGTTTCCCCAAGATTGGGTACACAACTACTTAGATCCAATAGATGACAGGATTGGGGAAGATTAGGACTTCTGACTTCTCTACTATAATGAACCCTGCTTTGAAACCAGACTACCTGGAAGACTCCTTCCACATCTCATGCCAACGCTCCCTCCTGCTTTTTACTTTGACCCATCCCAGGGCTGGGTATTCACCTAGGAAGGCAGAAGGTGAAACAGTTCCATTGCTACGAGACACCATCACACTGATTCCTGTCTCGACAAAGGGCACAGAAAAATCTATGACTTCAGCTCTCTCCGCATTGATGGTCAGGGATCCAATCGCCATGTCAGCTCGCTTGTAATACACCTGAGAGACACACACACACACAGAGATGGATAAAGTACAAATAGCCAGCAATCCTGAGTTTTCTGGAAAGGAAGGGGAGGGTCCAGCATTTCTGAGTAAACAGTGGTACCCACCCTGAGCCCTGGAGACAGGATGTAAAATTCTGTTTGCCTATCAGATCCAGGAATGGGCAGAGCCATCTAGGGCAACCCTCCCATAACCTTTGAAGCAGATTAACCCTACTATTTATGTCAGTGCACTATTCAATAGTCCTTTACTTCAAGGATACAATCCAAACAGCCTGCAGCAGGACTTGTGGGTCCTCTCAAGTGGAGTTGAGAGTCACACATGTGTGGGTGGGAAACCAGAATTCCTGGGTTCTTTTAAGAGGAACAAAATGCAGAGAGTCCTAAGAGGTTGTGCGTGAGCCCAGATCACCCAGTTCCTTGGGGAGGGGATGGAGTTACCTCTCCAATCATGCCGTTCCACATGCCGTTGACTATCTTGCCATGCTTGCCATTGGTGACAAGATAGAGATCGTAGGTGAAACCCAGAGTCTTAGCCAGACGCTTCAGGATGTCGATGCAAAATCCTTTGCAGCAGCTCTTTACCATTTGATGGCTGTGAACAGCACAAGGAGGGGGGAAAGGAACTCAGCAAGTGGTTTAGGAGCACTGTGGAAGGTAAACACAGAGCCAGCAGGACGTAGTGGTTATAGTGGACTAGGTCTGCGGTGGCCCAGATTCAAATCCCCCTGTCAGCCATGAAACTCACTGGCTGATTTTAGGCCATTCACTAACCTACCCTCACAGCAAAGCTGTAAAAGAAAGAAACAAAGGAGGAAAACTATGTGTGCCACTTTGAGATCCTCGGAGGAATGGGGCAATATTAATGGGTTAAGTAATTAATAAGCAAGCATGGGATTGATTGGTGCTTGGATGGGTGTCCACTGGGAAGCCTACAAAAGCCACTCTGAACTTTCCTGAGGAAGAGAAAGATCTAAATGTAAAATTGATAACACTGAACTCAACTGTGGTAAACTTGGCCAGCGTCTCAGGAATACCTGTTGGTATGGTTGAGTGGGTGGCGGCAGGGAACTGAATCACGAATGCAGGTCTTTGTGGCTGGATCAATGTTGTCGACAATAACGAAGGGCCTTTCCTCCAGTGTTGCCACCATGAGGTGCTTGTTGTCATCCACAGGTTGCAGGAATTTTCTGTAGCGTGACATGCTCAGGATTCTGCGCTCCCACCTTCCCACCTGCCTCCCGGGGCATAGAGAAGAGGTTAGATACACCCCAAACCTTTCTCCAGACCCTTGCCAGCCCACCAGTGTTGGTCCCAAATTTATGCCATATTCAAGAAACTCAGTTTTGAAAGCCCCCTCCCACAACTAACATCTCCAGAATTGCATCAACTTCTGAATCTTCACATCAAACATACTGTACATGCAAACATACATACATAATTTAATTTGTATGCCACTTCAAACCATGCTTAAGGTGGCTTACAACATGAAAGAAATACAATCTCTTGTCTTAAAAATCACACCCTCCATTCACATTATTCCTCTGCTTCCTACATCCATTGAGGACATCCATGACCAGCATGGAGTCAGGATATTCGGCAGCCAATACCATATCTCAGATGATCTTGCCTATATTTTGTTTATTTGATATTTGTATCCCATCTTTCTCCCAAGTTGGAATACAAGTTGGCTTACAACATTTAAAAAACATCAGTGATAAAATACAGAGTGATAAAATCAAACCAGTTAAAAACTAGGATGTATTTTGATAGGCTAGGGAGGTGTTGCTTCACTGGCAAAAACAGTGCAGCTGGCGAGCACAAGGCAGGGCTTTTTTGGTGGTGGCCCACAGCTGTGGAACTCACTTTCCAAATGGCTTACACCTTGTTCAGGCATTTAAGGAAGCCCTCTAGACCTTTTCCTTGACTACGACCCTCAACCAAGGCTTTGAATGACTTAACAAGAGCAGCTTTCTTTAGTAGCATCATGTGCCCATATAGCTATTGTTTCTGTATCGTTTCTTTTGATGTTCTTACTTTGGGAGGACATGTGTAAAATATGCAACTTATAAATACTTTTAATTAAACAAAATTAGCCAAATAGATACCTTGTGTGAGAACTCGGTGGATGGGCTTTGCTCACAGCTAAGGGCTCAGCAATTGCCAAAATGAGATTCAGAAATGAATCCACCACCCCTGCCAGACTGGTTGCCTTTCCCTGTAGGGTTTGGCTTGATGTGTAAGAAATTTACATTACTTTGCTCCTCTGGCTGCTTTTTTGTTGGGCACTTGCAATCTCTGATTGTTTCATGGTGCCATCAGGACTGTGAGAGGCTTTCTGTGGGGTGCTGGCATGTGAACGGCTGTGCCTTATAGCAGGGGCTTGAGACTCAGCGCCCTCTCAGCTCTTTCTGTTTATAGCCCTTGTCAGTTCTCCAAACACACTCCATCTCCCGAATTCACACTTGCCCTATAATTACCCCATGATAACAGTCCACCTTCTCCAAACATCAACCTTGCCACAATTCCACCAACTCACATGGACTCCGGATTACGACCTGTCCAAACGTTTTTTCACCCCCTCCCCTTGACTCATCAACCTTCCTCCCCAATCCAACCACCTTCCCCTCAAACCTCCCTCAAACTCACCACCTCCCAGGTTCGGTTTTTGCTGAGGGAGATCACAGCCAAGGATGGATTGATGAGGTACCCATCCTCATTAAAGGAGAAATCCTTCTCACCCCAGGTAACATTCATGAAGTACCTGCGAAGAGGCATGATGGAAGCTCTTCAGTGTCAGTCTAGAGCCCACTTTCCACATGCTGCCATCGCAGCTTCACTCCCCCTCATTTTGCCATCCCCCTCAAGCCTGACCCACAGGGCACTGGTCTAGTATTTCGGATGCAGCTGTGGATCAGGACTTGGAAATCAAGAAGGGAAAAGCCCTTTTGGAATCAGGCCCATTTTGAAAGGGGAGGCAGGGTACTGAGTGAGGATGGATGGTGTGCAAAGGTGGGTAAATATGGATGAGGTGCGGGGTGTAACTGGCTATATGGGGAGGTGGTAGGAAGGGATGGTATGCAATTAGTGGGAAGCAGAGCTAGTGAAAGAGCTGGATTAAAGACATGCTGGAAGCCCATGCTATGTCAAGTTTAAAAGGCCCCATAATACTGTGTATTATTCTAACAGAAAGGACGATGGAAATAAAAGTAATAAACTTTTATATTTGCATATATAACCCGTACATAGGCAAGGTTACAACTTAAAACTAATCATCTGTCTTGCAATAAGCCTATTTGCATATGAAATTTATTTAAATGAAAACACCTTCTGATTTCTGACTTAGCAAGAGTGGTCTCTCACACACACTGTTTAGCCCTTTCTAAATGGAAGAGCCAAACAACATGCGTTGTGTGTGTTGTGCATGGGACATACAATTTAAACCATTTATGGGGTTTTTTAAAGGCAGAGTCATTGAAATTGGGGGGTTGTATTTGGAGACCCTCATAATGCGAGGCCCTAAACTGGACCTTAACTGTAGATTAACCAGTGTGGTATAACGGTTAGAGTGCTGAACTGTGACCCAAGAGACGAAGGTTCAAATCCCCACTCAGCCATGAAGTTCACTGGTGACCTTGGGCCAATCCTTGGAATATAAAGGTGGTATATAAATGTAATGAAATAGATATGTAGCTTTTGTGTAAATCCAGCACTGGCTGGATGTTGGTGCATAGGGTGAGTGGATATATAGGGATTCATGAAGACAGAGGCTCTTACTTGAGAGTAAGGAAGAGGTGTCCTTGCAGAACTGTTGGGTGTGCAGATGCTCACTGCATAGGGGAGGATTTCCCTTTTCCCAGTGACAGCAGTGCTGCTGGGTCTTCAGTGACCAGGTTATGCCCTCCCCACCTGACTCAGGTTTCTCTACAGTTAGTGGGTTGGCTAACACTCTTCCCAGATTCAATCGTTGTTCTCCTTTTCCCAGGAAGGGACGTAGGAGTCCAGCTTCCTCATCTGGAGCAGCCATATCCTGGGAGAAGTACCTGCCTCCTCCTGCCTTTGTCATCCCGCCCGCCCCGGTCTCAGCCCCCTGCCATGTCACCCACCTGTTCCCTCTCCTCCTCATACTCAGCCTGGCATTCCACTCTTGCGCCCAGTGGTGTATAAGGACTCATGAGAAATGGAGATAAGGAAGCAAGGCGAAAGTCAAAATGGCTGAAATGGATGTGAAGAGGAACAAGTTAGGAATGTAGGAAGCATGCTTTGAGGAACAGATTTGCAAACGAAGAAAGGAATGGGAGGGGAGGAGGGTATGGCAATAAGTCAGATCTGCTATACATCCCTTGTGGACAACAGCACTTTCTTTTGCTCTTGATTCCACCCCCCTTCCAGGCAAAATCCCCCCAGCCTCTTTCCCTGCTGACCGATGCAGGTTCTCGTTGATCTGGGTGAGATTGGGTGCCCGGCAATCATTGTTGAATTTTGGAACTGAGCCGTAGACTTGGAATAGGGCCTCTGCCCCCTTGGCAATGATGGCTACACCATTTTGAACCCTGTGGTAGAGATCATCTTTCCATCCTGCTGAAAGCACCATGAAGAGACCCTCGGGCAGTTCCTCCGGCATGTACTCAGTTCTACCAAAGTTGGCACCTGCCATGAACCAGATATACCCGGGGCCTGTGAGCTTCACTTCACGGGCTGCACGGAAGATGCTTTCTGCTTCTTCACGGGAGCAGTAGAGAAGGCAGATGCGGGCATTTATTTCCCGGAGCTGGCGTTTGAGGCGGGCCCCGTCTGGGTCATCAGTGAGATTAAGGGTCACAGTGCTGCGGCGCTCCCAACCAATGAAACTGCTGTCAGTCAGGACCTCAATGTAATCTACAAAGTCTTCATAGCCGGGAAACAGTGTCGTGATGACAGCAAATGCCGTCCAATCGTACTGTTCCAGGACCTCAAACATCACTTGCAATTGCTGTTTGGTCGAGGAACCTAATTGTAGAAAGGTTGATCCTTTCTCCTGGATTTAGGAGGGAGCAAAAGACACAAGGGTGATAAGTGCTACCTATTTGCCATCCCATTATAGGTCTACTCTCTGATTTCTACCTCTCTCCTATCATGGGAGAGCTTTCAGAATAGTTTTATTTGGGGAATAAAGGTTGGCTTTTAGTTCCAGCAAAACATTTTCCACCTCTGTACACCATACAAATAATTCCAAAAGTGCTTGCATGCAGAAAATCATTATGCTGAAATTGTCCTCCTCTCTGAACTGCTGATGCCCATCTAACCTTGAAAAAAGGGTCATAGTATGAGCTTGTATGACATATCTATTGTTATCTTCAGCCCTCCCAGTGTCCCTACACCAAAGCCCCTCAATTAAGTGCCTGCCTTGCACTTAATGGAAAAAAAATATTGATCAAAGTATCCAAAATTCTGCACTAAGATAAAGGCAAGTTCTGCACTATCTGTATGCAAATTAAGCAGATTAGCATCAGTGAGTAAATGTCTGTAATAGATTCAGGTTGTATAATTTTATGAAGTGCAGAATTTAAAATAGTTATACATAATCTGGGCAGAGAAAAACACAGGATATTAGAGTGAACATAGACAGAATAAATCACTTTACCTTGGGTGTAAGAACAATGGCTGATCCTCCGTTGATGCCAATGATGGGAACAGAGGTCTGTGCTGAGATGAAGTCCAGGATCTGGGCCACAGCCTCTGTACGTGTATCATCCTCAAAAACCACACCATGGATGTGCAGGGAGGAGAGAACGTCACAGAGCCGCACAATGAGGCTGCGCGGGTTCGTGTCATTCAGAACCACAGGGATGGGGTTGATCTCCATTGAGAAGTTGCGGAAGTCCTCGGGCGAGAACCGGGCACTCTCTTGCGTGTAGGTGGAGCCACTGAAAATGATGGGGATGTTGATGGTCCGCCGCCGCAGGTCCAAGAAGGGGCTGGCACAGGCCAGAGCCATAACAAAGAGCATCCTAGCAGCGGGGGTGCCCGGGGGCAGGCTCATCTCGCAGGGCCTCTACGTTCCCCCTGGAAGTGGTTGGGAGAGGAAGGAAAGAACAGGCAATGAGAAAGGGAGACTTAAAAAGAGAATCAGGTGATGAGCCACTTTGGTGGCAGGGCAGAGGGAGTAGCATAGAATCAAGCCTGCCTCCCCAGTTGGCCTGAAATCAAACTAAGCTGTTGCTCACCTGTGTGTAAACATGCTCACCAGTGCACAAATACACTCACACTGCTTCTTCCTGCCACCCCATGCACCTTGCTACATGAATTAGCTCAGGGTTAGGAGGAGAAGGAAAGCAAGAAACCATTGGATTTGTAGAAGGAAACCATTCTCTCTCCTGCCTGCATATTTCCCACGTTCTCATCCCCTCAAGATCAGAGCTTGTGGAGCAACTATAGGTGAGCAAATGGCTCACCTCAGGGGGCTGCATATGGTGTCTGGGTTGCTAGTTGCTAACCCTCTGTGCTGCACTGTTTTGACAGAGCTCCTGTCAACCAGTGGGAAGGCCCATCTGCTGCTTTTTGGATGCCAATGGTTTAGGTTTTGGCAGCCAGAGCTCTGCCTGAGCTGCAGGTCATTGGAGTTGATCTTTGGAGGAGAGGGCAGAACAACATCTTTGTACAGGTATGCTTTAGAATTATCATGGCATGTGCCACAATACATGCTTCTTTCATTAGCTGTGCGAAGTTGACCAAGAAAGTTACAGGTTAGATTAAAGACATCCCCAAGGTATGAAACCCCTGGAAGCCTCTGAATGGGATGGCTGATCACCTCAAGAGAAAGTCACAACCCTAAGCAGGAGCTTACCTCTTCCACGGCAAATCACATAAGCACCACCTAGATCTTCCCTGCTTGCTGTTATGGCCTCACAACCTAAACAAGGACTTTGAATAACAGACCATCTTCTACACATTCCTGCCTTTCAATACCTCACTTTTCTCCAGCGTATTCAACACCTGCCCAATCCAGATACATCCCCTGTGACAACATAAACATATCAGCAATACCCTTTCCTTCCATTATTACATTTACTGAGTTTTGGCAGTGCTGTGAGTTGGGAGGGTCCCACAGGTCATTGGAGGGCAACATTTTAACCCCTGGAAGAGACATATTGGGGTCTTGAAGAGGAAGAGTTGAGGCTCTGGTGAGGGTCAAGGAAAACAGGAACAACTTGGCAAAGTCACACATCTTTGTCATTCAAGCATTTGGACAGAGATTCATAGGATGCACATTATCTCAGAAAACCAATGTCTTTAATCTTTTCATCCATTAATCAGTCAATGCTCTCCGCCCTCTTCATTTCATACGTAGGCTGAGACCCTATCTGCCTGCGGACTGTCTCGCCAGAGTGGTGCATGCTCTGGTTATCTCCCGCTTGGACTACTGCAATGCGCTCTACGTGGGGCTACCTTTGAAGGTGACTCGGAAACTACAACTAATCCAGAATGCGGCAGCTAGACTGGTGACTGGGGGCGGCCGCCGAGACCATATAACACCGGTCTTGAAAGACCTACATTGGCTCCCAGTACGTTTCCGAGCACAATTCAAAGTGTTGGTGCTGACCTTTAAAGCCCTAAACGGCCTCGGTCCAGTATACTTGAAGGAGCGTCTCCACCCCCATCGTTCTGCCCGGACGCTGAGGGCCTTCTGGCGGTTCCCTCATTGCGAGAAGCAAAGCTACAGGGAACCAGGCAGAGGGCCTTCTCGGTAGTGGCGCCCGCCCTGTGGAACGCCCTTCCAGCAGATGTCAAAGTGATAAACAACTACCTGACATTCAGAAGACATCTTAAGGCAGCCCTGTTCAGGGAAGTTTTTAACATGTGATATTTTAGTGTATTTTTGGTTTCTATGGAAGCCGCCCAGAGTGGCTGGGGAGGCCCAGCCAGATGGGCGGGGTATAAATAATAAATAATAATAATAATAATTATTATTATTATTATTATTATTATTATTATTGTTATTATTCTACATAAGCAGGGGAGACGTTTGACCCAGGGAGAACACTGTATGATTTGGCGAAAGAAATGACTCTTCCCAGCAGCAAGCTTTAAATTGAAAATGTAGAGGAACGGGAAGGGCCATTTTATCCAGGAAAAACGTGTCAAGTTCCCCAAACACCAGCCAGTAGAACACCAGGATTGCAGCTGTTGGTTTGGCCAGATGTCACTATGCTGAGCCAGATGTCAGGCGCTCATCCTGCCCTCCATTTATCCTCCATGGGCCAATTATTAGTCAGAATAGACGAGTGAGTGAAGTGCAGAGGTGGGCACTAAATGAAACCAGTCTCAGATACAGTGGACTTAATGTGTTGGTTTCACCTCACCCAGCACCCTCAATGCATTTATTTTTCTCCACTTGCTATAATTCCATCTCTCTCTCTCTCTCTCTCTCTCTCTCTCTCTCTCTCACACACACACACACACACACACACACACACACTTTCCTTTTTGGATACATCAGGTTTGCCCAATAATATGTAGAGAGTCCTCCTACATATTGATAAAAACCCACTTAGATTATTATTATTTATATGCTGGCCAGCTCTAGGGCAGATTCCCAAATTATTTATCAGAGTGAGCCTGACTCCCTACCTGTCATTGGTTCCAGTAGCATCACACAAGGCAACAGGTTCATGTACGGTTGGTATGTTACCCTCATTCTGCCACTGTACCCTCAGGAGATTATTCCAACACATGTGCATGGTCCTGTCCCTCTTTGCCTGTGACTGGCACTATTTCCATTTTATTTCATTTCATTTTTATTTGTCTGTCAGGCACGAGCAGCCAAATCCCACTCCAAATCCCACCAGCATTGGCAGTACAGATCTGCTCATTGGTTGGTGGCTATGCAAATCTATACACTAGGTCCCTTCCCCCCCCCACACACACTACAAAAAAATAAAAATAAAAAATCACAATCACAGCATGCAATAAGAGAGTTCCAAATTACTCAAGGAATCAAACCAAGTTGCTGGCTGCAGGCAGAGCCTCCTCAGAGCACTTGTCAATCAGCTGGAGGGGAGATGAATTCCTGTATGGCTCTTTAATTAGACTCCTGGTTTGTCTGTTTTATGGTAGTGTTGTGGGTGTGACCCAGACCCAAAAGGCTGCATAAAAAGCATGTGTTGTGATAATGATGAACTGTGTGACCAGGAGAATCATGTGGTTCACTTCTTGCTGAAGTGGAATCCTTCCCATTGAAGGGTGTGATTGCATTTTGAATGCTCCCATCCATAATAATCTGTTGGCATATTAAAAAAATGAGCATGTCAAGGAGAACAGCTCTAGCCTATTCTTTCCCAGCATGTTTATTATTTATGTTTCAGGGGGAGAGGGAATAATATATCCGAGGAGGGACAGTGAGTATTCAGATATGCAATTCCCCACTTGCAGGCTGAAGTGGCACAGTCCAGCAAAAGCTGCCATATACAGTTCTGCTGCTTATATAGCTTGGCTTTTTGACCATAAGTACGATGCAAAAACTATCGAGCGGGACCTCGGTGATAAATTCTAGTGGGGTGTTCCCCATTCAAACATTCCTTATGGACAGGTGGACAATTCTTGATGCCCCAAAGGAATTGAGGTGGAGGTGGGAAGGAGAAGGGAAGGGAAGGAGATAAAGATCTATACTGTCAGCAACCAAAATAAAACCTTCCACTACCTAGTCTCCCACTATGCCTCTAAAGTGAGCAGTGAAATCCCTTGCACACTGTCCACACTTCCAGGGACTTTGGATCACCTTAGCATATGTATGTTTCCAAGCCCACATTTGCCAAAGCAATATGAATGTGGAGGGCCAGGGGGGGAATCAGCATTAAACAATCACAAGGAGTGGGGGTTCTTAAACGTTTCATGCCTACAGATGCCCCCCCCCCCCGGCAACTCTCCCAGCTGGTCTTACTTTCAGGCCCAGAACCCAGCTAGGATAAACTAATGTAAAAATAGCCAGGGGTGCACTTGATGGGAAGAACGCGGGATGCAGGCTAGGTTCAACATCCCCCTCCTTCCCCTCTGATGCTCTATCCCCACATCAGGGCCACCCAAGACATTTTGCTGCCTGAGGCAAGGGATAAGATGGTGGCCCCTTCTGCAGATAAAATCTAAGTGGACTGGCAGTTGTATCTTTACTTCAACATAGGTGGCAGAGCAGCATCTTCCACTGCACTGGGGGGTAGCAAGTTAGCTTAGAGCAGTGGCTCTCAAATATTTTTCCCCATGGACCACTTGAAAATTGTTGAGAGCCTTGGTGGACCACTTAATGATCTTTCTACCTGTTGTAGCAATTGTAATGTACTGTGCTAGATGCTGTATGGTTACAAAGCAAGCCTTCTAACATGTGGTTCCACCCTCAGAGAACCATCTTTTAAAAAACTAATTAAACAATTAACCACTCCATACAAACCCTTATCATAGGACAAGACATTACAAAGAAAGAGTCTTATTTTGCCTATGCTAATTTTAATTAGGGCTTACACCGCTCATTAGACCACTTTATTTTGTCTTTCAACATCAAAGCTCTCTCAGAATGCTCATTTTGAGATGTCAGAAACCTTTAAGCTGCTGCTTATTCTGTTCATCTTTTACTCTGGGCAAGGTGATGACATCCCTCCCATCATACCAACTAATGTAGCTCACCTAAGAGGAGTCTATTGAATTAGAATCTCTCCCCCAGGACTAGCTCAAGTTTCTTTTCATATTTATTATCATTTAAACAGCATGTTTTAACTTGCTTCAAATCTTTAGTATGTTTTGTCTCAAAACAATCCCCTGAAGTAAATCATTAGCACGCTTGGCAACCTCAAGAGACCCTTCATAAGTTACAATCTCCCCCCCATGAAGATAAAACCCGCATAGGGAAAAATGTGTATTCCAGCATGTGTGAAATGAAGCGCAAGTGTTTAAAATAAAATGATTGCGTCATATTCCAGCTAGAATGAGGTACACACTCTTTTTCTCTGCTTGGCGATTCTTTACATTACTTTAATTATGAGTCAAGTACTTGGGACGAGGAAGTGGAACCTTCAAGGTCAGGGAGAGGAACCTGTCTCTCTTTCTTCCCTGAAAAAAATGTACAGATGCTTCACAGTTTAGGAGCTCCCTTAAAAAAAGCACAGAAAACCTCTTATAGATGGATGTGAAGGTAAAATATGGTACTTAGGCTGGAGCAAAAACTACTGGAGGCAAGAAAGAGCAACAGCAAGTATGCTTTCTAAACAAACAAAAGGGGGGGAATAATAAGGGTGATTTGTTGAGAAGCAATGCAGTGCACAGTGGTGTTTTGCTTGTCATACCCATTCTGAGAAATAAACTTGCTGCATAGGATAATAAGAGGCAGTAAAGACCTGTTCTCTAACATTTGTATTGAGACAATTGGAACAACATGACCAGATACAATTGTAGTTAAGTCCCTGGAGGCTGTATGTTTTGCTCCTTTTTTGAAGAGTTGAATGGTCAAGAAGATTGCCCATAATGTCCACATTAAAAGGTGGACTCTAGTCCATGAAGGCTTATGCTGTAATAAATCTTTCGATCTTTTAAGGTGCCATAAAACCTTTGTTGTTTTTTGCTGCGACAGACCAACACAGATATCCTTCTGGAAATCATTACTGTACATTGGAAAGTGGCAGCCAGATCCCCTCCTCACTTTCAAAAGTTACCTTGCTTCCCAAAGCAGACTGCGACAAGGATGCCAATGGGACACCTCACCAAGTTGCAGTGAGGATCAAAGAGATGGACAGATACTCCAAAACCCTTCACACATACTAAGTGCTATGGGGATTATAGTTTATAATAATATGGCCACCACTTGCCACATTTAGGGAAATCCTATGCCAAGTATGTTAATTATGTGCTGCTCTAATATGCAAATTAGATATGGCCCTCTGGCTCATGATATTATTTTGATGCAGTCCGCAGTGTTGAACAAGTTTCTGGCTCCTGGTCTATTGCCACCTGGCAAAATCGCTGGTCACAGTAGGGAGAAAAACCAACAGGCTAAAGCCCCACTGAGGACAACAGCGCCAACAGATATTTCCCTGCAGTAAAATAGGCAAAATTGCATCAGACTCTTGCCAAATCCAGGCATTTTGAATTCAGAAGGTTAACCAGGGAGGTTTTGTCCAAGCTTATCTGAAAACGGATCTCAATCTGCTTTGGTGTTCATGCCTAGAATGCTGGATCTGTCAGACATTTTCTTTTATTGAGATTTGTACTAGAATGTTGCCTCTCCTGCCATTTGTGCTCCAAAGCAACTGCTTCTTGCTGCTTTGTGGTAAGGCCAGCCCTTGGTATGGTTGATTTCCCCAAGTCCATAATAAGGAACTACAAACCTGAAACAGGAAATGCAAACTGAATTACCATTTGATCTCAGACCAGAATTCCCTCTGGCCAGACTATCTCGTCTCTGTGACCCAAAGGATAATAGGAAGGCTTGGTGTTCTGCAGGTGAACCACCTTTCAGGTGATGGCCTCAGTGGCTGTAGGCTTCTGGCTGTGCAGTTTGGAGAAGCACCGGGAATGGCTCCTGAAACCCATGTGAACTCTTCCCACTCAGTGAATATAAAGCCAAGATTGGATTCCACTAGTTCTCCTTCCCCTTAATGATACAATTGCCCCATGGGAAGTTGTCATAATCTATACCCCAAAAATCTATAACATATGTCCTCACACTTTCCATGCTACCTGCTGTCCTGATTCCTTCCTTGACTAATCTTTCACAAGCAATAGTAAAAGCTGAAAGCCTTGTTATTGCTTCATTCACTTGGCAGATCAAGGAAGATGTCAGTTACCCTGGCAGATGATGTTATTCCTCCTGCTCTTGGAGGGGTGTGTGTGTGGAGTCTGGCAGATGATGTTATTGTTCCTGCTTTGAAAAAAGGCTCTGTTTTCCTCCCACTCCTGTTTCACTACACCACTGCCTGGACCTCTCCAGCCACCTTAATGCCACTTTCCCCACCTTGTCCCCTGCCTGCCCTTGCCTGCTTTTGTGGTTGCCAGTTCCAGTCTGGATTTCTCATACATTCCAGAGTGCCCACTATTGGTTTATGTTAACGTGTGTCACATTGGCTCAAGGCTCCCACCACCACCCACCACCCTGGAGTGTATAGTCAGCTGGTCCTTAGAGGCTGCTGCTATGACTTATCCTCCTAAATTGGCCTTCGTGCCCAGAAGCATCCTCTGACCTGGGTATCCCAAGCACCACTAGGCAAACCATCAAAGTCCTCCCTCACACTCCTCACTGAGCTGAATAGGCACCTGCTCCCCAAACCTGGTCATTGCCCCTTTAAAATGCAAAGCCTCTATAAATGGCTACCAGTCATGATGGCTATATGCTGCTTCCAGAATTGGAGGCAGTAGGCCTATGATTATTAGTCGCTAGGGAACAGCAGCAGGAGTGCTGTTGGTCTTACGTCCTGCTTGTGGGCTTCTCATAGGCATCTGCTTGGCCTTTAGGGGAAACAGAATGCTGGACTTAGATGGGCCTTTGCACTGATTCAGCAGGGTTCCTCTTACTTCCTGTATCACAAGGACTGAGCATCCCATATTTTCCCTGATCAGGGCGCTAATCTTCTCCAAAGCACAGATAATATACTGATCCTGAATGGAACGCACCATGTGGTTCTCTGCTTCATCTATCTGGGATCTGAAGAGGCATTTCTTGGCACCAGTGGTTGGGTCTCAAGGTCTACACATCCATACATGCCTCATTGTTGTTCACCACCTCATGCTTCTTTTTTGTATGGACTGCATTCCTGGACTTAGACAGGACCTGGAAATCAGACTCTGAACATGCCTGATTGTCCTAAACCCAATAGAGATGGGTTTTCCAACTGTGGCTTGTCACCAGCCTACTGGTGGAGGTTGCCCTGTACAGGTAACCTGCTTGAGGTCAGTTTAGAGGTCTGACTTCCTTGCTACCAGTGCACAGATCTCCATCCCGACATGCTCCTCCCATAGCCCTGTTTGTAATCCTGGCAATAGCATGGTGATCATCAATTGGCTCCCTAGGGCAAGCTGATTGAAGGGGGGCATATAGCAGCTGCTGAACTGGGCAGAAATGTGGGGATAATTCCTACCAGGTGTTTGCTGAGAAGGGAACATTACACAAATCCCTGGCACAGAGCTTGCTTGTCATCCCCATCTCCTCTGGGCTCTGATTACCTGAGAAGCTGTGATACCAGCAGGGGAACCAAATGGTGCCAAGGCAGGAAGTACCAGGATATAGAGCCTGGACAGCAGGTGCTAAATGCCCATGACTGGTGACTGGGGAGGAAGCTAGAGAGAGGCACACTCTGTATGTAGATGCAAGCATACACAGAGCCCCACATACTGCAGATGACTATATAGATACATGGGTGCGCTCTCTCTCTCTCTCTCTCTCTCTCACACACACACACACACACACACACACAGGCTCCCTCCATTGCAGCAATGCAAATTTTGCAAGTGTGGCCCCAGCCATCTCCATCAGCACCTAGTAACATGAACACCACCCTTGCTTGCTCATGCACACTGACCCATGCATCCAGGGATACAATTATTTGGTTCGGTTTTGCCTTGATCATCTCTTTTAAAAATCACACTAGCTGTTCTGAGCATTATTAATGGAAAAGTGGAATGGCAATATTTTGTAGCAAAATAGAAAACCACACTCTCGTCCAAAGGGAAAGTCACACAAACACACACACCAGCCCATGTGGCCCAGTGGACAAAGAACAGGACTCAGGAGTCCTCAGCCTGTTCCTGCTTAGACCAAAAGTATCTGGGCAAGTTCCTTTTGTCCTCAGTTTTGCCGTCTGTCAAATGGATCTACCTCACAGACAAGCTTACAGTTATCCACTTGCCTGGTTGCCTCCAGGTTATTAACAAGGCAAATGCACACAGGCTGTATGGAAGAGCTACATGTGACTTTACTCACCATCATTCTTATCCTGAAGAGTTACTGGCAATATAATGTGAGTGAGGAAACAATGATAGAACAGTGTTTAACTCATGGAGTGGGCACACTCCCTCCCTCTCCCCCCACCCCCGGATTGGTGCCCTTTCCTCTGTAGCTTGAAGAGGGGAAAGAGAGCCTCCCATTGACTCCTTGTGCCAGGAAGATAGCAAAGCACAGCAACGACTCTGTCTCACTTGACAAGGGGGCATCATTTCTGAATCTGCAAATACGAGCTCACAGTGGAAGCTGTGATAGGGCAAGAGAAGCAGCAGCAAAGAGCAGTAGGTTAGGCATGGGTAGGAGGGGAGCAGAGAGGGACAGGAAGCTCCAGTATTGAGAATTATTTGCAGCACTGCTTACAGGGTGTTGGTGGAAACAATAAAAACCATCAGGAACTTTAATGGGTTATACACATGCCAGACAGTAAATATATATAGGTGAAGCTTTCCAAACATCCACAAACAGCAGGTGAAGCTTTTTGCAGGCTCCCATGGAAGCATTGACACTTGCGTATTAATATTGTTCTTCATTAAATTTATATCCTGTTTCAGCATAACCGCTCCAGGCCACTTACAGTCACAAAAATCACATATTATGAAGTTATACAACTCCCAATAAAACAGTAAATAATTACCATAAAAACCAAAATAGAAACCAGCGCCTTAAAACAAGCAGGAATGAAGCAGGTCAGATAGTGCTTAATTCCCAGTTTGGAAATACACGGCTAAAGAAGAACACTTTATGCCTACTTGTCAGGGAACCCTTCTTACATTTATGCTGAGCTCCCTAACACATCACAGCTCGCCAGATGACAAACCCAATTATAACCACACCTCAGACTAACACACATACACAGACACAGTGCATTTTTATGCCACGCATGACAGCCAAACACTTTTCTGAGGAGGCATAGGTGCAAACGCACAACAGTGCCGCTATGCAGTAGCATCTCTCTTCATATATCCAAACGACAATCGTAAGATCACTTCATATGGACAATTTAGCTCTCTTCTCAGCTGCCCCTTTTTTACATACTTCATTGCAGGGGTTTAGAATGTGGCGAAATGGGAAGTTTCCCCTCCACTGCTGCAGTAGATCATATGTGGAATGTCCAGGCCAATCTGCGTTACTAGTTGCAGGAGAGAGCCAAGCAACCATCATGATTCTGAGGTTGCTTCCATGCCAGGGCCCTAAGCTTAGCACAGCTGAAAAGCCCTGCTTTTCCGCAATTGGATAGAAACAGATTTTAAACAGCTTCCACAGAAGCTCCATTCAATCACATTATTTTTAAATGCCTAAAATATACTAATCACCAATTAAAAACAAAGCAGGTTCTCCCCACACAGCCTTACTATCTGAAACAAGCAAACTCAGGGACAAGTTATTAAAGTCGCATAATTGTTCTTATAATTGCCAGCTTGAATGGAAACAGTTCAGAGCGAGAATGAACCAAATGCCAGCTGGCCCCACAGGCTAACCAATGATGTGGGCCTCTCTGCCCCGTGGGCCCTCTCAGCAGCAGTGTTGCTGCCACTTAACAGGCCAGGATGGGCATGGGGTGGCAAGGTTAGGTCTGTGCACCAGATTGGTACCACCAGCGGGACTGCACAGCCCCAACCTTGCCACCCCCATCCTGGTAATGCCACTCTTGGGAGGGCAACAGCACCGCACTGGCCACTCTCTTCCTCTGCTGCAGCCAGGTGGAATGGCAGCTCAAAGCTCAGGACAGTGTAGCACTGTACAGTGGTACCTCTGGTTATGTACTTATTTCGTTCTGGAGGTCTGTTCTTAACCTGAAGCTGTTCTTAACCTGAAGCACCACTTTAGCTAATGCAGCCTCCCACTGCTGCCGCACTGCTGCCACACGATTTCTGTTCTCATCCTGAAGCAAAGTTCTTAACCTTAGGTACTATTTCTGCGTTAGCGGAGTCTGTAACCTGAAGCATATGTAACCCGAGGTACCACTGTATTATGCAGGAATGCACTTCCCCATGGTTAAGATCCTCCCATCATGTTTACTCACAAGTAAGTACTATTCAGTAAGTCCTCTAGATATCATTGGACTCCCAGCTCCCACCAGCCCCAGCCAGCAAAGCCAGTGGTCAGGGATGATGGGAGTTGTAGTCCAGCAGCATCTCGGGGGGGGGGGGAGGATGGCACAGGCTCCACATCCCTTCAGCAGAGGATACCGGCAACATTAATTAAAAGTTTCCTCCTTGTACATTCAGCCTGCTTTATTTTTTTTTTCCCTGATGAGGGTTGATGGGGGAGTAGTGATGAATAGCCTCTTAATTGTCCCTTGAATATCCTCTCTGATTTGCTTCAGTGTCAGAGTCTGTTCTGATGGGGGAGACCTTAATTATTGATTTCCTTTCATTATTCCCCCCACTTCATTTTTATAGTGAAATAACTATATATAAAGCCTCCCCCCACCCCACCCCAGAACAGAAATTAGCACTGGAGCAAATCCAAGAGACTATCCAAGTGGCAATTACGATGCATGGGAGCAGATTAAAGGTGTATTAAAGACTATTCACCTCTAATCTGCTCCCATGCACATCAGGAAGCAATAAAACAGGATGAACCTGTAATTAGGAATCCTTTAATTTAAGACAAATAGGGACTTAAAACAGGGGGGGGACAAGTGGCCCTCCAGATGTTGCTGGACTACAGCTCCTGTCAGCCACAGCCAGCATGGCCAGGGATGATGGGAGGTGTAGTCCTGCAACATCTGGAAGGCCATTGGTTCCCCATCCCTTGACTGAAAAGCAGTAGCAGTTGGTGCGGTGGGGCAGAGCCACAGAGACGCCCTCCCTCTGGCACCACTGCAGCTTACCCGGGCAAAGTTGGGGCAAAGAGAAGGTCCAGGTCGCACAGACGCACCAGCAGGAGCACAAGTTCGGTTCTGCCAGTGCATCTGTGCAGCCCTAGTCTTGCCCATGCTAAGCCCCCCCCCCCGTCCCAGCTCCCTCAAGGTAAGCTGCGGTGCTGCTGGTGGCAGGAGGGCTCCACTGCTGCTTATGTCTCAGTACTGCTTTGCCTAACAAACTAGATCGGCGGCGGCTGCTACAATTAAGTTTTATTACCAAAAATAATGATGATGATCACAGATCAGGTCTGAAGAAACATGGGAAGAAAACACCGGGATTCAACAGAAAGACAAATATGTCTGGATGCTCAGTGAAAAGTGAATGATCCAAAGATGGCAGATCTTCCAGATAAAAGGGCTGCTGTGTAAGCAATCGGAGTTAATTAATTTGGAACACAAAGCTATGATCTTGCGATCACCGGGTACAAACACCCTGCCCCCTACCCTCTAGCTGGCACCACACACTATGTTCCAAAGCCACTGAGCTGTGGCTTCTTCCCATGCATACACATTACTACTACTACTACTACAGTAGTACCTCGGGTTACATATGCTTCACGTTACATACGCTTCATGTTACAGACTCCGCTAACCCAGAAATATTACCTCGGGTTAAGAACTTTGCTTCAGGATGAGAACAGAAATTGTGCTCCAGCGGTGCGGCAGCAGCGGGAGGCCCCATTAGCTAAAGTGGTGCTTCAGGTTAAGAACAGTTTCAGGTTAAGAACAGACCTCTGGAATGAATTAAGTACTTAACCCGAGGTACCACTGTATTTATATATCGCCCTTTATCAAAAGATTCCAAAGTGGTGTACAACATTAAGAATATATTTTATGGAGCACAATAAAAAACATAATAATAGATAGCATCGTCATCATCATCATCATATAATCATAATAATAGACACACAAACCTGCTTTAACAGTCCCTAGATTATTTAATGGCCAAAGGCCTGGGTAAAGAGGAACGTTTTTGCCTGGTGCCTAAAGACATGTAATGATGGGACTGGGTGAGCCTCTCTGGGTATTGAGGTCCTGAGCAGTGTAAGGCTTTATAGGTCAACACCAGCACTTTGAATTGGGCCTGGAAACTAATTGGCAGCCAGTGCAGTCAGGCCAGGATTGGAACCTCTTACTAGCAATATCTGGCACAAATCTGCTGGGAAGTATATTGATGGCCACACCGTATTGAGCACCCAGTGTGTTCTAGTAATTGCTGATTATATCCCGGATAGTTCCCTTCTTTCCCCACATACTAGGGGCAGGGTTCTGTTCGTCCACTAGCTTTCTTTTCCCTCAGGTGACCCTGCTTTGAGGTTGGCTTGCAGACATCTGCTAGTAAACAGAACAATGACTTTTTCTTTGACACCAGGGTTTTTAAAACTGCAATACCGTATACATAGTCAAAAACCCTGATGTTAACAACACTCAGGCAAGCAAACATACACATATGTCTGTATTTAGACCATTTCTGTCAACCCACACATTCACCACAGAAGGCTAAATACTGAAACGCATGGGCTTCCTTGGTCTACCCTGGGGCCACATGAAAACAAGGCTTGACACCAGGGTAAGTGGGAATACAAGTATGATCTCAGTTGGAAGAGAGGAGGTTAAGCCCATATATCCCCTGTGCCTCTTTGCTGAGGAGACAGTAATTTCCGCAATCACAGAAGTGTTTCTATTCCTGGGAGTGCAATCAGAAGCCGGCGCTCTGCCCGGCTCATCAGGGCCTTCAGCAAGCAAAGACCCCCCCTTTCTTCCCCCCTTCATGCTCCTGTCACCCTACCACTATCAGGAACAGACACGGAGACCATACCATCTTACAGACCCCAAAGAGGGAAAAGAATAAGGGTGGGTGAATAGATATGACAATGCCTAGTGGTTAGAGAGCTGGTCCAAGAGGCGTCTCTGCCACAGATCACTAGTACAGCCTTGGGTAAGCTGTTTTTCCCGCAGCCCTATTTGTCCCATCTGTAAAATGGGACTACTGATAATCTGCTTCCTTGCAGGCTTGTTTGTGAAAGCAATGTAGATTGGAAAGTCGATTTTTTAAAAGTGCTCTGTAAATTATGAATAGTGAGCAGTGCACCATGTACCCACATGGGGACTAGGAATAAATAGCTGCCCTCTTCCCCCCCCCCCCCCGAGACTCCTTTACATTGGCCAAGATGTGAAGGGTGAAGAGCCAGGTCTAGTGACTAGAGTGTCAAATCCCCACTCAGCCGCTAAACCCATGGACCCCTTCTCTTTCCCCACTCCCTCACAGGGTTGTTGTCAGTATAAAACAGGGGAGGGAAGAACCACGTACACCAAACAGGGTAAATATATAATAAGAAGAATAAATTCTTATAGAGATGCCATTTCTGTGTAGGAATTAATATGCCCTAGCCCAATGGTTGAGCACCCACTTTGCACAGAGAGGGTTCAGTTCCCAGCCTTTCCACATAGGGCTGGGAGAAAACCCTGCCTGAAATCCTAGAGAGCTGCTGCCAGTCAGTGTAGACAGTGCTGAGCTAGATAGTCATCTGGGTCCTGACTCTGTAAAAGGCAGCTTCCTATGTTCCTAGGCCCCCTGCATGTAGGAATTTCACTGTTGCAAAGCAGTCCATAGAATGGACAAAGTCTCAGCTCTTAAATAAACGCATGTGAAATAACACACACACACACACAGCCAGCTCCTGCCTTTACACCCACACCACATAAAGGCAAGCCGGCTATTGCTGACGCTTTCGCCTGCATTCCACATCCTCCAGAAGACCGCAAGAGGCCTTCCTAATACTCTGCCCCCATTGCTGTAAGACTTCTGCCCCCACTTCCCTCGCACTGCCTCTTCTCCCCACTCCCTCAATGAGCTTTCCTTTCTTTTCCCTTTTCTTCCTCCTCTCCCCTCTCTCTTTGGTTCCTGCCGGAGTTATTGATTTTCCTGCCTTTTCTTTCTCTCCCCTCGGGGCCCCGAGTCGTGCTGCGTTTTTGTCCTTTTTCTCGCTTTTTCTTTCCTCTGCGCGTCTCAGTTAGAGGAACACAGAAACGAACATGGCCCCCGGGTGTTTGACATCGCCGGGTGGATGCCACACACCAGGGCAAACAGCCTCCGCACCCCGCAAGCAGACAACACACTTTTGCCTGGGACTAAGGCAGCTGCTTCTGGGGTGGAGGTGGGTGGTTGCATTGACTAGACCATTGTTGCCTCAATGCTAGGACTTACAAACACAAAAACGTTCCCTAAATTTCCTCTAGGGTGAGAGGGGGTTATGGACACAGCAATCCTCTACACCTGCTCTTGGGTTGGTGGCTGTTAACACAGGGATCCCTTGCTTAGTACTCAAGGACAGCTGGGATACAACAGGGACACTGGCTTGGCGAAGCTCACATACTTTTTCTTCACTGGCATGACAAGCACAAATGCTGCTGAAGTATTGGAGGAATGAAGCCGACACCCTCAAGCACCTCAAGGCTGAGGGAGGGCAAGAGAGGCGTCCGAGTCCTCTGCAGGAAAAGCTTTGAAAGACCTTTCCTTGAATCCCCCGTGTTTGTTGTGTGCTGTTGTTTAAATCAAAGGCAATTGCAGCTGATTCTGGTGTGGAGATCCTGCATTCGCATTCGGAAAGACTGTGAGGTCCGTGTGTCTGAGGGGCAGAATCACAGGGTCTGGGGAACATGAGGGATGGAAGGTACAGATGGAGGGGACGGCTGCTAGATCCAAAAGATATTCTGAGACTCATAGTTCAGTGGTCCAACATAGACCCTGGCTGTGTCCCCCTGGCACCTTTGGCTGAAGCTAGTGGGCCCTGTGAAGGGCCATTGAGCCATCAGAAAAGACAACTTGGGGCCATGGGTGGGGGCAGAACCAAAAGTGGATGGAGAGAGCAGCATTGCAACTTCATCTAGCACTGTCACACCATCTTGAAGCTCCCATCCTCCCCAAAGTTACAGAATATCAAACAGCAGGGCTGAAAAGAACATTTTGGAGCCTTCTATCAGATAGAAATATGGCCCAGCTTCAGTGTAGAACAAGGCTAAAATAGTGTGAGGCATCTATGGGTTAGGGTTGATGGGCATCCTTATTGTGGGGTAACATACCCTCCAATATTTCTCCAATGAAAATAGGGATGTCCCATTCCATAATGATAATTTTACTGTTTATACCCCACACATCTTACTGGGTTGCCCCAGCCCTCTGGGCAGCTTCCAACATACATACAAAGTATCATAACAAAACATTAAACATGGAAAAAACCTTCCCTGTACAGTGGTACCTTGCAAGTCGAATCCGTTCTGGAAGTCCGTTCGACTTCCAAAATGTTTGGAAACCAAAGCGCAGCTTCTGATTGGCTGCAGGAACCTCCTGCAGCAAATTGGAAGCTGCGAAAGCCCTGTTGGACGTTCAGGTTCCAAAGAATGTTTGCAAACCAGAACACTCACTTCCAGGTTTGCGACATTTGGGAGCCAAAACATCTGAGTACCAAGGCGTTCAACAACCAAGGTAAAACTGTACAGGATTGCCTTCAGATGGCTCAGTGGTCAGATAACTCCATACCCTCCAACATTTTGCCAATGAAAACAGGGACATCCTAAGTGGGACATTCCAGGATCAAGTCAGAAACTGGGATGGCTTCTCTAAATCAGGGACGTCCCTGGAAAAAAAGAGCAGTTGGAGGGTCTGGGGTGAGGTTGGAGCACAATAGGATACAGGGCCTTACTGCAATGAGGCACTGTGTGAGAGTAGTTCCTATGTCCAAGAACTGGTCAGTTGCCTACCCTGGATGGGGCTGCACTGACTCTTAAGGAGCACGTTCACAGTTTGGGGATGCTTCTGGATTCGGCTCTGTCACTGGAGGCTCAAGTAGTCTCAGTGGTTCGAAGTACATTTTACCAACTGTAGCTGATTTGACAGCTGTGGCCATTCCTGGACCAGGAAAGCCTTGCCACAGTAGTTCAGGCATTGGTTGCTTCAAGACTGGATTACTGCAATGCGCTCTATGTGGGGCTTCCCTCACGCTTCATCCAGAAGCTGCAGTTAGTGCCGAATGCTGCAGCATGTTTGCTGACATCAGTGAGGCCTTGTCAGCATATAACACATGTGTTCAGAGATCTGAACTGGTTGCAAATTTGCTACTGGGCCAAATTCAAGGTGCTACTATTAGCATATAAAGCAGAGGTCCCCAAACTAAGGCCCGCATACCGGATAAAGCCTGAGGGACTCGTTAATCCGGCCCGCGGCGACCCCCGCTGCCCGCTGCCCACTCTTACCAGCACTGCGCTGCACGGCTGCCCACTTCCGGGTCGGAGGAGCACCGGAAATAGCTTGTGCGCATGTGCAAGCGTTATTTGCACATGCCCAAGCATTATTTTCAGTGCACATCCGGGTCGGAGGAGGCCCGTGCACATGCGCACAAGCTATTCCCGGTGCTCCTCCGACCCAGAAGTGCGCCGGAAATAGCGTGTGCGCACGCATATGGGCACGCGCTCCTCCGCGCGATCGGCACTGGAGACACCAGCCCGAGGCGCGGTAAGTTTGCTGACCCCTCATATAAAGCCCTAAACAACTTGAGACCAGTTTACCTAGGAGATCATCTTGCTCCACATGCCCACTTAACCACTTTGATCAGCAAAATTGGCACTACTACAGGTGCCACATATACCCATTCTACAATGATAAGAACTCAATTGTTTAATGCACTTTGGAAACCCCTGCCTATTGAGATCAAGCAGGTGCCTTCACTGTACTCTTTTGGGCACCTGCTGAAAACATTCTTGTTTAGACAAGTCTACCCAGAAGCTAGGAAGTTGAAGTGATTTTAATCAGCTTTAGCATTTTAATTTTGTATGTTTTTAAGTATAGCCGTGAATTTTTTAACTTTTGTATGTTTTTAAGTATAGCCGTGACTTTTTTTCAATTTTATTGTTTTATCTTTTTATAAAACACATTGAGATTGTTGTTGTTGTCTTACAATCAAGCAGTGTATGAATGTTATGAAATGACTGAATGAATGAACAGTTTGATATTGGGTGACCCCTTGATGTGACTTTGTGGATGCGTCTGGTTGCCATATAATGCGGCAAAAGGGTTGGGGGGTGATTTGCCTATGTAGATTGTACATCCTTTTGGTCCCACTCTCTGCTCCATGATTCTCTTAAGCAAGAAATAAATGAAAAAAGAGCTCCATTATATCAGACCAAAGGCTCAACTAGTCTAGTCTCCCATTTTGCACACTGGCTAGCCAGATGCTGCCAGGAAGCCTACAAACAAAGCTTTCACCACATTTATACTTCCCAGCAACTGTTATTCAGTGGCACTGCCTCTGAACCTGGAAGCTCCACACAAAGGCTGCCATCCATTAATTAATCTAATCCCCCTTTAAAGCCTTCTAAACACATTGCTCACACCTTTTGCAGCAGCAATTCCACAGGTTAATTATGCATTGCACGGAGGCAACTCTTCGTTCTGTCCTGATCCTCCTACCAACTGGCATAATTGGGTGACCCCAAGTTAGGGGAGAGTGAGGAAAAACTCATCAGTATCCACTTTCTCTGCCCACTGGGCATCTTTATAAAGCCCGTGTATCCCCTTCACTTTCTAAACTATAAATAAATAAATCCAAACAGTTGGTGTTGAAAGTTGTGAGGCATCCTAATTTGGGGAAGAGGGAAGGTGATGCTGGGATGATCAGCCCCTGCTTCTCTTTGAGACACACAGCACCGATGAGACGACACACACGCCTCAGAGAGGTTTAATCAAAGTCGGCAGGTTTCATTTCCACCTGCCAGCTGCCTGCAGGAGCAAAATCCCCCTGGATTGCGACAGGTTTTTTGGGGAGGAAAAGTGGGGAACCAAGAAAGGCTGCCAGGGAAGGAAATGGGGGGGGGGAGTTATTAGCCAAGAGGAACCAATCACCAGGTTCCCAGGGCCAGAGGGGAGATGAGAGGGTCTAGGGTTTCATGCGTCAATTTCACGCCTCCCACAAACCCTTAATCCCATCAAGTGACGCTCACAGGCTCTTCTCTGACTGTAATTAATTTGGAAGCCACACATGCGCGCACACACTCAAGACTTGCCCGCACAAAATCTCTCCCTGCTGATGCCCGGTAATCCCAGGTTAATACTCCTCCCTCCCACCTCCATTTTGGGCTTTTCTCTCCCAGTTCTAACCTGCTACTTTTATGCAGCCCTACACACCTCACCATACCCAACTTTTAAGCCGAGTCAGAGATCAGCCAGAGCCTCTGTTACTCAGTTTGTGAAGTAGTGATAAAGCATGTGCAGAGTGCATTTCAGTTATATAATTTCAGCCAAACTTCAATTTGGCTGCTCTGGCTCAGGGTCTAACAAGAGACTTGAGCCTCATTACCTTTCATTTTAGAAACCTTCTCCTAAGTTACTAACTTCTAATAGGTGAGGTGTTTGTGGCCTAAATCTTCCTGGGTTCTGCAATCTACCTCCCCCCCAAACTCTACCACCTTAAACCACTCCGTTCTTAATTTATAGCACTTGCCTCTCAGTGCCAGGTGAAGGAGAATCCCTGCCCAAACAGCTGCTCCCAAACTCTCTTTCATTTCTTCCCTCCATTGGCAAGGCCCTTTCCCAGCTGTTTTGGTGTGTGCACAGATTCCATGCAAAGCTGCCAAAACCCTCTGCCTCGCGCTGGATCACCTCTGTTTCCTGGAACCCGGACAACAGGCCACTTTTGCTAGCACAGCTGTGCCTGGCAGTTTTGTGAAGCCCACACACTCTCTTGCTCTTTAGTGGAGCGTGAGCCGGGCATGGGGCGGGGGGGGGGGAGCTTTTCATAAGTATCCATTAATGGCTTGATCTGGAAACTGGAGCACCTGGAGGAAGGGGGTGGGTCGGCAATGGTCCCAGAATCCTCTGCTTTTTGCAGGAAGGAACAAGGGTGCGGGCGGCAGGCAGTGAGAGATAAATGAGAGAGGGTGTGAATGAACACAGAGACAGCATGTATGAAAAAAGTGGCCGGTGGTGAGAATCAGTGTTGGCACTGCCAGAAAGAGCCTGTAGGTTTGGCTGAAGAATGGTATTAATAAACAACACCATGGATTATATGCAGAGGAGGGTGGGCAGAGTGTGTTGAAAAGGAGGCACTTTCTCTCATACAGCCATTTACAATCGTGGCATCTCTTTCTGAATGGGTGTTATCTATAGAATTATTCCCATGTATTTGCTTGCAGCTTGAATTAGTGTGTCTGGGGAAGGGGTAAGAGCTACAGCCCAAAACTAGATTCAGGAGGATCCCTGTGTACAGCATGGAAAACATTGCAACCAGAGAAGGTTTTTGCTTGGTTGTGAGTGTATCTGTGATAAACTGTGACCTGGATGAGCTTTGTAATAGGATGGGCTGCACACACAAGATCAATATTGGCAGCTACAGTCAAAAGAATCTGTCCAAGGGTGGGAAGGATGACAGTTTCCTTTATTTCGACCTGGGCATTAAAAGGCAATGACACTTCTCTCTAGAAGCAAGGTGTAGCTATGGAGTAAAACAGTACCCTTGATGACATGTGTGAGAAACAGGGCCAAAAATTAGGGGATGTATTTATAAATTATCGTAAAGCTTGACAGCCCAGTTGTTGCAGATTTGGAGTAATTTAGTGTGCAATGATGTCGGCTGTGGAATTGCAGACATTAGAAGGCAAGTGAAGTTGCCATATGCTTAGTCAGACTACTGGTCCATCTAGCTCAGTATTGCCTCCACTGAGTGGCAGCCTCTCTCTGTGGTTTTAGACAGGGATCCTTCCCAGCCCTGCCTGGAGATGCCAGGGATTAACCTGGGATCGTCAACATGCAAAGGATGTTCTCTACTACTGAGCTGAGGCCTTCCTAGAGCTTACTGTCTTGTAGATAGATTTTTTAATATGGGCCTGAAGAACGTGAAAGCGGGCAGGTATTATCTAAAAGCGCATTAACATATAGGTATAATGGTGCAGTGTGAGGACTATCATCTCAAAGGAGCTATTTAAAGTACTACATTAAAGTGTATTTATGGCAGCAAAACACAATGGCACGACTAAGTAGGTCTGTGTGCTAATATGCAACCATGTTGTTTTGTCTAAGTAGTGTCTGAAGTAGAACATTGTTACAGTGTTTAATGACCTGTTGGTACAATGGCATAAAGGATGTGCATATGGGGAACCCGTCCTCCGCCGCTGCTGCCCCCCGACCCCAAAGTTGTTGGACTAACGTTTCCTCACCCTTGTCTTAAAAGATGTTGGCATCCTGCATGACAAAAATTGTGTCATACAAGCCATGAGGCTATGTAGCGACAGGGCAGAATCTGGTGTCAATTCACATTGTGTAGGATGGCAACATCTCCTTGAATGAGGGTAAGCAGAGCATTTGAGAACATGACGTAACACCCCAAGAGCAGGTAAGTAGTCCATATTTGCACAAGGGAATAGATATGGCAGTATACTTAACTGTAGCTGTTGCAAGAAGGAGCAGTGATAAATCATGTACCTAAAATTCTCTAGCAACCACATGGGGAAGATATGTAGAGATTGAACCCTACTCACAAAAGCATCTATATTTCAGAAATATGGTTAACATGGGAAAATGTGTCTGACAAATGCTGGCAATTGTGCACGCTCCCTAGACAATGTGGAGAATATCTTAACAAATGGGAATTGTGTACACTGACCAGTCAATGTGTATAGCCCTCTAAGGGATATTAGTGAATCTGAGCATTTCACACCTGACCAGAGAACGTACATGTTTTCCAAGTGGTGAACTCACCATGACCAGCCAGTGTGTGAAATATGCCGTCAAGTTTGCACACATTTCCCAGCATCACTTGAGTTTTTGCACATATGCAGAGTTCCCTGTTTATGCTCTTCATTTGAGTACACTGTCTACTACAGCACCTAGCGAATGTGCAAACTAACCAGTGCTTATGTATATTCTCCATTCAACTCACACTACTAATCACCGAGGTGCATACATATCAATAATTAAAAGAACACAGCTACGTTGCTGGAAGTACATTTGATGAAAACCGCTTGCAAAATGGTGGGGGCAAACTATTGATTCTGTCTCAAGGCCTGCAGATAAAGCTACCGGGGTGTTTAAAGACAGATGGGTTCACTATGCAACTGTGTTGCTGCAATTTCATTGTATATTTGGGAAAAACATGGGAATATAGGTGGAAGGCTGTTGTTGCCACAGGCAGTGTCAAATATTTACTTGTCCCCACTGTATTCAGTGTGTCTTCCTGGTTGTGTGTGCGTCCTCATACAAGTTCACAGTACTACTGCTATTAGTAATAATACTATTAGTAGTGCTGCACTGTATACCATTTATTTATTCAAAAATTTATATCCCACTTTTTACCATGCAGGTCTCAAAAGGGCTTATAACCATAAAATTACAATAAGCAAAATTTAAAACATAAATTAAACCGCCAACCTTTCAAACCTCGACAATTTAAAATCTCAACAGATAACATTGCTGTAGGCACTCTAATGCATTCTGGGCACTAAATCTGTGCAGCACAGTTAGTCGTGCGCCTCAGCATCTCTCACTGACCACACCCAAACCAGCTAATCTGTTGCTAGGAGGCTCTTCTAGCAGCCAACGCCTCTTCAAGGGAGAAAAGGCACAACCGGTGAGAAAAATCTACAAGTGGCAGGAGGAGAGAGGAAGCCATTCCGACTGTGTGCTTGGAGGGAGAGACCACACATGTGGTCTCTTTCTCAGGCAGCAGAGACAGTTGCCTTGACCCAAGGATGGAGAGGGGAAAGGCTGTAGCTCAGTGGCAGAGCACCTGCTTTTCATGCAGGAGGTTGCAGGTTCAATCCCTGGTATCTCCCGGTAAAGATAGAGAACTGTTGCTGGTCAGGGTAAACAAATGGGCAAAGTGGACCAGTGGTCTGGCTCAGTATAATACAGCTTCATTTGTTTGTAATACCATCCACAGCAGACCAAGAGGGCAAATGTGCTTAACCATTCTTACCTAGTCCATCCTCTGGAGGTAGATGACTAATATTGCCATGTTGAGAATGGCTGAGACTTATTGGTCCAAGTCCATTGAGTGAATTGATGGCTGAGCTGGAAAGGCGGCGGGGGTGAGGGGGGGCGTTGAGGTTGAACTGTGGCCAACCCCTGCATGCTAAATAATGCTGGCAGTCAGGAAAGGGGGGATTTGCTTTGATGCACTAAAACAGCCACGCGCGCACACAACCTGAAGAGAGACAGTTATTGATACCGAGCTATACCCATGCCAGAAGAGTCACCCAAGCAACACACAATCAAGAGAGGAGGCAATCGGCAAAGCAGACAGTCAGAGGGCAGAGGCAGCCACTGATCCACACGCACAGTCAGAGAGGAGAGAACAAGCCATGTGCACAAAAGGGAGAGGCAGCCTCTGATACAGGTTCACACAGCAGGTGAGATTTAACACACACACCCCAGTACAGTGATCAGGAAAGAGAGGCAGCCTTTGATGCACCTGAAACAGCAGCAAAGAGGATCATTGACACACATGCACAATCGGAAAGGCAGAAACAGCCACTGATACAGCCAAGGACACACCTGCTTTGTAAAATGCTAGCAATCTCACATGTGAACGGCCAGACTCCAGGTGTGAAAAGCCCACATAGACACATGAAAAGAAGCACACGCTCAGATACTACACACCCAACGATGTGGGGTCCCAAGCGCAGATACTCATAGACAAAGATGCACACACTCAAAGGTCATAGTCACCATCAGGCTGGGCCATACCAATGATCCATCTTAATCTAGTCTCCAGAATCCGGCAAGGAAAATAGCGCTTCAGCCCCCACAGCTGCGGAGCCCACTGTGTGGCCCCATTTCCAATCCTAGGGAAAAAGCGGGCAGAAACATCTTTGTGACCGGCAGCCACAGACTGCCCCCAAGATTGCACAAAAGATGGAAAGTGGTCCAGCTAGCCTGCAGGCTGTAGCAAAACACCCACCTGCAACAGAAACTGGGCTGAGAGAAGGATGAGAAAAGCCGGAGCTCGCACATCCTTTCGGAAAAGCCAGCATCACCTTAGGGATTCCGCCCCCACCTCCCCACACGGAAAACATTGTTTCCTGAGGAAACCACAGTAGTAATTACAAAGTGATGTTATCCTCTGCCTTGCATTCAGCTTCACAGTCGTCTTCCGCAAGAGGCTGGTTCCTGCACCCATCTTTGCTGGCTGCTATCAGTTTTACCCCATTCTCCATTATTCGCTAAGGATTCCCTTCCTTTCAAAAACAAAAACCCACTTTGAATCCCTACGTATTTGCATTGTCCGGTGACAATGAGTTCCATAGGCATTTCAAGGACTGCGCATGAAGTGTGAGGAGAGCTTTTTAGAGAAGGGTGTCCTGAACATAGCAGGAGGCAGCCGGACAGAGAAAAGGGAATACTGAATGGAACACACACACAAACAAGACAGTATTTCTTTACTCAAGCGCCAAAGGTCCTATAATGGTTCCCACCTTTCTTCCTGTGTTACAGCACCTCTTGTCGTGCTCCTCTCTATTAAACATCACCCTGTGGACATTACCTTCTTCGCCTACTGCCTCACCCTTTGCTTGGCATGCAAGTGGTCATGAGAATGTGGCCCACGTTCTCCAGCCAAGCCTCTGCCCCTCTGCCTTGTTGAGGGATCATAGGTGGTGCAAGTGCTTTGCATGCTGAATCGCAAGCCTCCTCTTAAAAAGAAGGGATCTGTGGCCTTTCGCCAGGCAACTCCCTAAATTCCCTGGCCCCCTCTTTTCTTTCCCTTCAATTCCTTTTCACACTCACACCTTCCTGCTATTTCTGTTAGATGGCTGTTCCCATGGGCTGGCATGAGACCTTACGTATGAAAAGAGTTGCCCAGATGCCAACATACGCGGGAGAGAGGGCACCGTGCTTGAACTATGAGGGTAAGGGTAGAGGGCCTTAATAAAATGGACAAGCCCCACCTCCTGACTCCTCCCATTTTAGCCAAACCATGCCTTTTAAAGAGAGGCATCACAAAGAGTATACCTCTCACCCACCCGCCCCCCACTCCGCCCAGTAATTTGAGCACTAGGAGGGCATGTGAGGAACGACCTTGTGAATTCTTTGGAAAAAGCAGAAGGTGCTGGAAGGGGATTCTGCATGAAGGAGTTCAGGGGCCTGGTCATCAACACCCCCCTTCTGTTCCTCTCTCTTACCTCTGTGCCCTTCCCAGTTCCCAGTCCACTATTCAGTCAGTGACTGACTGGCACCCAGCAAAGCCACCTACCTCCCCCTTGGGCCCACGAGTGCATGGGAAGCATGGAGCCACTGCTGTGCATGTGTGCACGTGTACACATGCATGCTGGGGAGGAAGGCAGATGTGGCAGGCTAAGAGATGTCATCTTCCTCAGGCACATGGAGCCAAGGAAGGATGGGGAAGGAAGTGTGCTCCTTATCTGGACTCTTGGGGTGGCGTAGGAGGCGGCTTCTGGGTTGAGAACGGGGAAGGCGAGGGGAACCCAGTCCTCTGCATCCAGGGTTGGAATTAGGAAACCAGCCCCCTCTGTCATTTTGGGAGGGGGAGGGGCCTGAGCCAACCAGGATGCCTGGGTTCTCTCCCACCTCTGCTGCTAGATCTCGGATACATCCATTCCCAACTCATTTTGGGCAGAGTACAGACTCAGAAAGGATTCTGCTGTGCTTCAGCCTGGCGTTCAAATGGCAGATTTTTCCTTTCTTTTAATGAATGGTAGATAAATCACTCTCTGTCTCAACATCCCAGCCTTTCCACCCGCTCACAAATAAAATCCTCTTTAACTCCCATCCTACCTGTCAAAACCCTTATTAAGAGGCCAGTTTAGGCAAGCCTCCTATCAACGCCCCCCTCCCCGCCCCACTTTGGGAGGGAGAGTTACCTCTGTAAGAGCCAGCCTGCCACCCGGTGGGGAACCTGAACACCTCCTAATCGTCTTCAGACAGCCCCTTCCTTGGCATGGTCTGGCTTGGGACCCCTCCATTCACACGTCCCTGGTCTTGCAAACTGCCATCTTAAGATTCCCTCTGCTGGCTTTCCTGCTGCTGGTGATGAGAGGTGTGGTCCCTCCATGATCATTCATTGACCAAACCGCGCTGGGGAAAAGTCTCCTTTCCCTCCCCAGCTCCACCAGGCTTTTCAACCCCGCTCTCACCTCAGCTAGCTTCTGATCCAGGCAGGCCAGGCTGGGCTTCCTTTTGTCCTGCAGCTCACACCCAGCGAGATCCTCTGGCAGACCCAAGCGGGGGCCTGACTCTGGCTCTTCTCACACCTCCAAACCCAATTTCAGAGGGCGCGTGGCATCGCTGGCGTCTAGGACCCAGACGGACGTGTGTGTGTGTGTGTGTGTGTGTGTGTGTGTGTTCGGGGAATGGGCACAACCCTGCAATGTTCACACACTGTCGACCACCCACCCCAGGTTCTCCAGCGCCCCTCCCCTTTGTGGGAGAATCCTTTTGGGGGGTGGGGCTCTGTTGCTCCAGTCCTCCAGCCCCCAGTGGAAATCTGAAGATGTCTGGTTCCTTGCCTCACTTGAACCACCGCGATCCACTCCCTTCCTGAAGGATCGAGTGGCTCCCTCCTGCTTTGGGCTCCCTCCTGCTCTCAGCCCCGCGCTCCTCCTAGAAGACCCAGGAGCCTTGGCTCTCTTTCCCACCGCACCCCTTTATGCTCCTCGTTAGTACTGCCCGGGCCCACTAACCACTAGGCGCTCTTCTCCTGCCAAAGTCTCCTGGCTCCTATCCGCTCCGACTGCCTAGGCTCCGCTCCCAGAGGGTCCCTGGAGAGCCTTCCTCCCACTCGCCCCTCCAGACCCTTCCGCTCTCCCATGGGAACGCGGGACCCGATCCTGCTAGATTCCCCCCCCCCTTCCCTTACGCCGCTTTAACGGAGGCCGTTCAATACAACCAGAAAAAGACTCCGCTCTAAGGGGAAAGAAGGGATCCCCCCCCCGGCCCCGCTTTCCTAGCTTTTCTTTTTGTCTCTCAACGGGAAAAAAGGTAGATGCCCTTCAATTGGCTTTCTTTCTTTTTTCTCCCTCTCTCTCTCTCTCTAAAAAAAAAAAAAAATACAGACTGCTAAGAAAAGCCAGACGCTGCAATCAAGTCTGTACGCCTCTTGTCTCTCTGATATTCTTTTGCAGTTGCATAGGTTGGAATTAATTCAGAATAATAAGAAGGAAGGTTTTTTAAACAACAACAACAAAAAGCCTTTCTTTCTTTCTTTTTTGCATCTCATACTCTTGCAGTCTGGGTGATTAATGCCACAAACAAATCGCGCGCGAGCGTGTACACACACACACACACAGAGAGAGAGAGAGCGAGAGAGGAGGGAGGGAAAGAGAAACGGGGGTGTCACTATTATTTTCCCTGCAACCCAGTCGGGGGGGGGAGTGTTAGAGAGAAAGGGTGCTGTTAGAAGTCTGAAGTCAAACCTTGGTATCGCCCCCCCCCCCCGGAAAAGGGCAAAATCCTAAATCAAGAGGGTGCGGGCTTTTCTCTCCAACTAGATACAGCTTGCACATTAGTCCGACGTGTTTCGAGATCATCCATATGATGGAGAGGGGCAGTTCAAGCTCCCCCCATCACTTTTCTTTAAACACACACACACACACACGAGAGAGAAAGGTGCTGGGGGGGGAGGTGCCAGAGAAGCCCCCTCCTCCCTCCACCTCCTCCAAGCCCCCAATCCCTCTGCCCGTGACCCTGCACAACAACACCCGGACGGACGTTTGTCTCGGCATTGGGGGGGACGGACGGACGGACGGGGGTGTCTTAAGTAAATAAATAAAGGGAGCCGCTCTTACCTTTTCATGACAACTCCCGAGGACAGAATAAGCCAGAGGTGAATGGAAGGGGTGCAAAAATTTCTCCGCGTCTGGAGAGAAAAAAAGAGGTTTTTTCCTCCTCTCGTTTTTGCAAAAAAATGATTTTATTTATCATCCCCATTTCCCCCTCGCTTTAATCTCCTTTCCTCCTGCGGGGAATCAAACGAGCGCTAAATCCAACCAGCCACAGGAGCGGCGGCAGCAGTAGCAGCAACAGCAGCATCCTCCTCCTCCTCCCCCCACCTCGTCCTCTTATCTCCCCCCCCCTTTCCCTTCCCTTCCAAAAATTTCTTCCCGATCTTCATTCACCGCTCAGCCCCCCCCCGCCCCGCTTGCCTTCCTTTCCCTCCGCCCCCCCCCCCGCGCCCTCTCCGCGTCTGTCTCCGTTCAAGGTTGTTGCAGCTTCCGCGCTACACATGTTGCATCCCAAAGTTAAAGCAGAGAAACCGGCGCCGGGGAGGCGGGTGGGCGAGCGGGCGGAGGGTCGCCTGGGCCGAGAGGGCTCGCGCGGAAGAAAAGAAAGAAGCCCAAGTCTCCCTTCTTCCCTCGCAGGCTGCCTTTCCCCGAGGCCCTGAGCCTAGAAATCTCCGCATCGCTCGGAGAGTTGAGTTATTTATTTATTTATTTCAAAGGCCCCCCCCGCGGTTTTTCCTTTCCTTTCCCACCCACCCCCCTTTCCCGGGTCACCTTTCTAAAAAACACGCGGCGGTGCAAAAAGGAAAAAAGGGGGAGGTGAAGAGAAGCGCATGGGGAGGAGGAGAAGGGGGGGCGAGCGGGCGCTGATATATTTTTATTCCTTTAACGCAGACCACGTCGTCTGTTCTCCCCTCTCTCGCGCAAGGCAAAGATACACACACGCAGACACACATACACACACACGCCAGAGAGGGTCATTAGCATTCCGCACCAACACCACGTCCCCACCAGCACCACGGCAGAGGCAGGTTGCAAAGCGAGGCAGAGCAGGCGAAGCACAGCGCTGCAGTCCTAGGCGCTGGTGGGGGGGGGGTGCGGGGAGCTGGATCGGATCCCTGGCTTCCCCGGATCCCTTCTCAAAAGTAAGGGGGGCGCACGCACATCCACGCGCGCGCGAAAAAGAGAGAGAGCCGGCACGCACCAACCTGGCTCCTCCGACTGAAGTGAGGCTGGGAGCCCTGGGTCTTCTTGGCAGAGGCCGGGATCAGGGGGGAATCAAAGGGTGTTGTTGAGGGGGGGGACCCACACCCGGGGAGGGGGCTCGCCCCCTCTGCGTGGGAGATGTGCTCTGCTCCCACGGCCACGCGAGGAGGTCGAGGCGGAAATGCAACGCAGAGAAAAAGGTGAAGTTTGACAGTCTCCGCTTACTTGCCTGCAATAATCCCTCCCTCCCTCCCTCTGCCTTCCCAACGTGCCCACAGCATTAGAGGTGCGAACTGACCCAGAGCGAGAAAGAAAGAGGCGACCCCGCGGGGGAGGTAAAAAGACCACACTATTTGCATATGGTTGATCATTGGGATGTATGCAAATATAGCTTGCCCATTGCTTAGCATCGATCAGAAGGCGAGCCAGCCGGGTTGCAGAAGAGTGGAAGGGGGGGCGGAGTAGAGAGGGATCATGCCAGTCTTCCTTTGGCTGCCATCCACCCTGCCATGAAGACTGTAGAGAGATGCTTAGGATGGATGGAGACTGGAGAAGGCATTTTTAAAAAGCAGTGAAAAAGATCGTGCATCCCGCTCCCGTGTTACCAAAGGTAGGCAGTAAAAACAGGTTTTTTGGTTCTGTCCCTGTAGCGTCACGCAGGATGGAGAGAGAGACACCACAGGGCTATGAGAAGCCAAGCAGGGGAGAGCTTGTCACACAGCCGCTGGTGGGAGAAGAAGTGAAGTCAAATAAACGAATCAATGGCTGTGGTAGTACAGGCCGGGCGTCGTTAGAGGGCGCTGCACGGGCCGGGTCCCCACCTGCCATTTGGTTCTCTGTTGGCAGCCTGGGGAGCGCGGCGGGAGGGATGGGGGCGGAGTATAAGAGGAAGTGCAGGAGCCACGGAGAGCGGGGAAGCCATTTGAGAACAAAGGCAGGTTTAGTCCAAGTTGGGGAGGGAGCAAAAGAATCCTGTTTGGTGTTGGATCTTTTGGCGGTAACAGTTGGAAGGTAGGGAAGCCCTGCTGTCATTTAAGTGGATTTATAGCCCACCATATTTCAAAGACTCATGGTGGGTTGCAAGGAACATGGCTCCGCCTTTGACTCTCCAGGGTTTCAGAATCAGAAGTCTTTCCCAGTATTTCCCTCTATGGAAATGCCAGAGATTGAACGTGGGACATTCTGCACTGCTCCACCACTGAGCTGTGGACTTTCCTCCAAGCCATCAGCTTCCCTGGCTCTGCCCAAGAGAAATGCACCATCCCTTTTTACAACCCAGCCAGCACTACAGACACAAAACTGTTCTAAGCTCTTCCCACCTGCCATTTGTAATGTGATTCAGCATCTGCCCCCTAAGGATCAATAAGATAGTGGGGAGCAAAGACTTGAAGTGCAACCCTCCCCTCCACACATGCATGCACACACATCATTCGTAGAATTGGAAAGCTGGAAGAGACCGCGAGGATAATCTAGTCCAACACCCTGCAATGCAGGAGTCGTTTGCCCAACGTGGGGCTGTAACCCATGGCCCTTAGATTAAGAGTCTTGTGCTCTACCAGCTGAGCTCTACCCTTCAGTCCTCTGAGATTCATCTATATAATTCAGGCTGCAGCAGAGAGTAAGAGAGGAGGGGAGATTTCTTGCCACTTGCCAAGATTGCTTGCCAACGTGCTTGCAGGAGAGCCCCAGGTGAATCAAGTTAGTGAGCCAAAACACACACTAAGAGAAGGCGCACACACCTTCAGCTTCCCTGACCATCTTGACCCGGGAGCAAACATTCTTCTTTGGACCCGGGTGAGTTGATCAGAGAGGCATCGGTGCCATGCAAAATCCACCCATATCATACACCCTGAGGGAATTTTACTGGAACTCAGGACTGTTCCACCCAGTAACTCACTGTAGTTGCAAAATCTCTTTGGATGCCTCTCCCCCCCCCCATGCTTCCAGGCCTGGAGAGCAATTGCCCTTTGGAATTTTCTGTGGAGTGCTAGAATGGCCCACTTCTTGTTCTCATTGATCCCTGTTTCCTTTTTGACACAGTTTCCACCCCAAAATTCTCCACTGAAAATTGAAAATAGTAATTTCTGGGTCACAGTTTCCTTTCAAAATCATTTCATGGCAGGCTGCTAGTCAATAGCTGAATATGACTATATATATCAATGTGAAACAAAGAGAATAGGTCCCTGCCCTATAGAGCTTGCTGCCTGTGGTTCTTTAAATATGTGTTTTGTTTATTTTTGTATATACCATAACAAAACAAAAACAACACTAACAAAGAAATCACAACTCCCACTCAATGCAAAAACTGTTTTCTATGTGAAATGATCAGATTTTGAAAATATCTGATATCTCAAGGTGTCTTGCCATAGCAATCCATGTGTGGAGAGTGGTCATGGGCATAGCCAAGGGAGGTGGGGGGGGGCAGCTGCCCCTCCATCAAGTAAAACAAGAGTTGTTTCTGCCCCCTCACAAAAATCCTGGCTACGCCCATGAGAGTGGTTGGTTGTGTTCTTTAGTAGCCGCATATGTAATAAAACCAGACTAATACATATTGAAGTTGTCAGTCCAGGTGTTATGTATATGTGTAGTTCTATATACGGCCAGTTGTTTAATTAAAGTTAAAAACCAAATCTGTTGGTATCAGGTTTCAAACATATTGGAGATGGGGGCTTTCCAGAACTTTGCAACAGCCAATATTGCTTTGGCAAATATGAATAAAAGCGAGTCCTTTTGAAATAATCCAGGTCTCTGATTTCCCGAGTTTCCATCGCTTTTGCCCCCTGAGATTCTGAAGGAGTATCATACTTGCAAGTCCTCCTGATTAGCCACCTCCGTCTCTACTTATCTTGTGGCTCAGACTACAAATTTATTCCTCTAAAACTTTCCTACCGGTTGTAGCTGTTTGATATCTTGACTTATAAAATGTATGCGGTGGAAGGGAACTTGGGGGGTCCAGCCTAACCTGGGCTCTTATGAAAAGAAGGATGGTATATAAATGCCATAAATAATGGTAAGGATAAATAAAAATAACTCCCTTGCATTGGGGCAGAGCCCTTGTGTACCAGAGATGCTCAAAACTCCAATGTTAACTCTTCATATGGAATAAAAGGGGTGGATGTGGAATACCTCTCTACTTCCTAAATCAAGATGCCACTCTTTTGGCGTGTTAAGAGAAGCAGCATGCTATAAAAAGTGGCACAATTTTGGTGCAGTATAGTAATTATTCAGTGGAGGAAAGTATTCCTCATCTGTTTTGGGAGGAGAGTATATTTGTGTCTATGTGCAGATGGTGTTCCTTTCAGATAATTCACATATTGCTGTTTGAGTTTGCTAAATACACGTACCCTAACCTGAGATTGGAATATATTTTGAACTTTGGATCTACTGCTTTAGAATAGTTTGTAGGATAAACAGCAATCCAACCAATACTGGGTTGGGAGCAATTTATGTTTACATAAAGTGACCATCTTAATGCTTTTTCCTAAAAAAATTTAAAAAACCCAGAACAACCCAACCTTTGCTTCCCTTCCCTTCACCCAAACCTACAAGCTGTGAAACTCGCCTATCGCCTCCTTTCTAGCACCAAGCCTTGCTTGGCTCCAGTCCAGTCCCTATATCCAAATACTCACTGAACTCAGAAGCTTTTGTTGGCAAGCTGGGGCAGCTGTTTATAGTTTGCACGCCACCCTAGTCTCCAAGCGGTGCAAGGTTCCAGGGGTCTACCCAGGGTTTGGTTTCCTTGGAATGAGGGACAGCAGAGACTGTCTTTAGGGTATATGTTTTATATACACATGTATACAACCTGAGTCTATGATGGAGGGGCTCACAGCATTAACAGCGCAGGAGATCTTGCTTCTCTCATTGTCACAGCCTAGAAATCAAGCATGGCTCTCACTCTCAGGTGAGTGTGAGCCTGCCTCTAGCCCAGCTCACATACTCTACTCTGCCTTTGTCTTCCCCACTACCAGCCAGGTGGGGGGGGGGACCCATTTGCCCTCTGGCACAGAGCAACCTCCTTTAGTACACTAAGGACCCTTAGCTAATTAAAAAATGTGGAATCCCCCAAACTCACAACAGTATGGAGGTGTCACCCTCATTCCTTGATGCAGCTTTTGCTGGGGTCAGCTATTTCTCCAGGGATTTCCCCCCCTAGCTTCCTTATACGGAGCCAAACCATTTGCACGTCTAGTTCAATGTTGTCCAAGTTGACCGGCAGTGGCTCTCCCAGCCCTAACCTGGAGGTGGCAGCAATTGAACCTGGGACCTTCTGCATGCAAGGAAGATTCTCCACCACTGAGCTAAGACGCAGCTACCTCCAGGTTGTTGAGAGATGCCTGTTTCTCTCCCACTTGTGTCCCCCTGCCCCACTTCTTCTTCTTCCACAGCGCACGGCTTCTGCTGCAACCATAGAATTAGGGCTGGGAAGTTTGAAACACAGATACCACAAAAGGGGGAGCATTTTGGCTGAGTCCTTCTAGCAGCAGTGGGAAAGCAGAACAGCTCAGAGGAACAAAGGATCCCTTCTCTATTCATGACACTCGACTTTTGCTGGCAGGGAACAAGGGAATGAGGAAGAAAGAGAGAGAAAAATAGACACAAGAGAGAATGAAAATGTCCAGCACCAGGATTCCAGCTGCCTTTAATGAGAGAGATCTGTCCTCCCTTCAGGGAAAGGAATGGGGGCTAATGGGATAGCATAGGGAAGGAGGGCAGGACTCCTGGGTTCTCTAAGCGGGAGCAGTGAGGTGACAGGGGACTAGAGCAGCAGGGGGGTGTTGGGAACTGAGGTTCTGAGCACTCGGGGTGGGGGTGGGGGTGGAGGTAAGGAAGAGCCTGACATCAGAATTAAAAATCCACATGAAGGAAAAATTCATGATCAGGGGCCAGCAGGAGCACAGATACTTTTACGTCAGATTTTTAAATTCAAGTACATTTGGCAGGCAAAATTCATGAGTAGGAGACACAATTCCTGCTTGTGTTTGCTCACAGATCTTTCCTGGAAATTCCCTGTGGATTCTCTGTATTCTAACGTACCATTTCCACACACCCCCACTTGGGTGTTTCCCTCCCATATGTATTATTTTACAGACAAAGAGAAAAAGCCCACATTAGAATCATGGTTGACAGCATGGTAGAATATTTTAGTGGTTTAAAGCGGAGGTACTGGAGAGTCATTAACAGAGGGGAAGTGGGGTGTCTTAACACTGGAGATGGCTGAGACTGGTGGTGTGCCTAAGACTGCAGATTGGTGTCTAAGAAGGTCTAAGATGCTGTGCAGGCATACAGATCCACCCATTCAACACATATGTACACGCTGTGATAAATATCTACTGACACACAGGTGTAAAACTAAGCCAATCATTTAAAAAAACACCCCTGGGGGAAATTAATGTTGATACAGAAACACACACACAGTCACACACACACATATTTATTTATTTTTACATTTTCAGGTGTGTATATATTGAGGGCTGAATATGCCCCAATCCTAGGAGGAGAATAGCCAGGCGGAATCAAACCAGCATCCTTTCTGTTTAGCGCCCTGCTTCCAGTAGCAGGCAAGCCAAAAGCTGCTGGGTGCTCACAAGGAGGACATGAAGGCAGTGGCTTTCCTCTCTGATGTCACCAGCCCCTGTTCTTCTGAGGTATACTTTATATATGGAGGTTCCATTTCACTGCCATGACAAATAAGCTGTTGCTGGCCCTAAACTCCACTTATTTGTCTAATCAGACTTTTTGTTAGAGCACCCTAAGGTAACAGCCATTGCTGCCTCATATGGTAGTGAACTCCATAGATGAAAGATGAGCTCTTTGAAAAAGGATGTCCTGGCACCAATCTTGAACCAATTTCTGAACAGTTTTACTGGGTAATCTTGAATTCTGTTCTTAAGAAAGAATTTCCTCCTCTGCACAGTTAATAATTTTATGAATTTCTCTCATGTCCTAACCCACCTTCCTTTTTTCAGAACTAAAAAGCTCCCAACTGAAAATGTAAGAATAATTCTCTTGTGGGATTAACACCAAGAGCTACACAATTATATACACTTTCCCTGCTGTGCACAAACATTTGCTTGCAGATATAACTTTTTCACAAGCAAACGCTCACCTGAACAATTCACAGGTTTGTGATACACACATTATACAGTTAATATGAAAGCATGTTTCTAGGCTCTCGATTTCACCCAGGGCAAAAGAGACACAAGCAGGTGTGTGTACAGTGTGAAGAGAAATATACTAATCTGCACGTGTTTTCATACACATTTGCCAGGTGCTCCCCATTCACACAGGTGCTTGAATCCAGAGACTCCTGCATACACATTTTTTCTTAGTCTCTCTCTCCCTGCACCCCACTCCTCTTCCGTCTCTCTCGCGCTCTCTCTCTCCAGCTCCAGTATGGGAGCTTGTGCAGGAACAGTGTGTTCTTTGTAGATGTGGGAACATCATGTTACAGAAGATGTGCAAAATTCTCACTTGAGCCCCCTAATCATTCCAATGCAATTAAAACTGCCACAGCAGCAGCCGGTGCAACAACCATCAAAAAAGCCAGGCCTACAACCAGGGTGGAGGCTAGAAAATGTACATCCCAGACGACACCTGGAAATGTAATGAAACGTTACACTACTCAAACCTATCTGGATCGACTTTGTTCCTGATGTGTGCATCGCTTGACTTCTTTGTTTTGATTTGTCCTCTCCACTCAGGAATTCCAGGCTTCCAGCTGATCCAAATGACATGCTCTCACCTGCATGCCTTCAGATTTTTTCTTTTTAACCTGACATGACTTGAGCCTCAGCACTTTTATCTTCCCCAGAAGCCTCTCTTCTTGAGGCAGGCTGTGTAAAGGCAGGCTGCATTTGCTCAGGATTTAGGGAAGACACCCTGTGCACGTTTAGAGGCCCTTTTCTCTATTGTTCACCCTTCCAGGATGGACCTTGCATTGACAGCAGGCTCTAGGGCTGAGGCTTGGCTGAGCCCTGTCACAAGATAAATCCTGGAAGTCCGAACCCAAAATTCCCCTGCTTTGGCCCACCACATTTGACTCAATCCCAGAAAACCCCTCATATTTTGATTCCAGGCATCCCTTGCTTTAATGCAGAAGGCAGCCCTCACAAGCCCCTGAAGGTCCTGAATTCTCCCTGCCTACAAATGGTGTGTGCTCCTCTTCCACCCCCACCTGGCAGCGACATTTCCTGGGAGGTATTGGATGCGGTAGGTGGAAGCTGGCTCCCGAGGAAGGGAAGGAAGGCCCATTATGTTTATTGCCCCTATATGAGGAAAGTGGTACCATCTGGCCTTGGGGGTCTCTGTGGCAGTGAATGGGAAAGAGAGTGATTCATTTATTCCTCTTCCCCACCCCATGGTGGTTGCCATTGGCAGTTGCTGCCTAGTGAAATTCATGTCTCCCTGCTTTTTAAATACTTTGTTAATTGCTTTTTCGGATACGCTCTGCTCCTCACGAATGAGGCCAGAATAACTATTATGCCCTGGGAAGCAGGATTTTTGGGTTCACTGGAAGAACCTAGCGAGCTATACAGGCAGGGATGAGTTGGGGGTTGGCCATGCAAGAGTCTGCAGTCTACTGAGTCGGAACATGGGGGAGGGGGGATGGCACAAAGGGGGGTGCCAGGCTCTTTGGATGATCAGAAGGGGAAGGATAGCATTTTGTTAATTAATCTATAGATGGGACAGGGTTTCTCTGGAGCTAGGCTTCTTGGCTTTCCCCCATTCCAAGCTTTCTCCCCCTTGTGCAGTTCCACAGGAAGGGTGGAATTGGTTTGTTTGTTCACCTCTGAGGACCAGATGGAAAACAACATGCCGTGAGCTGGAAAGCCACTGCTAATAGCACATTTTAAATGCATATCATTTTCATACAGTTTGTGTGGATGTGGCAGGTGCCAAGCAGCAGTCAACAGGGGTGCTGTGCTTATTCTATGCTAATCTTGGAAATAGCATAACTTGAACAGCGAGAAAAAAGATGTAAGGCGGCCATAGGTCAGTAACTTGGACAGGGGAAACAGCGGGGAGGGAGGGCACCATCCCATTCTCTGGAGATTTCTTTGCAACCCTCTAAATGAAAAAAGAGAAAAAAGGACGCTTTTAATGTGAATTGTCCTCATATGAATAGAGATTTGTGTTCCTGAGTCTTTTGATCTGCCTGAATGCTTCAACAGCCCGATTAGAATCATGTTGTCTCTTCAAAAAAGAAAGATGGGATTGTCAGGATTCAAACAAGCTGGAGGCCGCAAAACATGCCACCCTTTCTCTGGAGAAGACAAAGCTGAATCTGCATGCAGACCAGAGGACTCCAGAGGACTTCAGCTAACTACAGGCCTGGTTACCACAACTCGCACCCAGACCTTGAATACATTCTTCCTGAATGGAAAACCAGGGGCACAGACTATTGGTCAGACGGGCGCCTCTGAAGAAAGCAAGGGAAGCAATTGGGGGCAGGGGGAGGGAAATAGCTATAGCTCAGGGATAGAAGAAACACATTGAATATAAAATGTCCTAGTCCCATTGATGTCTGGCAGCTCCAGGTAGGGCTGGGAAAGACCCTGCTCTCAGAAATCCCAATAATTAACTGGCAGTTAGCACAAGACTGAGCTAGATGGAACAGTGGTCTGGCTTGGTGAAAGATTTGCCCCAATTCGCTGGAGTAGAACTGATCAAATGTGGAGCCACAGCACTTTAGTGAGATACCACAAGTTAGGCAGGGTCTTGTCAAATCCAGGCTCAGCAGCCACAAACCTGACAGTACAAACTGGGGAGGAAGAAAGCGCTCGCTGGATTCAGAGCAGACTTATCCTAGCTGCCTGTTTTATGAATGTCTGGGCCAGAAAGTCTCACAGCACTGTGAGAAATGCAGAAATCATCCACAGCTGTAGTTGTCTACAAAGCTTTTAAACATGTCCCTAAACACTCTTCAACTGATATGGAGTTATGTCCACCTGTGGATAAAGTGTTTTTTAAAAAAACAAAAAAACTGTGTGAACAGGAAGGGACTAAATACCAATCCTGAGGTTACACTGCCCTCTGTTGTCCACAAAGGAGACTGCAGATGAAGAAAAGACAAACCACTTTTTCACTCTTTAGGGGTGCTTCCAGACTCTCATTATTTTGGGGTGGGATTCAGCAGTGGCGGACTTTGGGCTTTCAAATTTCAGTGGAGTCCTGTGCAACACCAAAATTTGACACCCCCTGCCTCTCGCCTTCTGTTTTAAGTCATTGTTCTGACACCCCCTGCGGTATCCTCTCTGCTCGGCACTGTTCATTGAGGAACACTTCACAAATGATGAAACTCCTACATGGGAGTCACTGCTGCCTAGGCATTTCTGTGAAATGTGCATAGATTGTCATGCATTATGATTCGAAACGTGTGACATATGCTATATGTGCATGTGGTGGGAAGACATGATTCGCTAAAACTTCCCACGATATGTTGTACTGCATACATACATTATGATTATGATTGTAATTTTCATTGAACTGTTTGTTCCAAACCACTTTTACTATTATATTTTACATCAAGTATCTAAATTTGAAAATTGGCAGGGGGCAGCAAAAATTACATCCAACAGGACAGGAACAGATATATGCAGACATATCTGATGTGTGCGCGCATGTGCATCACCCGTAATAACTGGCTACACCAAGACAATTAAACTAGCTTAATTTTTTATTGCCAATATGCCATCATAACTGAGGGGGAAAGGGCAGGTCTTTGGGGAGCTTTGTAGTTTTGCAGAAATTCCACTGGCTGGCAACAGCGCCCTCTGCTGGGCTCAGGCCCTCCTATGAAGCACAGCTGCCCCTACCAGAGCCAAGCTTTTTTCTGCCCACTTCCTAAAGACTCCTTGAGACTCCACACCCAGTAACATTGCAGTATGTACCCCTCTCCTAGTTGAGCTGCCACCCCTTCCCCACAGCACAGGAAGAGAAAGACAGAATGCTACCAAACACAAACTCTGGAGAGTGGATTGGAACGAGCTCTTGTGATTACTGGGATGGGAAGTGGCTGCAATGCAGGAGGGACGGGACCTGCAGCTCTCCAGTTGGACTCCCAGTTCCTATTATCCTTAGCTAGCATGGCCAATGGTGAGGGATGATGGGAGTGGGAGTCTAGCAACCCCTAGAGCGCAACAGGTTTCCAGTCCCTGTTCTGGTGGATCAGATGGTTGGTTGGCATCCATCTGTCTCAGAAGACCACCGCCTTCGGGGGTGAAGTCAAACCGCTGGACAGTTACAATGCTGTGGCTGTAGAGAATGATACAGGAGAGACATGTTTTGTTGCATCTGGGGCAGATGAAGGCATCCAGTTGTGCTATTGCAGATGCACCACGGCGTTTCTTCACTCTGTTGCTCCTCCCAGTGGTCATTTCTCCTCTGGTCTCCAGGCACTGCAGTCGTCTGTAAGGGATTCCCACAGGGCAGGGTTGATACTGCCAGCCTTCACGTCATGTTTGCAGACACCTTTGTAATGAAGCCAGCTCCCCATAGAACATGTCCTATAGAACATGTCCTTCCATCTTCCATTTTGTGGACATGACCAAGCCAGTACAGATGTGCAAACACGCTGAGAATGTGAGCTTGGGAGAGCACATCTTTCTTTGTGACTCTGTCCTGCCATGTGACGGCCAAAATCTTCCTGATGCAGTGCATGTGGAAAATGTTGAAGCATTGCTCCTGTCGCGTGTAAGTGGCCCACGATGCACTTCCATAAAGCAGCATGCTCAACAAGTAAGCCCGGGTGACCTTCATCTTGGTACAGTGGTACCTCGGGTTAAGTACTTAATTCGTTCCAGAGGTCCGTTCTTAACCTGAAACTGTTCTTAACCTGAAGCACCACTTTAGCTAATGGGGCCTCCCGCTGCTGCCGCGCCGCCAGAGCACGATTTCTGTTCTCATCCTGAAGCAAAGTTCTTAACCCGAAGTACTATTTCTGGGTTAGTGGAGTCTGTAACCTGAAGCGTCTGTAACCTGAAGCGTATGTAACCCGAGGTACCACTGTATTGGATGTAATAGCATCACATTCTCCCATACCCTTTAGGAGAGGCGAGCCATTGTCACAGCTCCCTTGCCAATACGCTTGTCCAGCTCAGCATCGATGGAGAGGCTGCTGGTTATGCTGGAACCCGGGTAGACAAAACCGTCTACCACCTCAAGCATGTGGTCACCAGTACTGATGCCTGGAGATTACCAAAAGTGTGTGTGTCGTCCACTCTCCTCCCCGTTTCAGTATGCATGCAAGCTATTATCTGCTGGTGTTTATTATGAAGTTTCCGTTCCAGGCTCTGGAACACCCTTCTGACCTTCCTAAGCTAGTGACTCCGCCCCTCGGCTCGGAAGCCAGAAATAGGAGCTGGAAGTCTCGCTGCTTTCTTCAGTCGAGTCCCAACCCTCCAGCTTGCCCTAACCCAGCCCAGCTGTGGGTGTGGCGAGACTTCCTCCGCCCCCTTTTGTGGCCTTCTTTCCCAGGAATCCTTACATCCACACGCGCCAGCTTACTTTGATCAAAAAGGAAGAAGAAATAAAAACAAAAGATTCTTTTCCTCCCGATCACGCACTACCCACCCCCATCCTCCTGGGATCTGCTCCTGCTCCCAAAGGTTATATTTGTCTACTCTTTCCGCAGATTTCCCGCTAGGAAGCTAAGCAAATCTCTCCACCGCACACCCGGAACACCATGAATGTATTCCGCTTCCTAGGAGACATCTCTCATCTATTAGCTATAATCATCTTGCTGCTGAAGATCTGGAAGACAAGATCATGTGCTGGTAAGAAAGAAGGCGTTCCGCTGCTCACTCTCTTACGTGGGAATGTAAAATGTTATTTATTCCCGGCCTGAAAGTGATCACATAACAATGGGAGACAACCTGTAATTGACTAGTTTACGCTTGTAATTTACTCATGCAATTACTTACTCTCCTTTCCTTTGAAGGCTGCAATTGTATGCACGTTTACCAGGGAGTAAGCCCACCTGGAGCTTACTTCTGAGTAACCTGCCACAGGATTGCATAGTGACAACTTAGCTTTATTTTTTAGCTATTGGTTTATTAAAATTAAGCAATTTCCCTTTATTTTTTTCCAGGTTTCTATTTCAGGAACTGAAAGACAGTCCTGTTGCAATTCTGTTTTCTTCCTGACTTGGAGATTTATGAAATGTAATTTTTAAAAATGTGATACTGGGTTTTGATAATAGAAAAGTTATTTCTTGCCTGTCGTTGAAACATCATGCACAACAAAATCTGTTTTCATAAGGAATGCAGAACCATATAGCTGGTTATTATTTGTTAAACCTTTCCTTTGCTAAATAGTTCCTTCTCAAACTACAGACACTTGAGTCTATGGATGTTTACTTGAAGTCATGCCCCACTTTGCTCAGTGAGGATTACTTTTAGGTAACTGTGCATAAATTTTGCAACCTTAAAGATATGGAAATGTCCCCCCTTTATCATTTTAAAAGTTTTCAGATAGTAGATTTAAACATCCATTTCCATATCATCTTAAGAGTTCGTATAAACTTCAGTAATTAAGGTACTTTACTAATGTTGTGAGTTTGCTTTCTCTTGAACGATGCCCCTGACTCCATATAAGGCAGCTTCCTATGTTCCTAAATGTGTTTGGGAGTTTTCCTTACAGGAAAAAACAATGATTTTGTTAAAGCTGGTGGCTGATTGTGGAATAATTTTTTCTATGTGTAGGATCTATGTATCTGTGTTGAATTCAACTTGTCCTTTAAAAGGAGATCTACCATTCATCTTTTATAGCAATGCTTTATACCGGTAACTAAAACATAGTATATGAAGCTTGCTTTTAGGAAAGGTTACCTCCCCTTGCCAAAGTAGCATAGTTATCCTGGCCAGGCATGGGTTAATTGGCCTTTGGGGTGGGGAAGAAAGCTATAATGAGGGGGGATCAAAGTGGAAGTTTTAATTTTATCCTTTGTGGAATTCAGTGGGGAGAAGCTGGTTGCATGGAACTTGACAGAGGCTGGATGATGACGTGGAATATAGTTCAGACTAGACTGGCAAAGTTTATTAGGTCTCCTCCTCCTGAAAAAAAAGAATCTGGTTTTCTGGTTGTCTGGGTGGTCTGTAGAGAGTAAAAGGATTGGGTGGAGGGAAGCCAGAGGCCCTGCACATGTGTGTATTTCCTCAGGCCTGAATAGGAAACTTCCTCCTGCTGGGCAGAACTGGGAAAGGCCGTGGATTATATCATGCATTAGGCCCAGTCGGAGATGCATCCCAGCACACTACCATCCTGCCTCTGTGGCTCTTTTGGATTATTTTTATTCTGTGCCTATGTGTGGTATGCCTATGTACAGTGGTACCTCGCAAGACGAAAGAGTTTTCCGTTTTTTGAGTCGTTCCGCAAGACGAATTTCCCTATGGGCTTGCTTCACAAGACGAAACGTCTTGCGAGTTCTTGCGAGTTTGTTTCCTTTTTCTTAAAGCCGCTAAGCCGTTAATAGCCACTAAACCGCTAATAGCCGTGCTTCGCAAGACGAAAAAACCGCAAGACGAAGAGACTCGCGGAACGGATTAATTTCGTCTTGCGAGGCACCACTGTATTTTTTGTGTTGAGGCTTGAGCGGTTCTGAGGCTGGATGGTGAAATCCTGAAGAGTTTGTTTAATTCTTCATTATTTTTTAGTTGATCCTAATAAATATATTGATTACTATATTGTTTTTGAGTGTGTGTGTGTGTGTAAAATTATTGTGAATGAACATGGCTACTTTAAACGTTTGTTATTTCACAGAACCCTTGTGGTTATCTGTGAGTTTCACTGCCCTGTGCTTCTCTGTGCAGGGATTTCTGGGAAGAGCCAAATTCTTTTTGCCATTGTCTTCACCACTCGGTACCTAGACCTCTTCACCAACTACATCTCCTTGTACAACACCTCCATGAAGGTACTGGCTTCGACCGTGCGTTAGATGGGACTGGGTGGAAGGAGAGCATAACAGGCTTGGATGAAGTGTGGGTCTGGCATAAATCAGAGAGAAAGGGAAATGTTTAGGTAGGAGAGAAGGCCTTGCTCTCAGCTTCTACCCCTCACTCTGCCTGAAACACCTTGACACCACAGTCGGTTACAGTAGTAGGAGATAGGATAAGGCAGGCTGCACTTCTGTGCCCACTTACCTGGGAGTAAGCCCCATTGAACTCAATACAATTTACTTCTGACTAGGTAGAGTTGCACTGTTCAACTGTGACATGTGCAGGCCTTTGTACTCAGAAATAAGTCCTGCTGAGCTCAGTGAAGCTTATCTCCAGGTATGTGTGTGCAGGATGCAGTTGTAAAATGTTGATATAAGAGGAAGCAAACTTTTGAGTTCTGCAGGGCACTTCATCAGGCGGAATAATTATAGTCTAAGACTTTGAAGTCTTTCTGCCCCATATTTCTGGACAAGCTTAACGACAGCATATTATTATACCAGAAGGTTAAAAGCAAAACAGTGAACTAAAACTTTGAAAAAGAGTACTGAAAAGTAAGTTACAGAACGTACTGAGAAGATCTACAAGCCTGGTGTACCACTTTTCAATGTGAGGCTAGTAGAATTAAGGAAAAGGGTGGAAATACATTGTTATAAGGGATTTGGGGTGCATGGGGGAGGTTGGCTGGATGCTAAAGAGGGCTTTTGAATCTAGAAATATGAGAGGGACTATTTAATTTTTAAGACGGGTTTCCTAGGGATTCTCTGTAACATGATTAGACTATAGGAGGGCTAGTTTACATTAAGAATTGGGGTGGTGGGGTGATAGTTGATCTCAGTGATCCCTCTTGATCTATTTTGTCTCCTATAGGTAGTTTATATTGCATGCTCCTATGCCACAGTGTGGATGATCTATAGCAAATTCAAAGCCAGCTATGATGGCAACCATGACACCTTCCGAGTGGAGTTCCTGGTCGTTCCCACAGCAGTGTTAGCTTTCCTAGTGAATCATGATTTCACTCCGCTAGAGGTAATTTAATGTATAGGTTGGTCTTGTTTTGCACTAAGATCCAAGCCCCCAAACGGCTGTCTCATAAAGCAGGGGAAGGCAATCTTTTTGGCTCCACGCATGTAGGGGTTGGTAGGAGCCACATGCCAGCAAATGTAGCAAGATTCAGTCCCGCCTGTCCACATAGTAACGCATCCATACAGCAGTGTCCAGTTGCGTGTGCGCAAATGCACAAACCCATGGAGATGAAAGGTATGCAGGGGTGTCCTTCCCTGTGCATTTTACCCCCCCCCCCAGCGTAATTGAGCCTCTCAGTCAGAAGTTTGGAAGGCAGGGGGTTTAAAATGCAGAGAAAGGCATGTGGAGGTGACCATCCCGGTGCTGCTTTCTCTCCATTAGGATGGCTGCGTCTGAAGCCCTTCACCCTATGTAACCAAATTCACTCTAGTCTAGGCTTGCCATATGTCCTGAAAATTCCTGATGTCATGGTTTTGGGGTGTAAAATGGCGTAAGGGGGAAATTTTGCTGAATTGGATGTATGACAATGTGATGGGGAAAGCTGCAGAAACAGCACCAAAATCACTGTTTTTGGGTGAGGTTTCCTAAAAAAAGGAAAGCTCAACAATTTTTAATTTTAATCTAGTCTATCCCCCACTTCTTGGGTGACCAACTGAGCAGTGGGGGAAAGTGCAGTGTTTCCTGGAGCAAAGCTACCCAGGGAGCAGTCAGGGACACCAACTTCTGGCATCATTAAGTGTTCTGGCCAAGGGGCACCTATGTCATGGGTTATGTGCTGGCATTGACTTCTTACACTTTGTCTTATTTTGCCTCTGTACTAATTATCTATATATTTGTTTTCTCTTTTTAGGATTATAGGATTGGGCTTAGTTTTGTTTTCTAAAGCAACAAACTGCACTTGTGTGCTTAGGCACAGACAAATAAACCTGAAGTTCATTATTCAAAATTTGTTCCAGTGAGGGGTGGATGGCATTCAAATGGGATTGTGATGTAGCTGAGACTATATGCTGCTCTGCCAAAAAAGAAATGCAGTTTGTTAAAAAAAGGAAAACATTTCCTATAATTGGAAGGGCAGAGGGACAGAATGGCTAGGACTAGAATATTTGTCCTCCAAATGTTGATGGATTACAGTTCCCATCATTCCTGACCATTGGCCATGATGGCTGGGACTGATGGGAGTTGGAGTCCAATGACATCTGGTCTCTATTTCTGAATTAGGGAGTGGTTTGTATCTCTTGAGTGAGGTACAAGGTTTTGCACACAACACCCAAAGCAAATGCTAGTTCCGGGCAATCTAATGCAGGCTGCATCTACTCGTTGCAGTATTTCCAGTGGCTAATGATGTAAAAATGAGTTGGGGCAGATATACCCTTAATTTCTGTCCTGAATCTTGCTGTTTAATAGTAGAAAGTCCAAATAATTCACTTCTCAGCATCTAGAATTCTCAATTTTCCCTTCTTAAAATCCTCAAGCTAATGTTGAGATGGCAGCACAACTTTGAGGTTATTATGGACTGGCCCAGAGCTGTGCTTCATTGTCAGTAATATGTAAATTACAATCATATTGTATCTTTCTTGGATGCCTCCAGATTCTCTGGACTTTCTCCATCTATCTGGAGTCGGTGGCTATCTTGCCACAGCTCTTCATGGTCAGTAAGACAGGTGAGGCCGAGACCATCACAAGTCACTATCTCTTCGCCTTGGGTGTCTACCGTGCCCTCTACTTGTTCAACTGGATTTGGCGTTACCAGTTTGAGGGCTTCTTCGACCTCATTGCCATTGTGGCTGGCTTGGTGCAAACCATACTCTACTGCGATTTCTTCTACCTCTACATTACAAAAGGTATTTTGGAAATAATGGGTGGAAACTAATTTCTTTATGTGATCATGTGTATATACGATAAAATGGGAGGCTAGGATTCAAGGCTTCTAGAGTGGAGTGGAATTAACACAGTGAGTTGGGAGTCTATCTCAAGAAGACACATATTTTATCTTGAATGAGCAGTGCTGCTGTCTAAAATATCACTAGAGGGTGCTGTACAGCTAGTATCAGGCCTCCACCTCTGTAGCTTGGAAAGACTTATTGACACTATACTTATTGTAAATAGGCAACAAATTAATTAGCTTCTTAGTTCTTTCTCCTTGTGACTGGGAAGAGATGATACAGATAAATATTTCCCACATGAAGAAGTATAAATGCTAGGAACTTATCCATATACAGTACTGTGAGCACATCTGGTCCAGCTCTGCCAAGTGAATTGACCTACCAGGCATCTGGTTGTCAGTTATTTAGTTTACTGTGGTATTTTTACTTATGTGTGCCTGTTGGGTTTTCTGTCTCAAGAACTAAAATGACTTGGAATATCTCTTGTAGGATGTTGAAAACTTAGGCATTTGTTGCTTTTTAAAGATAATGATAGGGTATATTTGGGCTGAGTGTATGTGTACACACATTTGCACACCAAATATTGCAGTGTGGAGTGGTCCTGTTCCCTTCATGTACATCATATTGTGGTCATTGAGCACATGCTTAGGGCTGTTATGGATTCCCTTCCTGAAATATTTTTTTCCTGCTTCTGCAAATCTCACGGGTTCCCAGCCTGCTACCTCCCTCTGATCTGCAGCGTCTCCATGGATTTTTGGCTGAAGACAGGAGATTGTATATCCATCACATTACGTAAATTGGTTTTGATTGTATTATTATTGCTTCTTCTTACGTTGTGTTTTATTGTATTACAAATTGCATTACTACAACAGACAGTGGAGCAGGGCAATTGATTGGATGGGGGCTGCAGACTTTCTGACTCTACGTCTGGCTAATTTTAGCCTCCCATCTACCACCTCTCGTCACACTGTAGTTTGCGGTGCTCTGTGTTCAAGCAAACTGCAGCATGACGACACTTGCATTTTTATTATATGTATATAATGAGCAGAATTTTCAGATGTGACCATGCATTTTATAGTGCTACTTTAATTTCAAGGCTATAATTACTATTTCTGGTTGATGCACCTTTTTTTTTCAGAGGTTGCTGAAAATGTATTTTTCCCTTACCAGAGGTTGTTATATTTTTGTACTTTCAACAGCTCTACAGCTATAGCAAGACAAAATTCTCATACATTATTTTTTCTCTTTTTTTTCTTCAGTTCTAAAAGGCAAGAAGTTGAGTTTGCCGGCATAGTTCACACTGAGCCCATGACAAAGATACTTTGGCCGAGAAGGATGAGGGGAATCCTTCACAGGAAGTTAAAAACAAAGTTTCTGGGGTTTTTTCTTTTTTTTATTCTTACCAACGAAGTTAAGTCACCTGTTGATCTCTTCTTGCACCCTGAACTTTTACCTGAGTGTGATTCGGGTCAAAACAATGGATTGTCCTTCTGCTCAAGAGACTGATATAGAAGGGGTGAGGTGGGCAACAGCTTGGACTCCAAGCTTATAATGACTACTGCTGGTGATATATAGGTGGTAGGTTTCTCAAGGGCCCTTTTTATCATTGACCTCACTTTCTATACTCCTGACTCTATTTTGATAATGAACTGCCACAGCTAGGAAATATTTTTAAAACAACAACTACAACAACAACAACAACAACTGGACATCTCCCTCCTCTCACATTGTGCTCATGTTTTGGGCTTTGGGTTGACCACAGCTATGAAGAAATCTGAGTGCCGTGGGTCTATCCAGATAAACAGGAGCACTTACAAATTTAATCTATTTTCTTTAGATACTGATTATTTTTCTCTATTTTTAAAAAATATTGCTGGCAAGAAAAGACCACCCTAATACATTCTTACACTTGCTTCATTTTGAATATTATTTGATGGTTAATTCCTCATCTACTTTAAATAAAACAAGCAACCATCATCCCAATTAATTAGTGCCTTTGTGGGAGGGATGGGAATTTAAATAAAAAGAAATCTGTTTTGTTGCCTGTTTGTATTGAAATCTTTGTGTTTCCCATTCCTGTACATTCATCCTCATTTCCCATACTATTCTCCTGTACAGTATTGCTGCTTTCTGTTAAAACAGAGGCTGCTTTCCCCCATCTCTTGAAGCTCTCTCTATTCATTGGCTTATATCAAACTAAGTTTTACCAGAATAGATTCATTGAAATTAATGGAAATGACTAACTTTGATCAGTTAATTTCAGTGTGCCTACTCTGAATAAAGTTTAGTTGGATATAACCTACTGAGTTTAGTGGGGCTTTCTAAGTTAGCAGGCATACAATTGTAGCCTTAATATTTGTTATGATAAAACACATTTTCTGTAGTTGCCACTTTTCTCTGGTTCTCAAAGACACTGCTGTCTCAGCAAAATTACTTTTTATCTTAGCCAATCAAAATGTCATGTGTCTCCACATGACACTAAAAGGGGCCTTTGAGCCTCTCTAGTGCTATTCTGGCCAGATGTAAATGTTAATGTGAGATGGAATATGGAAGATAAATTGAAAGCATGTTCTAATCAATTTAAGCTCTCAGTTTGCCTTGTAGACCGATTTACAGTGTGCTGATGCAAAAGTAAATCTTGCCAAGTCCAGTGGGGCTTACTCCCATGTATTAATATGTAAAGATTAGCGTCTTAAGCAAAAATGCTATAAATCTCATGTATGAAAACAGGTTGGAAAATGATTAGAATTACTGGCTTGCAAGTAATGGTATGAGAAGTTTTCTACTTTATTGGAAATGCTATGCGAACATGTCATGCATGTTGCTTGGAGGGAGCTCTTCTATCTCTGCAGATGAGGACATGCACCCACATGCAGATGGATTTTTACATATGGATGATTTCTCTTCTTGACTTGAGATATATGAAAAATTGCATTCATGCTGCAATCCTATGCATACTTTACTGGAAGTAAGTCTTATTGAACTCAGTTGGAATTATTTCTGAGCAGACATTCGCAGGAGTAAGATGGCATTTCCCCTTAAACTTCTTTCAGCATCAAAGGCAGAAAACTATTTCAAATAGAAGTAAAGCCTAAGAGTTGCCATAGTTTGAGTGACTAGTCATAGGGCAATGACTAGTAATGTTTTAAGTTCTATACCTTTAATATGATTATCCAGTAGCAGTCATTAGGTTTCTGTTTTGGTTATCATAAATAGCCAGTTGTTTTCCAGATATTTGTGATATTTAAGGAGCTGTTGCTTGCTACAGAAAGCTAGTAGCTACTTGAAACATTCAGTAGTCGTTACTAGGTAAATTTGAGTCTGTGGCAGCATACACATATAAGCTAATCATTTATATCTTTCACAGAATCACAGAGAAACTTTACTGGATTAGGTTCTATACTGATACAGCCTTCAGTGGCTAGCATCTATTTGATTACAGTAGCTAGCAAAAGTGCAACAATGGCTATGGAGATGACAGCTTCAGGATGTATCTGTCTAAAGCCTGGTTCAGGCTTAAAATTGTTCACACAAGTCCATATATTAACATTCACAAGGCTTAAACAAGTAGCGTTGAACCAGTACAATGGGGAAAGGACTGTATCTGAAGTGCTGCACACCAGCTGGGTGGCAGAGGGCAAATGTCACTCCAGTGCTTTCATTATTTCCTTGATTTCTTAAAGCTGGGACTGGCAGCCAGAATAGCTGCATTTTGTTATATCCAGTTGAGAAAAAAATGTGTGGCAGTTGCACATGCAGATTGTCTCCATTTTTTGTTCTCTTCCCTAGTTGTAATATCTTTGGTTTTTTATGACTGGAAAACAACACATGTGCACAGCTGCCATAGTAGTGCAGTTCATATAGAAACAGCAGTGTGGAACTATTCTTACAGTTAATCCTGGCTTTAAAGGGCTAAAATTAGCAGCTAGTGCTGCAGAAGCTGGGCAAGCCTAGACAATGGGAATGGTGAGTGGGTGAGCACCCATTTCTTTTGTGAAGCTGTGGCCCCATGTTCTTATTGTGCTTAGGAGGTGGTTGGTCTCCCTATTTTTCATGGTGCTCAACTTTAGCGGAAACAGATTTACACATATGAAATAAATGTTCATGTTTGGCAATAAGTTCTCTTTCTATCCCCTTTTTATTTACTGTGAAATTAATAATTGCCTAGTCATCAGTATTCATTAATGTCAGCCGGTGGGGTACAGGAGTGGATGGGTAGGTGGCTACACCCACATTTTCAGGGTAACCCATATTGTTTGGAAGGGAAGTGCTAGTGGAAGATGAAAGGGTGGTCAATGCAACAGATCCTTCATCCAAGGTCCGCTTGTAAGGAACAGGTGGCTCAGCCTGCAGGTTTTTCAGAGCCACATAGGCCAGGTACACCTGTAGGAGAGAATAGGTGGTGGATCAGGCACTTGTATGCAACTGTGAAAATGGCACAAACTATTTAAAGAGCAAGTGAAGGGCAAAGGTTAGCTCCAGAAGATGTGGATTAAAACCACAGCACAGTCATGGACTTGAAATGTATTTGCCTTTAGACAGTAATTTGTGAGGACAATATGGTGCAAGATATTAAGTGTTCAACCAGTTGGGAACATTGACTGCAGCACTATCAAATTCAACATGTATGCAAAAAGAAAATTGCCAGAAATGTCCAGCAAAAGTAATATTTGACTTCAAAGAAGAAATGTCTTTAAAAGGAAGGTAAAAAGGAAGTTGAAGCAAAAGTCAAGAAAGTTTGACCTCTCCAAAGCACTTGGGAGTTTATACAAATCTTCAACAATAAAAGCTTGGCTCAAATGCATATACTACAAAAATACCAATAACTTCAAGAAGATGGTAGTGTGGTTAACAAACAGAATCATGAAAGCCATTAGCCACAGGAAAGCTTCCTTCTGAAGATGAAAGTGTTGCCAAATTGTGGAGAGTGAAAAGAAAGACAAACTGACAAAAGAAATGCAAGTAGACAATAAGGGATGGGGTGGGGAAAATAATTTGACGAACATGACCGAATATTGATCCCAACAATAGCAAATGCTTTACATACATCAGAAGCAGGAAACCAAGTACGGAGGCAGCTGAACCTCAGGATGGTGGGAGTTGGAGGTAAGCTTCAGGAGGATAAGCAGCCGGTGAATGAATTTTTTGTATCTGGCTTGTCAGAAGAAATTCTATCCATCTAAAATATCTTTAAAAATCAAATGTAGAAGTACTGATTTTGTAACTGGTCCTTAAGATTGGCTTCCATACTGGAGGATTGGAAATTCGCTGTTTTAACACCATTTTTTTAATTTTAAAAAGGCGTCAGGGTGTGGGGGAGAGGGAATCTGGGAAATTAAACGGTTAATATGTTTTGGGGAAATTGCTGGAAAGCATTATTAAAGATAAAATTATCAAGCATATTGAATAACACGTTGAAGAGTCAACATGATTTCTGCAAAGGTAAGTCCTATCTCACTGATCTTTTGGAGTTCTTTGTGCCAACAAGAAAATATTTATGGGGATTCCAGTGCTCATTGTATACTTGGATTTTCAGGTTTTAAGAAGTTCTTCACTGAAAGCTCCAGAGTAAACTTAGCAATCAGGGGACTTGTTCAGTTATGAATTAGTAACTAGTTAAGGAACAGGAAATAGGATAGGAATAAATGGACAGGTCTCACAGAGAGATGTAGAAAGCCCCCAGTATTGAGACCAGTACTTTTTAACTTGTGTATAAATAACCTGGAGATAGGGGTGAACAGCAAAGTAGTCAAGTTTGTGGATGACACCAAATTACTCAGAATGATAAAAACAGAGATCCAAAAGGCATTCTCCACACCTGGTGACGGCATCAGAATGGCAAGCACAGTTCAATGCAAGCAGCTATAAAGTGATTCACATTCAAGCAAAAAAACTGAATATAAACTGGCAATGACTTACCAGGAAAGACATATTGGGGTCATGATGATAGCTCAAAACAACCCTTTTTCTGAACCAAACAGCCCTAAAAAGGTAACCTTTATTCCTGAGGGAGTTGCTGCAACTTTAGGACCCCCTAATCATTCCCCCTTTTCTAGCTTTACAATATCCTTTTTAAGATGTGGTAACTAGAAATCTACAAAATATTCCAGCTAGGGAAAAGGTGGGACATGCTAGGAATCATTAGGAAAGGGATAAAACACCTCCCTACTAATATTTTAATGCTACACTTGAATATTGTGTGCATTTCTGGTCATTGCATCTCAAAAAGTATATCCATCATCAAACCTTTTATTGGCATCACATACAAAATCCGTAACATAAAAAGTGTATTGTAGAGTTGGAAAAGTGCAAGAGAAGGCATGAGAGAAGTGTATAAAATGGTGTGAAGAAAGTTGTTTGAGATAAGTTTTAAATCATTTTTATATTAGTATCTGAGGTCACCTGATTAAGCTGAATTGTTCAGGATAGAGCAAAGTTCATACAGTGCATAAACTCTGGAATTTGTTACCACAAGATGTGATGGCTTCTAAATTAATGTCTTTAAAATGAGATTACAGAAATTCATATTGTTGACCACTGCAGGAAATGGGATACTGGGTTAGAAAAGTCATTTGTCTGATCCAGCAGAGTGCTGCTTATATTCTCAGGGAACTGGCAAGCGGGTTTTGGGAGATGAAGGAAGCTTGGAAGGGATGTGTGGGTGAGCCTTGAGGAAGTAAACAGTTGAGGGGGCAAATATCAGAATACAAAATGGTATTCTAGTACAGTGTCTGTGTTAGGTAAGCAAGAGAACAGCTGTACTATTTTGCTTCTCAATAAGCATACAGTATTAGAATTTTGGGGGAAGGACTGGGACTTCTGGAGCAGAATCATGGCTGATTAGACGTCTCCTGTCAAAACTCCATCAACAGTGATAATTAGATGGTGATTAATGAAAGCCATTGGGGGAACAGAGATAACTGATTAATTTCCAATGCTATGGAAGGGCTGCTGTCTCGTCATGGGACCAAGGAACCTGGACAGGTAAGTGACCAGGGAGTGGAAGAATCAAAATCTTGCCCAAACACCACTTAATAACCTTAGGGATCAGTCCCAAGGGCAAACCTCCCTTCCTTCAATTACTTCTGAAACACCAATAAGTTATGACAAGTTTTCTGCTTGCTGGTTAAATGGTTAAAAGGCACATCTGAAATAAGACCCTACTGCTGGCTTAAGAAGAGGCAGCACTAGAGGGCTGAAAATAAAATAGAAGTAAATAACTATGAATCATTGTCTCAATATATGGCCACAGCGAAAAGATTCTTGAGGGAATAAAGATCGACGATTTATTGTTTTTCAGTATTGGAGGTAAAGTTACGTTGGACTGGAGGAAGACTTATTGTTGACTTTTATCTGTAATAGTAATTAGAGAACCTCTTTTAGACATTTCGTGTGGAAGAAGAAATCAATGCATTCCAGATGCCCAAAGACTGTGAAAACATCGCCTAGTAGAAGGAGGAACAGTTAGATACCAGCCTGGAGTAAACATTTTGAGTACTTTGAATGACTCTTATACATACAACTGACAGCTGAATTTCTTTATATTTTATTCCTTTACTATTTTCTCATTCTTTTATTACTTTTATCTTTTTGTTACCTTTTCTTAGGGTTTTCATATGTCCTCTTTTTCATGTAAAGTGAGTGTCATCATAGCGATCCATAGTTAAAAGTAGAAGTTGGCAAATGTGTCCTCTTTTTTACTCTTCAGAATATGGCAACCCAATTATTTGCTTTGCTTTTGTGCGTTTGCTTTTTGTTGTCTACTCTGGGTTAAGGAGGGGATTGCAAGCAGATGACGGTGATGGATTGTTGGTGAAGACCCTGTGTGAAAGGCAGGGAAGGGAAGATCTCCCAGGGTGGAAGGCTGGGAAAAGAGAGGGAAACCAGGTGAGAGCTGGGAGGGTTTACCTCTTTCTGTGTTGAACAAGAGTTAAGATCTACCTGTGAGAGAGGACTTTGCATTCTTCTGTTTCTTTAGGCTTGTTTTTTAATGTAGTGTATTACAGTAAGTATTAATAAAATCTTTTGCAAAAAACCCCGAAGCATTTCTTCTGGGAATTTTGACAAACAATTTCCCTAAAGATAAAATAAGACTATTTCTCTATGCTACATCAGCAGCAAGAGTATTGGTGGCTAAATATTGGAAGGAGGAACCCATACCCATCAAAGAGGAATGGTTGTGTAAGCTGAGCAAGCACTTGGAACTCGCAAAGCTGAACGATATAATAAGAGACAAGTCAAATAACACAGTTAAGAAAGAATGGGAGTACCTAAATAAGTATCTGATGAGTCAAGGTTCAGCAGTGAAGATCTGGTTGTGTCTAGAATAACCCTGCAAAGGTAAAAAGCTCCCTGATACCAAGATGAGGGATGTACTGAAATACAGATAAGTTGGTTTTAATTAGGAATAATGAACTGTTGCGAGACTGACGGATGTCCAAAGAACAAAAGAATATGAAAAATGAAATACCTAAGAAGTGTTAGCTTCTTAGGAAAACAGACGATATGTAAGAGGTAACTGTTTAAAGTGTATGCATTTGGTTTGCAAAGTCTTAGTTTAATAATGAATGAATTAACGTTCTATCTATGATTTTTTTCTTATCTTCATTAAGATTTAATTGTATTAGTTTATGTAATTTATTTAAATTTCTGCTTTTCTTCTTTTGTTCTTTGCAACCTTTTAAAACCTTTTTTCTTTTCACGTTTAAAAGTTTTGATTTGTATGTATTTGCAATATAACTCAATAAAAAGTTAATAAAATCTTATAAAAATATGCAAGTTTGATTTTTCTTGGAAAACAAATAATATTTTAAAATGAAATTTTATATTTCCACTGTAAAAAGATTCAAAATGGGGTACTCTGTTTTCAGTGTTTTGGTAACTGTCCTTAAATCTACTGGTATTGTGATCACCTCTCCTCATTATTGATAAAAAAAACCTGACTGCAAATCCTCCAGTTTCTCATTGCAGTTGTAAAATACGACTTTGGTCAAAGGTGTGCTTGCTGCAAATTCTACTTAGTGGGTTGCTACAGTTAGCAGAGGGAATTCAATTGCCCTATGCTTGACAGGGGGTCAGGTTAGACATTACCAATGGTCCCTGCTGGAGTTAAAATCTTTGTTAGCTGCTCAACCTTCCGGATCTAACAAACTCCAGCCGCAGGCTGGACTGGGTCTTGAATTGCTTGGGCTCATTCTGTGCCAGATTGTAAATGAAGGCCTGCTGCAACTGCTTATATATGAAGGCTCCTCCTGATTAATTCTACAGCTTGTTGATGGGAAGTGTGAGTCACTCAGTTCCACAAGGAATGAAGGAATAAACATGCACCAAAGAGCTCGGTCCTGAGGCAGTTTTCTTCACTACTAAAATTGGTAGAAATGTATTGAGTCCTCAGGACTAAAGGCAAGAGCCTTCTTTTCTCTTTATGTGCTTTAAATACTAGGCACCCCCTATGTAAACTATATTAGGCTTAGAGTATGGGCTGCCCTTAATTATGAACCAACAACTTCAGATACCAGCAGCAAGGAACTGTTTCCTAATCAAAGTGACCCAAACTGTTCTACCTGCATCATAATTTTATGATGCAGGTATACTTGCTATAATTCTTTTGGAAGGATTAGTTGCCTATGATATTTCTCCTAAACTTCTAGGGCCACAAATACCAAGTTTTCTAGATCCACGTTTTTGGAGGACCCCTAGAGAATACTTCTCAGTGACTTCAACATCCAAGCAAAGGCTACTGTTGAGCTGGCATGGGACTTCGTGGCCTCAACCATGGGGCTGTTTCAAATGACCATTGGTCCAACATACTGGACAGGACGCACCCTTGATGTTGTCTTTCCCCCATGTGATTTGAGGGATGGTCTGAAGGTAGGAGGGGGTGCAGTGCACTCCCTTGCCATGGTTGAACCATTATTTGGTGAAGCTGGACTGGTAGCAGCAATTTCCCCCTGTAAGGGTAGTGGGTCCATTCAGATGGCCCATTCTCAGATAATGATGAACATTGGATGGGGCAGAGGGTTTCTGTTAAGAGATAGAGATTTGGAAGAGACATCCATACTGTTTTGTAGCAGAGTGAATACAATGGCAATTGCTCAAAGCACATTAAAACTTGGTTACCGGTATATTTGAAAGATGCAGGCTTTATAAATCCATTTTTAGAGAGATTCTGTTCACTTGGTTTTTCTTGCAACTGGGAACCATGGGTCACATAGCTTCTTGCTTGTTCCAGAAAGCAGAAAGAGAAAGTTGAGGAAAGGAATGGGGCTAAGCTCAACCCATACTGGCAACTTGAGCTCAGGTTAACCCTTTCATGAATGCAATTGTGAGTCAATAAGTGTCTATTACAATAATTCTTCTTCTTTGACAAGCACACACATACTTCAGAGCAAGGAACCGGCAAATGGCATTAAGGTAGCACCTTACTCATACAACACTGTTAATTGTGAAAACTGCATTCTGCAGAAAAGTTGCAAACCAAGTTTTCTCCCATGCACTGAGACACATTTGTGTGCTTGAGATTATATAAGGTGATGTGTGTGGCCCATTGCATATCCCTTCACACATACAGGGGAATCCCTACTTATGCAGGGTTCTATTCCTTGTCCATAAATCAAGAAATATCAACAGCAGCATTTTTGGTTTTCCAAAAGATTTGACATTTGTAAGTTATCTGCCAAGTAAAGTAATGACAGTGATCCACCTTTCTTAAATCCATAGATACAGCTATCTCAGACAACAAATCAAATCCTAAGACAAGTCTTGGTATAACCAGATGGGCTGCATTTAACATTAAAAATCATAATCAAATTGTGGCCAATAGTGTTCCCTTCAAATACAGAAGATAATGCCCATTTAAATGCCTGCATTCTTTAGCAATTGAACAACCAACAATGCAGTGGATGGGATGAAAGATGTAGCTTTGTAGTAGACTTGGGCCTGGAGTTTAACAAACCGTGATTGAATCAAGAAACATAGCCAGCTTGCCTGGGACTATTCAAAGAAAGGCAGCTTCAGATCTGATATGGTTTGCTATGGCTGACACCCACAAAAGGGGCAGATGCCACCTCTGTGACTGAAGTAATGACAGAAAATTGCAGAAATCATGTGCTTCATGATTTTATCTAGACCATGCAGTTGTAAAATGTGGTAAATATATAGGTTGTGTGAGCTACAGTTGCACCTTCTGCAAAATTTGTTGTTGCAGATAATTAACAACTCATTATTGCAGTATTGTATTATACTAACATAACTGTACGCTAATGGAACATTTAAAAAACCAACAACTGTGGGGTCAAATAGACCACACACACTCCTTTCTTGTAGGTATTATTTGCTCATAAACATACATTACCAGGCACTGTACACTGAAGTTCATTCTTGATCCTGATTTTTTAAAACTATATTACTTATTTGAAAAATGAAGGTTTTCAATGAAGGTTTTATTTATTTATTTTTTACTTGCAAGTGGTGCCATGCTTAATGCTATTCCAAGGCATTTTAATTTTATGGCCAACTTATGGTGCATTTAACCCCAAAGCTGGATTGAAACAGTAAATCTTGCTATCAACTAAGAGTTAAAAGAAAATGGTGCTACTGCTGCTGTGGCTATAATTCACCAGCTACTCTAGCCATATACAGCAGTGGGTTTCTATTAGCAACACTTGTAATTAAGTACTCCATCTCTAACCATATGATTCTGAAGGAGGAAATGTCAGGAAAGATTAGCTTCTTTACATTGCCTTGGCGGCCAGTGGCAGAAACTTGGAACTTTCTGACCTGCATAATCCTAATTTTTTTTGCTTCAAGATTTTTTTCTTGGATTAACTTTGCTAACAATCTATTTGTCTTGTTTCTTCCATTTGCTAGTCCAGTCAATAATCTGCTAATCTGAATTGCCTACTGTATGGTTCTAAAAATGTCAATGTTACCAAAAGCTGACATTAGACCAACACTCTTTTTTCTCTCATTTCCTGGGAATGATTTGAAATGTTCTTCTGCCACCATAAATCAATTTGGCAGCCATTCTAATGCACAAACTCTAAACTGAGTGCATTTAAGCAGTAATACAGCACTAGTTTGCATTAATGCAGCTTTAGTATACCTGTATATGCTTAAAGGGATTAGGCCTTGCACTCCAGGAAGTACTATGTACAACATTCTCACACATTTTACACTGCCATATGTCAAATGCCATATGCCATATGCCAAACACTAAGGGACGCGGGTGGCACTGTGGGTTAAACCACAGAGCCTAGGGTTTGCTGATCAGGTCAGCTGTTCGAATCCCCGTGATGGGATGAGCTCCCATTGCTCGGTCCCTGCTCCTGCCAACCTAGCAGTTCAAAACCACGTCAAAGTGCAAGTAGTAGATAAATAGGTACCTCTCCGGTGGGAAGGTAAACTGTGTTTCCGTGCGCTGCTCTGGTTCGCCAGAAGCAGCTTAGTCATGCTGGCCACATGACCCGGAAGCTGTACACCAGCTCCCTTGGCCAATAAAGTGAGATGAGCGCCACAACCCGAGCTGGCCACGACTAGACCTAATGGTCAGGGGTCCCCTTCACCTTTACCTTATGCCAAACACACCAGCAACCACTGCAGAGAACACCTTTGGACGACAGACACACCTGTCTCAGAGAAGCACTTCCGCTGCCAAGGACCCACAACTGGAGGCTGCAATTAGCAAAAGACAACTGGCCTGGCCTAGGCCTGACTCTGCCCTGAGCTCACTTTCTCATTATTAACTGAACTTTGACTAGCCACCTACCTTTCCTCCCCAGAAAGGACTTGTATGTCTTGTTATATGCCACTTCATGCCAGCTAAAATGTAGCTTCACTGCCTGTTTCTTGATTCATAATCAAACACACTCTGATTTAAAAAATTGTGTGTACATGCTAAAGAGAATTAGGCTTATCATACGACATTTCAGGAAGAAAAAAAACATTCACTATATAGAAGGAAAAATAGTGCCCCTTATGGCATCACCCTCTTCTCCTTAAATAACTAGGGTATGTACCACCTGCTTCTTGGAAGGGATCAACTTTGGCTTTGATAAGATGGGTTTGTCTTTTCTATTGACACTCTGCAGGGAGGGACCCCTCTTATGTGGCTGACTCAGCAGGCTTTCTCGTTACTCTGAAATAAAAGGGGAGTACTTGACTGACTCACCCAGCATGGAACGGAGAGGACGGCAAAGGTGATGCTGGTTCGGGCAGCACCAGTTCCCAACAGGTAGTGGCTTGTCGATCTGATCCACTGATTGGCTAGGAAGCAGAACCCAACAAACCACAGGCATGTCCAGATAACTGAGGAGAAAATAAGAGGTTAGAATGTGATACAAACAGTTAAAAACTCAAATGAAGCTTCATTTTAGAGCAGGACTTTTTGTGCTAACTGGTGAATAAGATAATATAAGGTTCAGTAGCCTCTGGTGTTCACCGTACTGCTCTGTTTTTCCTAACTGATAAAAGTTCTTCTCTCTGGATATCTTTGCTGTAAAATATAGCAAATGTAGGGTTGCCACATTTTGAAGAGCAAAAAAAGAACACATTTGCCAACTTCTACTTTTAACTATGGCTCACTATGACAACTCTACTCATAAAAAAGAGGGCATATCCTGGAAAAAGAGGACATATGGCAACCCTGAGAAATGGGCAATGTAACCCCAATTTTAAAAAAAGGAATCCAGAGAGGACCAGGGAAATTACAGACTGGTTAGGCTAACGTTTTTTCCAGAAAAACTGGTAGAAAATATTATTAAAGATAGAAGCATATAAAAAACAAATGTTGCCCAAGAAGAACCAGCATGGCTTTCATAAATGTAAGTTCCCTCTAACCAACATTTTAGAGTTCTTTAAAAATGTCAATAAGCATATGGATAGAGATTATTTATGTCTTTATTTATGTAATTTCATAAAAATTATATATTGCTTGATTGTAAAACAAAAACAACACACAAAGCTGTTAACCTTTTGTTAAAGTCCCTCACCAAGTAAGCTTAGCTATAAGCAGACTGTAAGACCTGTTTGGATCAGTAGGAACATGACATGGAGAGCAGGAATAAATGGATAGTTCTATCATTGAAGGGATGTATAAAGTAGGGTCCCCAAAAAGTTATACTGGGACTGATGCTTTTCAACTTATTCATAAATGAACTGCAGTTAGAGGCTAGCAGTGAGGTGGCCCCATTTGCTGATGACACCCAAATGTTCAGAGTAGTAAGAGCAAAAATGGATTATAAGGAGCTCCAAAATAATCTCTCCAAATTCTGTGAATGGTATTGTAGTTAAAGTGTAGGGCTATGACCTGGGATAGCAGGGTTAAAATCCCTACTCAGCCATGAAGCTCACTGGGTAACCTTGGGCCAGTCACTGACTCTCAGCCTAACCTACCTCACAGGGTTGTTGTGAGGATGAAATGGGGAGGAGAGCCATGTTCACCAGTTTGAGCTCCCTGGAAGAAAAAGGTGGTATATAAATGTAATAAATAAAATAGTAACTAAATAAATATTACCATAGCAATTCAAAGTAAAGTAGTTTAAGTGACGCACACTGGGACAAAAATCCTTACTTTACATATTTATGGAAACTGAATTGGTGGTGACTGGTAACTGACCAGGAAAGAGATCTTCAGAGTGATGATGAACAGCGCAATGAAAATGTCACCTCAGTGTTCAGTAGCTGTGAAAAGGGCACATTCCATGTCGGGGATCATTAGGAAAGGGATTGAAAATAAAATCATAAATATTATATGTAGTGCTGTGATACAAGTGTGACCACACTCTGAATATTATGTACAGTTCTGCTTGGTGCACTTCAAAAGGTATATTCCAGTGCTGGAAAAGCTTTGGGCAACCAAAACTATCATGAGGCTGGAAAAACTCTCCTATAAGGAAAAGTTACATTTTTTGAGGCTGTTCAGTTTTAAAAAGGTATGGGGGACATGATAGAGATGTATAAAATTATGCATTACGTGAAGAAAGTGGATAGAGAGAAGTCCCCCACCCCATAATATCAGAACCTAAAGTCATCCAATGAAACTGAATGTAGGAAGATTCAGCAGGACAAACAAAAGGAAGTATTTTTTTACATATCTCATAGTGTGCTTCACTACCACAAAATGTAGCAATGGCCACCAACTTCAATGGCTTTTGAAGAGGTTTAGACAAATTAATGACAAGTAAGACCTCTATCGCGGGTGGCGCTGTGGGTTAAACCACAGAGCCTAGGACTTGCCGATCAGAAGGTCGGTGGTTCGAATCCCCACGACAGGGTGAGCTCCCGTTGTTTGGTCCTTGCTCCTGCCAACCTAGCAGTTCGAAAGCACGTCAAAGTGCAAGTAGATAAATAGGTACCGCTCCGGCAGGAAGGTAAACGGCGTTTCAGTGTGCTGCTCTGGTTCGCCAGAAGCGGCTTAGTCAGGCTGGCCACATGACCCGGAAGCTGTACGCCGGCTCCCTCGGCCAATAAAGCAAGATGAGCGCCGCAACCCCAGAGTCAGCCATGACTGAACCTAATGGTCAGAGGTCCCTTTACCTTTTAAGACCTCTATCAACGGCTATTAGCCATGGCAACTGAATTACCTGCATTATCAGGGGCAGCATGCCTCTGAATATCAGCTGCTGGAGAGCACAGCTGGACTCATATCCTGCTTGTGGGATTCCCATAGGCTGGCTACTGTGAGAACAGGGTGCTGGATTAGATGGGCCTTTTATTTGTTCCAGCTGGGCTCTTGTTACATTCCAAAATCTGACCAATCTCATAGTGAGAAATTGAGAAGGTGGCTCTAAACTGCATCAGCAGCAGCAGCATTATAGCAGCTTCAGAACTAAGTCAGCAAAATCTAAATTTAATAAAAGCTCCTGCATTCATGGATAAACCAACTGCCTTCAGGGATCAGAAGGGCAATCATTCCCTAAAACAAACACTGCACAATTGACAGGTGTATTAAAAGGAGCTTTTGCCTTTGTAGCTGATGAACAATAAGGGAGAAAAGGAAAGCTGCCAGATTGCATCAGCTTTGTTTATGGTCCAGCCAGCCAAACATCCTATCTCAAATAAGACTTGTGCCAGATGTTTGAGAGGCAAGAGCCCCATAATAAGCAGGTGTGGGATAATCTGGTCTCTACTAATCTTTAATTATTAGAAATATGGCTTTAAACACAGAGGCAAAAGAATGTATTGCTTTTCCTCACAAATTTGGTAGTATTATCTATTGCACTTCTGAGAAAATCACCGAAACATCTGACCTTTCTTTTACTGGATTTTATGTTTGCATAGTAAAATGTATTTCCTTTTGATGTGGTTTAACTATACTTTAAACTATACCTTTCCATTTCAGTGAACTCAACTTTATTCTTTGGTTCCAAGATAAAGAAATTATGCTAGATTTGTACAGGCACAGAACAACGTATAGGGCAAAAGTAATTAATTTGACCAATATATTTTCTAGGGATAAAGAGGGCCTAAAATGAATACCCAGTGGGGTGGGAAGGCAATGTACTCAATAGCTTAATCTGACAGAAGGTGTGGAGATATTTGACAGGCAGTACAGATGGAAGGCAAAAAAACCAGATGAGATGGCTCAGTGGCATTTCTGGAGCTGTACTGAGCACTGATGAGTTGCCAAAAGCCAGGGCCTGAAAAATGTTTCATTCAGATATATAATGCCAACTCATTGCCCTACTTGAAGCACTCATTTTCTGTGATCATGCTTGTCCAATAAGTCTGACAGCAACAGATAAGACAGCATGTGGAAATGACAGCATTTTGTATGGAACTGGTATTTTCTTATTGTTTCCTTGTCTGTCTCCATGTTTTGTCTGTTGTCTTTTGTGAACTCCCCAGCACAGGGATTGGCTCATCAAGAAATGAACAACAGGCAGAGGTACAAGAAGGCAATACAATACTCAATCAGTATAAAAGAAGGCAGTCAGCGTGCCCATCAGCAGCATGGATTCTTTCACATATTTTACAGGAACCTTTTGTAGTACAATAGCCACATTCCCTCATGGGCAACCTTTGGGACCAGTTGTGAGTGGGGACAAAGGCAAAAAGTGGCCAGAGTAACATATGCGACTCTTCCCTTGCCTTTGTACAATAGGCTACATTTCAACAACACACAAGTCAACTATTTACACATATACACGCCTCTCTACCCATCACCCAGGCAAGTGAAAAGCACTATAGGTTCATGGAAACGCACATTCCAGCCAGGCAAAAACACTTGAGGGTGCAGAACAGGGCCAGTGAGGGTTGTGGCCTGGATTTGGCTCCCTGGCCTTAGGTTTCCCACCCACTAAGACCATTTATTCATCCAGCTCAGGATTTCTACTAGCAGCTCTCTAGGGTTTCACAGTGATGTATGGAAGTGAGAAGTGAGAGCTGGACCATAAAGAAGGCTGATCGCCGAAGAATTGATGCTTTTGAATTATGGTGCTGGAAGAGACTCTTGAGAGTCCCATGGACTGCAAGAAGATCAAACCTATCCATTCTTAAGGAAATCAGCCCTGAGTGCTCATTGGAAGGACAGACTGTGAAGCTGAGGCTCTAGTACTTTGGACACCTCATGAGAAGAGAAGACTCCCTGGAAAAGACCCTGATGTTGGGAAAGATGGAGGGCACAAAGAGAAGGGGACGACAGAGGACGATGGTTGGACAGTGTTCTCGAAACTACCAGCATGAGTTTGACCAAACTGCGGGAGGCAGTGGAAGACAGAAGTGCCTAGCGTGCTCTGGTCCATGGGGTCACGAAGAGTCGGACACGACTAAACGACTAAACAACAACAAGGGTTTCACAGAGCTACTCCTCCCCTTCCCTACCTGAATATGATGGCAGAGTACCTCAACGCCTCAATCTCCTGCACATGTAGTTAAGCTTTGACATGCAATTCTGATAATTCTGTGTGGGAGTGGGGAAAGGTGGAAACCTGTGCAAAAAAATGCTGCTACGGTAAGGCACATATGTGAGGGACTGTTATTAAAGAGATGGGAAAAGGAGTATAAGACAACTGTGGTAGTGGGGTGTTTTTAATGTGTTGTTTTAACATACTTTTTTGTGTGTTTCTGTCTATTTAGTTGTAAGTTGCTTTGAGTTGCATTTGACATGAAAAACTGAGCAATAAATCCAGTTATTGTTGGATCTCCAATAGCACCTTGAGGAGACATAGCCATTTTTCCATGCCCTTCACAATCAGATAATACTGCTCCAACCTAGTTCTTGAAGACTGCAGAGCTTTAGCTTTCAGTATTCTGAGGTACCTTTTCTGAGCAGCTGGTTATTCATCACTGGTGATTAGCACTCCCTGCCAGAGGTTGCTTATAGATGAATTAGTTATTGATAATTCATCCTGATTTGTTTGCATAACATTTGTGGAGATGTTACACAAAGTCCGGTTTATTGAGCATTCATTTTGATTTGTTTGCAGGGAGGTTATAGTGCTGTATCAAGCAACTGTTACCTCATATTTTCCAGTTTGTTTTCCCATCACTTCCATTAACCCAGAAAGTTTTGGATTTTTTTCAAAAGCAGGTTTACTGCATAAGAGTACAAAATCCATTTTACTTGCACAAACTGAATTTGTAGATATGCCAAGTGAATCCCACTGCAAAATAGCAACCATCTGGAAGTTCATCGTTGCAAAGCAGACAGGACTGTAAATGGTAGATCTCCTCTCACCAAACAAATAAGCTTGAAGGTATTTATATAGCCTTCTCTACCCAGAAAATGGAAGGAGTAACCCACCCATGGATAGCTTCTGCCTCTTACGGAAAATGTGTATGTACATATTGATACATACTACATATTGATAAAAGTGAATATAGAATAATTTGGATCTTAGGTTTCTTTTCTTTTCCTCCACACTAAGGAGGTCTTAGATAAGCCCCCTCCCTCTGCACTTTTAACAGCAAGGGGACCCAAAGCAGGGTCTCTGGAGCAGATTTCAATAACTGAGTTGATTTATATAGGAAACAAGCTACAGTGCCTTCAGAATGGCATCTTATAATTACCGTAGGTCTGTCACTTTGGCTCCACCACCTTGGCCGTTGGGACAGATAAAGCAGAGTACCAAACACTATCAACTGGCAAAGAGCTGCAGTGGGATAAGTGGGAAAGCAACTGAGGCTGGTACATTGGGGAAACTGCTGGTTGGTTTGCTGAGACACAACAAGAAGTGGTGGTAGGAGGTATAGTAAATAATAGCTACAGTGGTGTAAACTAGTTTTGGGACACAACAGGGGTTAGAATACATGATTATGCTGACTTTGCATCTGGTTGTGTCAGGGCTTCACCAATCTACTAATCACATATATCAAAACTCTATCCCATGGCTTTGGAAGAAAGGAAGTCAACTCACTGGAGAAGGTGACATCCAGGACAAGGATGGTATATTTGAATTTGTGAGTTGTAATGGAAGGTTCATAGACATCAAAACCCAAAAAGAGAAGACAGTGAAGAAAAGCGAGTATGCCAACTGTGATGCCGTAGCAGCAGGCTGTCCCATTATCATTCAAAACACAGTGTAGTTGGGAAGAATTTGTCAGGTTCTGATAACCTTCAGTCACCAAGGAGGCAAAGATAGTCAGGGATAAAACCTGGGAAGGGCGAAAGCAAGAAAGAGTTAAGTACGATTGTTGTTGAGATACCATATTATGTCTCATGTAAAACTCTTGCCTATATTTACAATCAACCCATCTTATCTTTGTATCCTCTCCAATAATCAAATCCCATAGTGTATGCATTGAGATGAAGATGAGTAAGTCTAGTTCTCTGCTCTTCCTAACCATGGCCCACATATATCTCATGTGAAAGTCTCAGGTTCTTAGCAGACTTGGGCAGTTTTTGCTTACATTTTTGGAAAATAATCATGCTGTTCGTATAAAGCTTTTGAATTTAGAGACAAATCCAAAACATACTACACTGCCTAGATGCTAGGGGCTGGTTACTATTAAAAAAACCAAAATAGCAATGTAAGTAGTACCAACATCACTCTTACTAATAGCATGGAAAATATACAAAAGTCAGAGATTTGTATAAACTCCTTACACAGACCAAAACTATCATGGGGAACACACATAGGCTTAGCCAAAGGGGCAGCTGCTCCCCCTATCAAATAAAACAATAGAAATACTTAACTGACCTATCACGTCAGTTCTGCCCCCCAAAAAAGTCCTGCCGCCCCCCCCAAAAAAACCTGGCTACGCCCATGGGAACACAACTGGTACATAACTCTGGTTCATATAATGGAAATTGTACTATAAATGAGGTTGATGGAAGAACATGGGCTACATTTGCATGGTTTAGTGTAACTTGAATGAGACTTAGCAAACCTGAGTGAAAAACCAGACTCCTGTACTCCCCCACAGCTGAGGAGAGAGCTGCCAAATTTAGCATCAGTTTCACCGAATCTTGGCTTAGTGTTGGGTACAAATAAGGAATTCTGATTTGAAACAAACCCCAGCTAGTTTAGTAAATCAGCTTCATAACCTATGGTTTGAAGTTAGCTTATTTATTGACCAGAGTGTGTTTGAAATCAGGACTCCTGGTTCATACCTCATGCTAAACTGAGATTCAATGAGACAGAAAATAATATCAGGAGCTCTCCTGCTCCTATCCAAGTGAGAGCTGTGAGACACTTGAGTTCAGTGCTTCATTCAAGCTTGCAGAAGCTCGTCCATATAGAGGCAATCTAGCCATGGGGTTAGGAAAAGCTGCCCTGCTTATAAAACCAAAGAACTGGATCTTAGTTGGTAACAAAAACTGTGTACATCTTTTGTGTAGATGGATGGCGTGTGTGAGTGAGTGCAAGTTGGTGTTGGTGCATTTTACACTTGCATATTCCACAGGTATAGGGCAACCTTTGCATAAATGCTCCAGAAAGTGTCTGGTGAGGTCCAAACAATGCATGTTGTACTGGGACATGTTATTTGGAATTTCATAGATTGTAATAGAAAAAAAATGAAAATAATTCTGGAGGGATTGTTTTGATTCAAAACCAGATCAATGTCTAAATATGATCCTGAATTTAGAAGTCATGGAACCAGTGTTTGATTTTGTTGTACTTTTTCTCACCCCTGCCAGGATCCGAGCAATGATCTGAGGTCTTATGAAGAAGTGCACCAGGTCATGGTCTGAGAATTCCCGCAAAGTTGTAATCACTTTCCTCATTCTGTAGTTTCCTTTTTGTCACTAGAACAAAGCTGGATTTTGAGAGCTGCGGGAAACAAAAGTTGGGAAACATGAAATAGATTAGAAAAGAAGCATGAGGCAGGAAAACACTACTAAGTTTCTACCTACCAACACCTGAAAATTCAAAAGTAGTACAGTATATCAAGGCATCTTTTCCAGACCTACAAGGGTCTCGCCCAATCACCAAACTCTAAGATGAGTATCTGACCACTGTCATGCCAAAAGCACTGTAAAGCCAATAAAATTAACTTAATAATTTTTTTCTTTACATTTGTTTAGATTAGAATTTAACAAGAAGCAAAGCAAATGTATAATCTTAACTGATATGTAGTTGAAGTTTTGTAAAGATTAAATTGATTGGGTGGTTCAGTTCAGGCAGTGCTTCATTTGCTTTTTTAAAATCCCATAATATTGGTTGGGAAACTTTAATGAAGCAATAATAGTGCATTGGGATGAGACTGACCAAAATTTAATTTAATTGCCAATATATATATATTGCCCTGAAACTGCAGTAGTGAGAAATTTGCATTTTTATTTTTCAATGAGAACTATGGAGTTTTATTACAGATCTTGGGAAGGATTTACCTAACCAGGCCCTTAGCAGAAATTCTGTGCAAGAGCTTCCACTTGCACAACAGGGATTTCCCTTCTCCTCTCCCCTCCACCCCCTGAAATTGGTTCTGGGGAAAGTTAGGGGGAACCCCCAGAACAACACATAGAAGAACGGGGGGTGGATGTGTTGCACAGATGGAATTGACGGGAAAAGCAAGACATTGAATTCCAACCTTTGATACTTGCTGTCTTTTGATTCCACAAGCATCATATGGCAATTCTTCTGAGATAATTACTCTTTAAATAATTGCCTAAATTATGGACAGGCTATGAACATTTTGGATTAGACCAATCTAGTATGTGCTCCAAGCCTAATGTACTGGAACTACCCATGCATTGTACAAGTATTATGGGCTTGAATAACATTTCTCCAATTTTACCCCAATTATATTTTACAAAATGAATCTGAGCAAGCTTCTTGAAATTATTCAGTAAAATCATGGGCAACAGCTTATTGCACAGCACACCACACCATCATGAAGCCCCAGCAGCCCAACTAGCACTGATCAAAAATTGAACTTGTTTTGTATGGCAGACAAGTGTTCACCCAGTTTCTGCCTGTGTTTCCTGCACATAATTAATGTATTGATTTTCCAAGCAAGTAAATGAAACTCTTGAGAATTGTTTTGACTTCTAACTTTCCTGTATTTTTAAACATTTTTTGCTTCACACATCTTATAAATACAGAACGAAACGTTGCACGGATACATTCCCTGACCCCCGCCATAAAGAGCATGCCTGCAGTTTATTTCTCGCTGTTTCTCATCAAAATAGGTTTGGTGTGAACCTGGCTGTATCCTTTGACCTTTTCCCCTTCACCATTAACAAAATCAGAACTTATCCCATTCACCACAGTAGTGGGGCAAGTAACAAAGTGGCCTGTATTTTAAACGTTCATTGGTAAATATGAAACTCATTGAGGCTATTTTCATCAAAAGCAGGAGCCAGCAAGTGTGGTGCTTAATGAGTGTTGGGCTTAGATAAGGAGACATGGGCTCAAATCCCTGCTTGGCTATTAATCTCGCAGGATTGCTGTGCGAGAGTGCCTATCTTTCAACGTAAACTATTACCCAGGATTGGTGTGAGGAGATATTATAAAAGCCCAATTATGGCCCTTTCTGACAGGAATAAAAAAATATGCTCCTTGGCATCATGGGACTGACCACTTGAGCCTCCTCAAAAACTGATGAGGAACTCGCTGTATTACCACATCTCAGTTCCTCTTTTTTTAAGAAAAATCCTTCATAAACCCACCTTCTTCCTCACCTCCCACCCCTTCAGAAACTCCCTTAGACTTGGAGGTTATTTTCCCGCCTTTGCGCCCCCGCGCACGTAGGGTGGGGAAAGCAAATAGAGCGTGTGAGCGAACTCGAAGCCTGACTGGTCGGACAGCCGCCGCCTCAGCAAGGCAGTTGGAAAAGAACGGTTGGTATAGGGCGGGGCGCCAAAGGAGCGCCCGACAGCGCGCGAGGATCCTGCAATTCTGTATGCGGGAGCAGACGGCAGGCAAAGCTGCGCGTGCGTAGTTTGCACCGACAGCCCGAAAAGTGGAGGCGGGTGCGGGGAAAGGAACGAGTACGTGTTGCGCGCTCAGTTTAGCAAAGGAGAGGGGGGGGGGAAGAGAACGATTCTCTGCGCCTGCGTGTTTTTGAAGTTGAAGTATTCTTTTGCCCGTCCGCAACGTAGACCGTGACTCGGTCATGGAGATAAGAGTTTATAGAGAAAGGGTGAGAGTGATGAAACGATCGAATTTCCAGTTAAAAAATGAAAGGAAGTCTGCCTTTTGCCGGCGTAGAAAGGCGTTGCTCTGAATCATAGAAATGATATGCTGAAACTCTTGTATAAAACTGTGTAGGAAATGGGAGTGAAAAGCCAGTTTTTAAACTGTGCATAATTAACCCTGTGCATGATACCCTTCTACAAATTTTCTAGATCTGTAGCATAAACTCGCGAGCACAGTGCTGAACAGCTAAGCAAAGCGCCTGACGTACAGGGGAACTGAAGTCAAAGGCGCTAATACGCTTGCGGGGGAAAGGAGGCTCCGCCCCCCCCGGGCACAAATAAGGAACGAAGGGCGGGAAAGAAGCTTGCGCGTGCGCACTAAGACCAATGTCAGCCCAGAGGTTAGGAACCTACTGCCTTGTATGGTGGGCTTCCCGCCCTCCGTCCCGTTTGAAACGGGCCCAAAGTGAATGCAAAGGCTTTTTCTTCCAGCAGGAGGAAGGAATCACTGCTTTGTCTGTAAGTTGGTGAGAGTACCGCAATTCTCATCAGTTCAGCCAACTTAATGCGTTTTGGGGCAGTGACCCCACCTCCTGTTTGGCTGATCTGATTTGGACCAGGCCCAGTTGCACAGGTGGTGGTGGCACCGTTGTGCAGAAGACCTCTGGCCTGGCTGCTCTGGCCAAGGCTCTGACCGCAAGGAGCCTTCCCTCCCCTGTCCAGGGACAGATTTTGGCCTCCATGGTGTGGCCAAGCCTTTGGAAGTCTTTGACTTGGTTGCTTTGAAGAAAGATGTGCCCCGTTACTGGCTAATGCCCGCTGTATCCCACTTGCAAATTAGGGTCATTTTTGAAAACCTTTGGAAAGGAAGCTGAACATGCCTGACTGGTAAACTTTGAACTTTCCTAGAATGCTGTGCGCAGCGCGGTTAGCCTTAGGGGCTGGGGTTGTAGGGTTGCCATCCCGTGGCAAGGCCTCCCTCGCTGCCAAGATGGTGAAATACCGGAAGATGCGGAGACCAGTGGAGCCACAGAACTGGGCGGTGGACTATCGGGAGAGATACATCCCCTTTTCCAAGGACTACCTGGTTGATGCTCTAGTGAAGGTATAACATGGGCTCTGCATGGGTTCATAATAAGATATGAACATAGTGCTGTGACTGGGCTTTTTTTTTTGCTGGGGTGGGTCAGTCTGTATGATGCCTGAGCCCCTTCTGATCCCCTGGATCCAGCAAGGGTTAAAAGCTAATAGAGAATTCCATTGTTAAATTGGTCCAGCAAGGGTCGTAGTTGCCACCTAAGTACCATATAAGTACGGTCATTAGTATAACCGGATATTGCCCTGTGCCAGAGGGCAAATGGGTGGGCCCCCTCCCACACCTGACTGGTGGTGAGAAAGACAGTAGCCAGAGTTGTGTGTCAAAGCTGGGTTGGAAACAGAGTGCAGGCAGAAGCCAGAGAGAGAGCCATGCTTGATCTCTGCTTGAATCCAACGCTGTGGCTGGGAGAAGCAAGACTGCTTGCAGTCTTAATGCTGTGAGCCCTTCCATCGTAGGCTAAGGTTGTATATATGTGTAAATAAACCAGATATCCTAAAGACACCACAGTCTCCACTGCCTCTCATTCCAAGGAAACCAAACCTTGGGGAAGCGCCTGGAACCCCTGGAAATCTCACACCGCTCAGAAATTGAGGTGGTGTGCAACAATATGTTGCGTGTCAGACTCAGAATCCTCTTCTCAGCTAGCTTGTCGTACTTAAGGTTGTACAGCTAAGCTGAAGCTAAACTTAAATGAATACATATGGCAATTGGCTTACTTTTGCATGAGGCATTCAGATCCTTGAGTGCTGTACTGTATAGCATTTATTGGCCCAGTAACTTGGGCTACCTTGGTACAGAAGATGTTTTGTTTTACAATGATTGTATGTCTTCTTGGGTGCAACTCATTCTATATTGAGGCCTGCTCCTCCCAGCCACCCACCCCAATCCCAGAGCCTGCTGCATCCTGATGCTTGGTGTGGAAACAGTACAAAACTTTTGCTCTTTAACACATCTTGCATTCTACAAGAGTGCATGGTGTTGAATCTAACAAGCGATGATGGCCCTTCTAGAGAGTTTAATCGCTACTAGGATGGCCCAAGTAGGGGTGTGTGAAGAGCACAGACATTAAGAAATGAATATTTGGGTGTGGGAAAACTTAATGACAATGGCTGGGCCAGGTAAAATTTATGTCTAATAATTTAAGAGTATTTAAGCTGACTTTCAACACACAATCATAAGGTACTGAGCAAGATTAGAAATGCCAGAAGCTACTATACTGTATATCACTGTGCATACTTAAGTATAGTAACCAAACTTTGCATGATAGTTCCTGAGATCAAGGAGCAGGTTTTTTTCTGTGTTTGGATACAGTTGGGTGTGCTTCTGAATCAAGATGACAGACTGAACATTTCAAAACTAGCCTGATTTTAACTACTGATTTTTTGGTTTCTTGGAATTTCTGAGCAAAAAGTATGAGGCTGCTAGTATACAATACATTCAGTTAAAGCACTAAAAAATTAATATTAATAGAATAAAATCTGCAATAAGAAAACTTCAACTAATTTCCAAATATCTGGTATAATAAGAATATCTTCATCAGTTCTTTCCTTGAGGAGGAAGGGTGGGATATAAATTAAATAAATACAGGCGGTGACCATTTCACATGGGGATTCAATTCCCAACCCCTGCATATGTTGGCAGAGTGCGTATAAGCACATCTCGCCCCCATTATGCCCCTGTTAAACCGCCTTCTGTGCATTGGTGATCATGCATCAGTTGGATGTGCCTAAAATGGTTGCTGCCTGTAATAGGAAAGAATAATAAAAGAGTCTGGGGGAAGTGAATGAGTTTTTTGAAGGGGATTTTTCTGTAGCTCTGAAGCCACTACACTATTTGCTGAACAAGTGTAAAATGAGGGAAGTGAAGGCAGAAAGGGGATGTGGATTATTGAGAAGAGGGCTGTTGTTCCAGAGCAGAAAAGGAATAAAGGGATATAAGGAGAGGTGAAAGAGATAGTTAAGGAGATAGTTAAGAGCTTCTAGCATTCCAGGATTTCCCTGTGGTTCAGAAATTGTATAATGTTACTCTGGAGACCCTTGGGAACTCCATTGTATATATTATTATCAACCTTATTAACATATTTTTATCTTCAGTATGTGAATGGAATATTTTGATAGGAGCTTTATGTCAGAGAGGAAAGCTCCCCTTTGTGAATTGGGAGAAGGAAGGAAAGAACAGAGTGGCTGCACGTTCTTGGAGAGCATCACCTTCAGAAGCTAGGTCAAGAGAATGCCTTCCTGACACGTTTTATTGACAACCAGATAGGGATAGCTGGTGGCCCTCTGGGCTGGCGACACTGAACAATATGGAGCAGGCGTAGTGCTAAGTGTGCAATGAGATCATGCTCCATTGCGAGTAGGTATGTGGGGTGTGGGTGTATAGAGAGAGAGAGAGCACTATATGTTTTCCCACCTTGATGTTAACGGTGTATGGAACCTGCAGCAAGCATCTTTTGTATTTTCTTTTATTTCCATCCAGGATTTCTTTCTTGCTGACTTGGCCACCCCAGCTATAGTCAAGAGACTTATAAAGTAAGGACTAGAAGACTATCTTCTCCTTTCTCCCCCTCCCCTGTGGGAGGTGTAAAACATACAAAAGCCAATTATAAATTACCTAATGTTTGAGCTTCACTCACTCATTGCTTTCCACAGTGATTTTACCAAGACAGATACCTGTAAAAGGCTGAAACCATGTGAAAGAGTTTTTCGTTTATTCTTATGGTAGTCATAGGAATATAAGAAAGTGCTTTGTATCAGCTCAGTCTATTTGTTCCTCTAGCTTAAGACTATGTACGCACCATTCATGAAAAGCCCATGACTCTTCCCCCCGCCCCAAATCCTGGGGTCTGTAATTTGTTAAGGGTGCTGGGCAGGGCTTTTTCAGGGGGAACTCAACAGGAACTCAGTACAGGTGAGTTCCGGCTCCTCTGGTGAGTGCCATTGCCATTCTAAGAAAATGAGGGTGGTGGTCACAGTGACCTCTTTCTAGAAAAATAGCAGTGGTGCCAGGGATTGTAGCTTTGTGATGGGTAAACTGCAGATCCCAGGATTCTTTGGAGAAAGCCATGTGCTTTAAATGTATGATGTATATGAAGCCTAAGTATTGACGAGCAGTGGCTCTCCAGAGTCTCAGGCAGCAAGTCCCTTCACATCACCTGATCCCTGATCTCTTACTATATATATATATATATATTTTATTAATTTCAACATACCAATTCTTATACAATCTTTTTGGACTTCCATCAGACCTCTGATGATCCACCATTTTTATCATTTCTTCTGCATTTCTTAAATTCCTATTGCCGTTAATTATCTTAACTCACAATCCACCTCTTTAACCATTTTTGCAATAATTCAAATAATTTACCTCACAAAACTTCTTGCAAACCTACAAACCTAATCTGGTCATTACGATCCCTGATCTCTTCTATGTGCAAAGCACAGGATTGGCCAATGGACCGTGGTCCCTTTTGTAATAGGAAGCTGACGTGCGTTGTCTTACTTGAAGCTTGGAACATGGAAGCCTTGCTCATAATGACGCCAAGCACCCCAGCTAAAAATGAAACAAGCCACAAATGCTGAAAGGAGCTTTCTGGGAGCCTGGTTCACCACAAAAGCTTGGATCGGCCTAGAACTGGTGGCAGGGTGTGTGTGTGTGGAGTTCTCCAGTGGCAGCTAATAACTTGTTTATGTATGCAGGGTGTGAATTTAGTAATTAGTGTGCATGTATGTGTGTTACATGTTCTTAATTAAATGTAGATCAAACCTGTAAACAACAACGACTTAATCCAACCTTTACTATTGCCTAATATTTATTAAATCTATTAGGAGCTTTTCTTGCTGCAGGGAACTCAAAGCGACTTTACAAAAAAAAACATTAAAGCACACACACAAGCTTTATAAGGCCATGGATTGTTAACAGCCAAAGGCCTGGTTGAAAAGGCATGTTTTTGCCTGGCGCTTCTACCAATTTGGTGCGCACCAGATGTTTTAGACTAGGACTCCTATCATGGGAATTGTAGTCAAAAACGCCCAGAGGGCTCCAAATTCACAAAACTGATTTAATTCGTATCAATCCAGTTGGGGACTAAGTTTTTAAAAAGTTGTTTCAGATTGATAGGGAAGCTTAAGGATAACACTGCTGTAGCAGCATGGAATAATCTGTCAGCCCGTTGCCTCAGTTATAACAATATCTCAGGACAAAGTAAGGCATCCTTTTAATAATCTGCTGCAATTCAGCATATCACAACAAACGTATGTAAACAGGTCATTTGGTTCTAAACCACCTTTGGACTAACCTTGTCTGTTCCTTCTTTCAGGAGTTCCACTCTTCTAGTCAAGCAGATCGCGCTACTTTCCTGGCATTTGTCTCTCAAGTGGACTCGTCCCTTCTTCACCGTTACCACTCCATTCTAGAGCAATTACAGGTAATGACAAAGTATGCTCCTTGTGGGGACTGGCCTTGTTTCTGAATGAATTGCTCATCCAAAGGCAGAAGGGGTTGGGGAACAGCATGTGCCGGAAGCTAGTGGGAGGCATTGTGATGAGATCCTGGCTTACTCACTAGTTTCCGGGCTCAGAGGTACAGGAACTGATCTTTAAAGCACTCCACAGCTCTGTAATTCCTCAAGGACTGCCTCTCCCCATATGAACCAGCTCAGACCCTGTGGTTTTCATCACAGACCCCTTCTTGCTGTGCTGCACCTGAAGTAGGTACAGATTGTGAATCAGGCCTTCTCAGTGGTGGCCCCCTGTTTGTTGAATGCTCCCTCAGGGTGATGTACCTAGCACCATCCTTGTCAATCTTTAGCTGGCAGGCTAAGGCCTTTTTGTGTGGCCTGCTGAGGTGGTGGTCATCTTTTAGTGGGATGGGTAGGACTTGTCCTTACTACAGTGGTACCTCGGGTTAAGAACTTAATTCATTCTGGAGGTCTGTTCTTAACCTAAGGTACCACTTTAGCTAATGGGGCCTGCTGCACCGCTGCCACACGATTTCTGTTCTCATCCTGAAGCAAAGTTCTTAACCTGAAGCACTATTTCTGGGTTAGCAGAGTCTGTAACCTGAAGCGTCTGTAACCCGAGGTACCACTGTATATTGTAGGATGAGCGTCAAAGGAATTTTATAGGGCCCATTGTTTTGTATTTCTTATGGTATTAAGTTGTGTTTATGCATTCCATTTTACCTTGACAAGTTGCTTCCAGGCTTTTTATTGTGTAAAATGACCGATCAATGCAGTAAATAATAATAACACTGTTAATGGCATTAATACTGGCTATTTATTTCTCCCCTTCCCAGGCTCTCTACGCTCCTATTAATCCCGACCAGGACACACTGCAGGAGTTCTCTCTGACTGATGCTGAGCGGTTAGCAAAAGAACAGGAAGTTTTGGCCAGGATGGATCCATTGCTGGACCAGGCCAACTTCAACAGTTTGTCAGAGGAAACCCTGGCCTATGCCCTTGTGGTTCACCATCCTCAAGATGAAGTCCAGGTGAGACCTGTCCCAGGATAGGGCCATTCTTCCTCCCCGTAACACAATGTGACTCTTAACAAAGCCAGATTCTGTATATACATGTTATGGGAGTTTTCTCACTGCGGAGATTAAGTTCAGGCACAGCTCCACCAGAGGCCCTTCAGCTTCCCTGTGTCTGAGCTTCTTCGTATATTCGTATATTCTTCGTATATTATTATACAAGCCACTTTGATGTAGTGGTTAAGAGCGGTAGTCTCATAATCTGGTGAACTGGGTTCGCGTCTCCATTCCTCTACATGCAGCCTCTGGGTGACCTTGGGCCAGTCACACTTCTCTGACGTCTCTCAGCCCCACTCACCTCACAGAGTGTTTGTTGTGGGGGAGGAAGGGAAAGGAGATTGTTAGCCGCTTTGAGACACCTTAGGGTAGTGATAAAGCAGGATATCAAATCCATACTACTACTACTACTACTACTACTACTACTACTACTCTTCTTCTTCTTCTTCTTCTTCTTCTTCTTCTTCTTCTTCTTCTTCTTCTTCCTATTAGCCTTCCTGTCATCAGTTTATTATCCTAGGGCTTGAAGCAATAGAATTCATACAAGAACCATGAGAAATTCCTATTAAAATGTACAGAATATTGTTGAAGAGATCAACAGCACAGCATCCCCAGATGTGAAGCTAAAGGCACACCTTTAGAGCAGGTGAACCCATTGGACTCCAGCTCCCAACAGCATCTGGAGGGCTGTAGATTTCATGCACTGCTGCATGAAAGCCTTGTGACTTCAGCCCCTGTGTCTCATTTTTACATTGAAAAGTGCTCTCCGTGGTGATCCATTTCCTCAGATTACTTAACATGCTTGGCACTGATTTTTTTTTTTTAATTTTTGCCACCATTGTAGATTTGGTTCCTTATTTTATAGGCAGGTTGGCTTTATTTATTTATTATTATTTCTTAAATTTGTACACCACATAGTAACATTTATGTACAAATGTTTAAAATAAAAAATAGTGCGCACGCCCTCAAAACATTCACGCTATCGGTCGGTATGGAATGCTCCTTAGCTGTAGTTGCAACACAAGACCCCCTGCCCCAAAAAGTAAATGTATTTTCATGCCTTCCTTTTTGCAGGTCTCAGTAAATCTGGATCAGTATGAATACATAAGATTCTGGGCTCTTGGCCAACGGTTCGGACCACTGCGTGTGATGACTACCCTTCAGAATCAGAGGGGGTTCTTTGGCACACCTCGGGTTCCACCAGACAGGCAAGTGAATAATAATAAAAACAGATCCCACCCTGAGATCCTTTTGGGGAGAGCTATTCCCCTGACTCTACATTTGCCTCTCCCAGCTTGTTACACTGTTCAGACTCCCATAAATCTAGGCCTTAGGCTGAAGCTATTGGGAGTTGGAGACCAACTGCATTTGGATTGCAGCATCTTGGGGAAGTCTGCTCTGCATTAACTGGACAGGAAGATAGGCAGTGAATAGGTTTTGTTCATATGTGGATGGATAATTCAGGGACATACCGTACTGTGGATTCTTGGGCACTTTTTAATCAAAGCAGTTTCCAATAGTTTGGAGACTGAAGGAATTTCTTAACTTTTTTTTTTTTAAGTTATGTGAGCATGATCCCTCTTTGAAAAGGGAACACAGTACTGTTCGTCCGCTGCCTCCATGCTTTATTGGTATTTGCCTCCACATGGACAAAATGTGTTTGGCCACTTAGTATGGTGTTTTATCCACCTCAGTTTATTTAATGATAATCTCTTCTGCCTTTCAGTCAACATTGTGTTTTATGGTTCTTGTTAAATACTTTATAATTTTAAATGATACATGTATAACAATATACAGTACTGAGTAAACTTTGCAGGGTTTTGATGAGTGCTTATACATTGTACCTCAGGTTCCATCTGCACTATACATTTAAAGCAGTGTTATACCACTTTAAACAGTCAGGGCTTCTCTCAGAGTCCTGTGAACTGTCGTTTGTTAAGGGTGCCAAGAGTTGTTAGGACTCCCCTCGCAGAGGTACAGTTCCCAGAGTTCCCTGGGAAGAGGGACCAGTTTTTAAAGCACTCTGAGAACTGTACCTCTGTGAGGGGGGTTGGTATCTCCTAACATCCCTCAGCGCCTTTAACATTCTGCAGTTCCCAGGGTTATTTAGGGGAAGTCACCTTAATGACTATCTGCTTATATCTTTAATTGAATTATCTTTTATGTTGCCTTGATATTTTTTGATATACCGGTACAGAAATATTTTATTTATCCATAAATAAAATGAAAATGCTTTCTTTCCTCTGTGGTTTTTTATTTTTTGCCCCTTTTCCTCCCAAACCAGACAGTACTTCAAACGGGTGGTGGTGGCAGCCCGGATTAAGAATGCTCACCTCATGCTTAAATGCTTTAAGGACATTCCCCTGGAAGGCCTGGAGCAGTTGCTGCCCGCCGTCAAGGTCCGCACCTCCATCTTCTACAGGGCCCTCCTCAACGGCATGCTGATAGTGAGCGGCTTGGCCGTCTTCGTCAACGTGGGCATGGTGGTGCTTTCTGACCTGAAGATTGGCACCACCTCCCTGCTGCTTTTCTTCGCTGCCTTTATGGCCTTCCGGGCTTGGAAGGTATGCATGATGATGATGCCGCCGCTATTTCTAGAAAACTGGCCCTGCCTCTTAAAACAGATTGCCAGCCATGTGACCTTTGGTAACATAGCCTTTAAGGAAGGGGGGGACAGTTCCGACGTTGGGGCTGATGGGAGTTGGAGTCCAACAATCAGCATGGTTAATGGCCAGGGATTAAAATAAAAAATAAAATAACAGAGTCTGTAGTCCAGCAAGATCTGGAGGTTTCTGTCACTGTTTTGGGGCAGCATTTCCCAATCTATTGGTCACAAAGCCAGTAAGCCAAACATAATTATTACTTCTCATAATTTAACTGTTATGATGAAGATCTCTCCTTGAGATCCCAGAGAGCTGCTGTCAGGTAGACAGTTTGGAACAATTGTCTGGTTTTTCTGGACAAAACAGGCCCACATGGTCATACGCACCCTGTCGTTTTCTCAAATAGAAGTATCTACCATTTATTCCATTGTGTGGGGTAGTTGGGAGAATTACCCATTGAAGATGCACTTAAAGATACCTTTGCCTTCAGGACAAAACCTGTAATACACACCTCTAAATGCACTACTCTCCCCATGTGGGTACTCGCAGGCTACAAGTCCTCCTTCCTCCTCTCACGCCCTGTCCCTCCTATTGATGGACACTTTGCTAGGGATTGCAATACGTGTCAACCTTGCTCAAAAGCACTGCTGTAACTGTGGCTGTAAACCCAGGAGGCCTGAATCCCAACTTGTCCACTGCTATAGTTAAACTATGGGATTCGCTCCCATAGGAGGCAGTGATCACCACCAACCTGAATGGCTTTAAAAGACAATTAGACAAAATTAATCGATAGGGATAGCAGTGGCTACTACCTGTGATGGCTACGCTGAATGCCAGTTGCTGGAAACTGCAAGGGGGCGAGGGCTCTTGTGCTCAGCTCCTGCTTGTAGGATTCTGACAGGCACTTGCGTGGCCGCTGTGAGAACAGGATACTGAGCTTGATGGGCCACTGGCCAAATCCAAGAGGGCTGTTCTTAGCAGTCTTGCTTCCTGTGGACACCCCTGCTTTCTTCTTGTTAAAGGTCTTTGGCCAGCGCCGGAATATCCACTCCCTTGAGCTGGTGCACATGCTGTATTACCGCAGCACATCCAACAACTCTGAGCTACTGGATGCCCTTGCTCTGCGTGCCCAGGAAGAACATGCCAAGGAGGTCATCTTGGCACACAGTTTCCTCCTCCAGCTGCACCAGCACTATCACCCCCTGGACATAGGTATTTGCCTGGCCTTGGTTCTTTGGGTTGGGGCAGGGTTGAAGCAATGAAAAACTAAGCCATCCCCTGGGATGGGTTTGAACTTGTGAAAGGTTCTCTGACCTCTCTCTCTCTCTCTCTCTCTCTCTCTCTCTCTCTCTCTGTCCCCCAGACTCCAAAACCATTGAACGCATGAGGGAAGAGGTTCAGGCGTGGCTGCACCTCCACTCTGGTCTGGATGTAACCTTCTGTGCCGACCGTGCTTGCAGGCATCTCAGGGAACTGGGAGTTGGGGCAGGGGGCTCTCCTGCAACCGGGACCCATCCTGTGACTGGTTAGGAGCTTCCTAGGATTGTTCTGGCCAGCACTTTTGGTTCCTAGTGGTCAGGCCACCTGCTGAGGCCCCTAACGCTGAGCATGTGAGGCTTTGAAGGCACAGGCAGGGGAATTCTTGCCTTCCCGGGGCATTATGGGAGCAGTGCCCAGGGCTGCAGTTGTCGATGCTGCCCAGAAGCCTCAGGGTTTCTGCTTCTACTACTGCTGTATCTCCCCTGGATGTGTATGTTCCTCCAGGAATCCATGTTGGGAGGAAACTCAAGCATGTAACACCATAAGAGGTGTAAATATCACCCGGCATACAACATTCAACCTCATTACAAGGGTGGCATGTTACACCTCAGACTCAACTATTTGGAAGGCTTGTCGGGGGAAGCTTGTTTTTAAAGGTGTCCCTGTTTTTGTAAAAACCCTTTTATTATATGCTGCTGCCTTTGGGGGGGGGCTGCCTGCTTTTTCTTGTATCTGAGGAATGTGGGGGCGAAGTTCCTTGCAGGGCTGTTTACATTTGAAATGAGAATGGCATAAAGCAATGAATTGCTTGCGTTTAGGGCAAGATGGGGTTTTAGAAATATTCCTTTGCTCTGCTGCTTGGGGGCTTTAAAAAAACCTATTAAATCACTTTTATAGCACTTTGAAATTCACAGTATACGCTCACGAGGAATTTGAAGACTACTACGCACTTGGTTTTGCCTGTTTTGTAGAGACCACGGAGGTTGAGATGACACACACACTGCATGGTCTTGGACAACTCAGTAAGTTCATGCAGTGCTTTGACTTGTTAGGGAAGGGCACTCGGCACGTTTCTAGAGGCACTTCTCCATATTATTGCCCCCAGATGTTCCAGCTTCAGGCTGCTATACTGAGAACAGATTTGATGCCTTGGAACAAATTTACGCTCTGAGTTAATGAATGAGCTCCTATGTGTTTTTTAAGTTCCAGTATTGTACTCACTGAACCACGCTGTCTTTTGTTTTCTGGTTGTCAATTGGTCATCAGTCTACAGTTGAGGTTTGGAGTTCAGAAACTTGCACAAGTAGTAGGAATTATTAGGAGGGCTGTTGCTGATGGATTTTGAAGTTGAGGCATCTGCTACCTCCTTTTGACGCATGCAATAAGGTCTTAATTCTACCCTCATGGAGGGTACCTGAGTTCTGCTGTCTCCATCTCTAAATAGTGCATGTGTGTTCAATGTATGTATGTGTGCTTGGGGGGGAACGACTTCACCCTAATGAATGCCCTTGTAACTGAGCAGATGTGATATTGTTCACTGTTTGTTGTGTTAGACTGGGGGCCAGCTGGCCCCCCTGAGAGGTCCTCTGTCCTTTTTTATGGTGTGCATGTACCAGCCGTGCAGTCTCCCATCAGCCAGGATGCTGTATTTGAAGCAGCACCTGCCAGCAAAACCTCAGACAGAGAACTTGGTGCAAATAGGAGCCAAGTAGAGGCTGTTTGTGGACACTGGTCTGCTATTTCACAGTCTAAAAGCAACAACAGGGCAATGCCTCGGTGATACTTTACATGGTAGCATTGCCCGGATTTTCACTTTTGATTTCTTCCCTTCCCCAAGTGAGTGCTACCTGAAGTTTTTGTCTCTTGTAACTGTCTAAACAGCACTCTTACCTACAGGTGTGTGTAGTGGTGTGAGAAGACCCTCTAACAACAGCTTGTTCTGAGCTTCTCATGCCTAAAGTGAGCTCTTAGTCTTAAAATAGCAGTGGTTGGGGTTTTTGTTTTTCTTTTTGTTTAGCCCTCCACCCATGTTGGAAGTCATTGTGGCTCAGGGGAAACTGCGTGAATGTCTGTATCTTCGGCGCAATAAAAAATATTTTCCCATATTGACAAGTTTTCTCCTACTTTTTATTCTGTTTTATTTTGCACTGCTTGGTCCTAAAGTAACTTCACTGAACTGAACAGCCAGGAGGGCAGTGGTTAGTTATGCTTGGATGTATATTATTATTATTATTATTATTATTATTATTATTATTAAATTTACTAGTTGCTTTTTCTTGCCCAGGGCAACCCAAAGCACCTTACATCCAAACCTAAAGACAGACAACCCCACCCACCCACACAGATGCATTGAAACTAAGAGGAGAAAAGAAATACATTAGAAACATCCCACAATCCCCTAAAGCTTCCTTGTAGCTCCACACCCTCAAAGTATCCTGTGTGCAATAGGGGCACCAGGAGCCCCTCTTTAACCTTCCCTATTTATAATATTTTGCACACTGGAGTTGGATACTTGACTGAGCAAATAACAGCCAGGTATTTGAAAACCGTTAACATTCATTGAACGACGGCATCATTATTTCTGGCTTTCCTTGACTCCCTGTAGCTGTGTGTCTCACTTGTATCCCATGAGTTCCTACTTTACCATTAACTCGTTCTTTCAGTAGCAACTGTTTTGTCTTGAATTCCTCCTAGGACATTACAGAACAAACAGATACATCATGGTAAGGCACCTATTTGTTCCTGCAGCAAGCAAGACAGGAAGCTCAGCAGTCCTAGGCAGTGATCATGGCCCCCGATGACGGTTTTTGTGTGTTCTCTGTTGGGAGATGCCTGCTGTTAGAGCAGGTGGCCTGTGGGAGATGTTCATGCTGCTGGGTTTTGCTATGGGACCAATGAGCACACAGCTCCCCTTCCTGACAAATGACACTTTATTGGGGCAGACACACTATATTTTTTGGGGGGGGGGCAGAGAAACTACCACCCCCCGAGTTACTTTCTTGGCTTCATTGAACATTTTATGGCAGATTAGTGGAGGGGAGATTCTGTTTCTAATATATCACATTTCCAGCAGTGATAAACTTAGAAAAAGCCAATTATAGCTTTAAAAAAGAAAACTAGCACAAGTGACACAATAAAACAGCCTGCTTCATTGTTTAGCATCCTGCCACTTGCTGACAAGGGCTCCCCACAAACAATTACTTGAGCTCTCTTATCTTGAGGTTTCCTTCAAGAAGAAAGTTGCCGGAGAGGTTCTGATGCAGTCATACAGCTTCTTGAGCAATGTACAGGACTGCTGATCCTACACCTTGCCTAATGGTGGAGGTATCACCTAAAACCTTCGGGGAAGGGGCTCCCCCTGTCAAAGGCCACCTTCCTTTGGAGGTGCTAATCAGCTGGAGGCAGCATACTAGCAGGAGGTGGGGCTGAAGCCATGTTCTTCCTGTCTCCCCAGTCAGCTGGTTGCCAGAAGAGAGACAGATATGGACACACAGCTTGCAGAGGACTTCTGAAATGAGGTGGGCAGGCTGCAGATTACCAACCCCTCATCTAAGACACCAACAACCTGACATGATATTTGAGAGGAACTAATAAACTGTCTCCTTGATAAAGGGGCTACACAGGACATTGCTTTGTGGCAGTCGGCTCACTGGTCAATCTAGACCAGTTTTGTTTACATGGGCTGGCAGCAGCACTCCTTGGCCTCGAGCAGAGATCTTTCCCAGCCTTGCCCCCTTCCACTGAGAGGTGCAGGGTAAGGAGTTTGATTTCCCTTAAGTTAAGCATCTTCTCCATCCCTGGGCTATGGGATCTTTTTAGCCGTTGCACAGCCTCTAATTCAAGGATGGGGGACCTCCAGATGTTGGCAGACTCCCACCAGGCTCAGCCAGCAGGACTGAAGGGCAGGGATGAAGGGAGTCTGACAACATCTGGAGGGCCGCAAGTTCCCCACCCCTGATGTAATTCTACATTTGTTTTAATTAAAATGGAAGATTACAGGTCAGACAGATTGCATGTTATGGTAATCATCTCAGCCGTACAGTTAAAGGAACCTGCTGCGTCAGGCAAAGGCCTATCAAGTTCATCATTCTGTTTCCACAGCAATCAACCAGGTGCCTTTGGGAAGCCTGTAAGCAGGGCAGGAGTGCAACAGAACTCTGCCCACCTGTGATTCTGAGCAACAGGTATGCAGAGGCATGATGCCTCTGACAGTGGAGGCAGAACACAGCCATTGTGGCTGCTGGTAGCAGAATATTGTTAAGAGCTCCCCTCTTTCCCCCCAGCAGAGAATCCCTGCTGAGTATGCAAAATCCAGAATGGACCACCCTTCTACCCCTTAATGTTGCCTGCTTGTTTCCCAATTGCCTTCATGACTAACTTGAGGACTAGAAGGAAGCATGCCTTCGAAAAGGCTGACAATCTGCGTCAGATGAACCAAGGGATACAAAGCAGTGTTTTGTACTTGGGAGAGAGATGCGGCTATGTTTCCTGTACTTAGGGCAGACCCATAGAACCAGAATTGGAAGGGACATCGAAGGTCAACTAATCCCAGCTCCAGCTGATGCAGGAAATCCACTACTACAGCACCCCTGATAGGTGGCCATCCAGCCTCTGCTTAAAAACTTTGTAACAAAGCAGAGCCCACCATCTTCTAAGCCAGGTGTGGGGAGCCTTTGGCCCTCCAGGCGTTGCTGAACTACAGCTTCCATCCCTGGCCACTGACTTGCTGGGGCTAGTGGAAGTCGTAGTTTAGCAACACCCGTTCTACGGTATTAGCTTGCTCCCACCCGCCGTGGTGTCGGCTGCCTTTTTCTAGCCTTGCTTCTACTCTTGTAAAAAGACAAGCTTTAGGGTGGCTGGTGGATTCAGATTTCAATTAGGTTAAATATTTATTGGTTCACGTGCCCAGATCTCTGCACCACCAGATGGTATATTAGTGCTCTTGGCAGGCATTAAGCTGCACTCTTATCTCAGCCCAAGTGCACAGTGAGGATGGAAAGCAGCTGTACCTAGAGAACTGGGGTGGGGTGGGGTTGCTGGCAGATCAGGACCAGCGAGCACAAGGTTCGTAGGGTCTTGCATTCAACTAAGTTTTACTCGGGGCAGAGCCACTGAAGTGAATGATGCAACTTGGCCAAGTTCGTTAATTTCACTGAGTCTACTCGGAGTAAAACTTTGCTGCATTCCAACCATAGTCTCCACTCGGCCATGCAGATCCCTGTGTGTCCTTGGCACATCTTTTCCAGCCTTACCGATATCACAGGTTGTTTTGAGAATAACATGGGTGGAGAAGGAAGCTTCTGTGAAGGGGAGATTGAAATGCAATAAAAACAAGTTTGCTCAGTCGGAATGCAGAGAGTTTGGGCAAGGAGGGACTGAATGAATAACAGCAGTCCGGAGTTGGCTGGAAGAGGTGCCACAAGCATTTCTGCAAGGAGGAAAGCTTTTTAATGATGTTGGGTGTTGTGGATTTGGAACAGCATGTTTGCTTCTGCACTCTCATCCAGTCAGCCTGCACTGTTTGTAAATAAACAGATTATTAGAAAAGATACTCTTAAGTCTGCAGTGTTCTGTTCGCCAAAGGAAAGTTTCCTTGTGAAGACTGCGGGAATGTGAGACAAGAATGTGAAACACTGTAGTCCGCAAAGGAACACATGGCTCTGCTGAATTTTGTTTATTAGGTTTTCTTTTATTCTTAAAATGCGTATAAAATATTAAAAGGCCAGGTCAAGAAGGTGAAAGGGGACTTTGGGGGAGCCAGCACATATATAATACTGTTACAGAAATATCATTGGAAGGAACCCGTTTTTAATAACTTGCAAGCAGGCTGCTTGGTAAGGCTACTGGAGAAGCAAAATCTTTCCCATGTTTTCCAAATATTTTGTGCGTAATTGCTATGGGGCAAGAAGGCAGGATTAATCCTCCCAGCTTTAGAAGGATGGTGGATATGATTAGCTTAAATACCTCACCCTATGCTGTTTTGGGGAAAGTACAGAGTATAACCTCAGACTGGGGGGGTGGTGAGATACTCCTTTAAAGTAGTTACTGGCTGGAGGGGAAGAGGAAAGTGATGCTATCTGAGTTCTCACCAGGGTCATTTTAACACATTCTGCAGAAAAATGGGGGTTTGTTACTGAAGGTTGACTCAAGGGGGAGTTATAATCACTTGTGACTCCCTGAACAGTGGGCAGGTATTTTGCAAGTATTAGCAAATGGTTTTGTCCAAATCACACCTCGCATTTTTAGGCTGTCACTTAAAATGTCTTAGGTGAAAACCTAAAAATACATGATTTAAAGTGCGTGTAACAGCACATGCAAAAATGCCCTTATGTTTCATGGTTGAAATTCAGAAGATGAAATTCATTTTTCGTGGTGATCTCAATGACCAATTTCAAACTCTGCTATCATCAGGCTCTGTGCATAATGTCCCAGCAGTTGAGAAACAAGAGAGAGTTGCAGATTTTTCAATTCATGACAATCAGTTCTGTATGGACAACGTGATGAAGTCCTACTTTCTACGATTTTTGTGGTTTCAGTTCTTTCAATGAATTTATTAGGGTCCGTCCCCCCCACGTTTGATATTTTAGCTTCCAAGCTGCAAATGTGGAAAGAACACTGATTTTTTTTTTATTAAAAAAAACCCCACAAGAAACATATTCAATCCACCATTTTTAAAAATGGGGATTAAAAGGAAAAAAGAATGCTAGAAATGTTTGCAAGTTTGAGTTTTAATGTGTATTTCAATTTTTGCCAAATCTGAAAAATAGAAGAGCCCTGGGAAATGCCAAGTGCAAGATGACACCCCTTTAACTTGCTGTATTATGTGGAAGTACCTGATAACATGCAAACAAGGGGTGATACACTCACAATGCAGAACCCCAGTGGACCAATCCATGTATCGCATAGGATTTTGTACCATAACTGCCTTTGAAAACTGCAAAGAGTTAATACATAGCTAAATTCAGAGGAGAACAGGGCTCCTTCCAAGGCAAATGGGAGAGATCATCCAGTTGATGGTCACTCCTTTTTCCGAAGGTGGATGTAAATGATTCCACTGATAAGAGCCAAAGGAAAGGACAGCCACGCCAGCACAAAACAGTAACCAAAAGACCCACCCGGTGATTGGCCACCCTGGAACTGTTCCACGTGGGTGGTGTAGATCACGGCAGCTGTGAACACGGAGATAGCTGGAAACAGATCCAAGCAGACAATTAGCACTGGATCCCTGTTAGCTACATCTTACTACCTAAAGCTGCATTCAATGCTCACATCTTCACCAGGTATTTAAAGCTCTTGGCTTCCCCCCAAAGAATCCTGGGAACTGTAGTTAAGGGTGCTGGGAATTGTAGCTCTTTGAGATGTATACCATAGATTAAAGCCATGCGCTTTAAATGTGCGATCCCTTTGCAGCGTGACAATGAAATCCCAAGGCATAAATCTCACCGGCATCCATATTGGAATCTGCACTTTGCATCTCAGCATATTTTATGATAACATCGAAGAGAAGAGAACGATAACATATTTCAGATTTATCCAGTGGAATTACCCCAAAAGTGGTAGTATACTTAGCAATTTGGTGTTGCTGGGTCTTATGGTATACCTGCATGGCTCTTCCTCCTACATGTCCTCACTACTTCCTCACAAGAGCAGCTCCTACACATATACATGCCCCCCTCCATCACACTGCTTTACCCCAGGCTGCACTCATACTTCTCCCCATCCAAAGTATTACTGTACTTCCTTTCTGGCTCCTATGCTGTGTCTCTCCCTGTGAGAGTTACTACTCGCCGCAAGCTAATTAAACTGGTCTCTAAACAGCAAATCACCACACCATACTTACATGTAAGTATCTGGAAGATCCCAGTGGCGTAGAACAGGCTTCCCCGCTTCATGGTGTAGAGTTGGCACATGAAGATAATGAAGGCTAAGCTGGAGAAGAGAAGACTTAAAACCATGAAGGCTTGGACTGCCTGAAGCCATGCTGTGGGGGAAAGATAAGTATGGGGGTGATGAGAGAGGAGGAGACTATATACATGCAGTAGAGAAGCAGCAGTTAATATGATGTGCAATAGCCTTTGCGGTACTCACCACTGTCAGAGACTGTTTTGCAGACCCAGGTGTTGGTGTGGTTATTAAGTGTGCACTCATACCAGATGTTCACGGTTTCCTTGTCGGGCCGGACCCACCAAGACTGGAAGAGAATTACAACGGAGATTTTAGAAGCAGGCCTCCAAGGAGGGCTGGCTGGCTGGCTGGCTGAGCTTTTCCATCGGGGAAGCCAAGTAAGAACTGACTCCAACCAAGCAGTCAGCAAAACTTTAGAAAAGCCTGTTATTTCCTACCACCAAGGGCTTGCACAGGTCAGTGTGGCCAGTGGGCTGATAACATTACTGGACATGCTTGGAAGACTAGTTTTCAAAGTTCAAAGGGAGTTTACTTTTGAGAGCAAACTGGAAAGTGATAAGCACCAAGGTAATGGTTTTCCCAAGGCCTTTCCACACCTAACATAGCAACAAACATGCGTTTGCGACCACATAAGCGGGAACTAGCATTAATCATGGCACTCAAGGGTATCTGTATGAATGTGTGTTTCCAAACGTGTTTGTTTCATTCATATAGTACATTTTCATGGGTGCACCAATTAATAGTAAACACACACAGGGCTGATATAGCACTATGTTTATAGCACTTCATAGACACTGTTGTTTGCAATCTTTACAGCAGAGGTGGCTGACCGGTGGCCATCCACATGTTGTTGGACTACAAGTCCCATCAGCCCCTGCCCTGCTGGTAGTCAGGGATGCTGGGAGTTGTAGTCCAGTAAAGCGCTACAACCTTGTAAGGTAAGTCAGTACTATTATCCCCATTTTGTAGTTGTGGGAGGGAGTCAAAGCTACAGAGGGTGGAAGAGAGTGGTGGTTTAAACTCAATGAGCATGGCAGATGTGGGAGCAGAACTGGAGACTTTCTGATATGTATCTTAAGTCTCTTCACTGCTATACAGTGGTACCTCTGGTTACGAACTTAAATCAGTCCGGAGGTCCGTTCTCAAGCCGAAACCATTCATAACATGAGGTGCGCTTTCGCTAATGGCACCTCCCGCTGCTGCTGCCCTGCCAGAGCGCGACTTCTGTTCGCATCCTAGGGCAAAGTTTGCAACCTGGAGCATCTATTTCCGGGTTAGCGGAGCTCGTAACCCAAAGCGTTCGCAAGGAGGACGGTACGTAACATGAGGTTCCACTGTACTACACCATCATGAATAACCGGGGGCTTGCGTTGCTTGTTGAGCCTTGAGAATTTGGGTTCTACATAGGTATTGGAAAGGTATGTGGTTTATTAAACAGTTTCCTGGACAACTCACTGGCAGGGCTCCTAATGCAGGCCTGCAGCAGGGTGTGCCCCAGTCCAAGGAAGAGCAGGAGTGGAGAGTGCAGGCTTCACTGTATTATGGGGTCAGTAACTCACTGTGCCTAAATTCCCAGCGCTAATGCTACTGCCCTTCTTTACTGTGTGTTATTATCCCCCTACTGCAGATTGGGGATGAAGTTTGAGAGAGGGTGGTTTGTCTGAGATGTCCTAATAAGCTGCACTGCATATATAATAAATAAATATATATGTATGATTGCAAACCCATGCTTTCTATTTAAAAGTAATGTAGAAGTGGGGCAAGGAAAATGAGTGCGTGGGAGGGGAAGCATTTTTAACTGTTCTCTCATTCACTGATTCTCCTCCATAATTTATCTTTGCTTCTCTTTCCCACCCCAGCAGGACCTTATTTTCTAAGGCGAGGGAATGGAGTGGGGGCAGCCAAAGGGCTGCAGGGGAGAGTGGACAGATTGGGGAATGGTTAGGAATCTAACCTACAGATTCTCCCTTGAAAAAACCCCTGACTCCAATGATGAAGCAAATGCAAAGTTAGCCTCATAATGTGTTGTTTCACCCCCAGATACACCATAAAAACCTGGGGATTCAACTACACAAGGTCTGAGTTTTAATTGTTCCTTTTTTTGTAAGGTGAGTATTGTATGGCATCAAATCTGAATTATTTGCACAAATAAAAGAATAATGACAAATGTAAATAGCCTGTACAAAGCAGAAGAAACACCCACACTTACAGTACAGACCATAACTTATGTTAATGGGTGTGCCATTCCATTTTCATTTTCAGTAAGCTGTCATCTCGGGGAAACACACGTCAGGGCTTAACGAAGACAATGAAGTACACACAGACACGGTTGGTGAATAAATTGTGTATCCACCCCCAACACTGGCTGAAGATGCAGGCTCTAGCACAATTATCAGTTTAAAAAGTTAACAAAACACCTTGAGTCAGGAGTAGAAGTGTCAAAAAGATTCCAAGGCTACAGCTGCCAAATTAAGACACACCAAAATAAAATTAGGACTCTTCTTCCCTTTCCTTTTTTTGTCTCCAGGGACCAGAATAAAGCAGTACAGAACCAAAAATAAAAATAAAAATCAATATTGAGATCAAAATAAAGGAGGCAAAGCACAAAAAGTACTAAAGAAAATTGGCTCCAATTTCTCACGTAGCAGCACAGGCCTAACCATGTCTACTCAAAAGTAACTCCTATTATATTCAGTGAGGCATACCTGTAAGCAGTGCTTTTTTAAAAAAATGTTTAGGGATACTCTCATTTTCCTACTCATATTGAATGAAATACTGCCCCTCAATGAGGCTAAAGTTAGATTCACAAAATGTGTATGCGTGCCCCTGCGTCCTCCCAGAAAAAAGCACTGCCTGCAAGTCAATGGTGTTGGGATTGCAGCCTATTATATGCCATGTCAAAGGCAGAAATCCCATTCTAAAGAAAGCTATCCTCTGCAATAAATTAACTTTATGTTCCCAAAGATTAAATGCCTCATTCAGGAGGGATGTGATAACATCATGATGATGATGATGATGATGATGATAATAATAATAATAATAATAATAATAATAATAATAATACAGTTATTAGTTATACCCCACCCATCTGGCTGGATTTCACCAGCCACTCTGGGTGGCCTACAACCCTCTGATGGGTTTCATGTACTTGAAACATGCTACTATGCAATAAGTTGGAGAGCTTCAGTGAATCTACAATTTCCTTTAGCACCTTCAGAAACCTTCAGACTATCCCTTTTTGTGAGGGTGGGGCAGGGGAGGACTATGGAGAAGTCTAAGGGCTGGTCTGGGCCCTTGGAGAATTCGGGATCCAGAGCAGGAAGAGACAGCCGGCATCAATACTTTCAGTCGGGGCTTCTCTATTCTCCAGACCAGCTCCAGGGTCTATCACAGATGGTAGGCTCTGTAATAATGAATTCAGCACCACCTAGCAGTATGGGCTTTATGAAAGATCTCCCCAGATAGGCAGCACGCAAGAACAATGTAGTAAGAATCACATGACATGGCACACAGAGAGATTGGTTGCTTCCAGGGTGAATGAAATTGTTTACCACACCTGGATTAAGGATTGGTATGCCCACTGAGGCACGGGGCCAATAAAAAGTTGCTTCCGAGGGCCAGATCTGGCTCACAACAGGCTACCAGCTGAACAAACCTAAAACAGAGGAGTAAAACAAGATGGACCGGGAGCGAGAGCTTCTGCGTTCTCTCACCTTGTCCAACGTGGCGACGAAGAGTAAGATGAGAATGAGGACATGGAGGGCAGTGACTGCGAAGAGAAGGAAACTCATCTTGGCAGCTGGAAGCTGGGGAGAGAAGGGTGGGCAGCATTAAACAAACCCTTGCAAAACAAAAACAACAACCTGTTTTCTGCACTTAATACTAGGGATAGGTGAGGGTGTCCAAAATCTGATTAAATCTTAACAGAGTTTCCAACTCCAGACCTCCCACCTTCTTCACTCAGAAATCTTTCCAGCTCCAGCCTGAGCAGCTAGACACCACTGTTCCTTCTCCGGAATGTAAGGGCCCCTGGTTTCCCATTCTAACTCCCTCCCCCGCTCAAACTAGTAGATCCCATTCCCCCAAAGTCTTTGACTCGCAGCAGGCCTGTCTCCCCTGCCACAACCCACTTAGAGAAGCCAGGAGGAGTCCTGAGGCTCAGGCCCACTATTCTCACCCACTGCATCACTCCCAGAGGACTCCCAAGCCCCAGCTTCTAAGCACATATTGTACATTTCTGTCTAGCTGTTACCCACACCTCATTGGGTCTGTCTGGAGATATCTAGAGCTCCGAGCCCCTCCTTGGACACGCCGTATTTCCCAGCCCCCTCCAGCCCAGAGAAGCAAGGAGCTGGGCTCATCCACCCAGCTCACATTCCTGTGGCTTTAGGCTTTGCCCTAATGTGATCCAGATGTTGCAGAGTCATGTGAGCCCTGGGCATGCCAGGGGTGGAGGTAGCAACAGCCTGGCTGTGTCGCTGCCGCCTCCTTCAGTCCCACCAAGGGGCCCTGCCTTTCAAATACCAGCGAGGGAATCCTGATGGTATACATCAGAAATTGCAGAGCAGCAAGAAAGGCAAAAGGAAGTTGCAAACATGAGGTCGGTTTTTAATAATAATAATAATAATAATAATAATAATAATAATAAAAGCCAGCAGCAGCAACAAACCTACAGTTTCTGACTACATTTTCTCAGTAGTTAATTTCTTAAATTGACTTTTAAGGCAAGATCATACCACTTTAAACAGTCACAGCTTCCCCCAAAGAATCCTGGGGACTTTAGTTTGCTAAGGGTGCTGTGAGTTGTTAGGAGACCCACATGGAGCTACAATCCCTAGAGTGGCTTAACCTATAAAACAGGGATGGGAGAACTTTCTCAGCCGCCAGGCCACATTCTTTTCTGGGGACCACATGCCAGTGCCACGTGGAACCAGAAGCAAAAGTGGCTGAGCAATTCATGTAAATTTTACCTGTGTACATCAAGCTACTTTCTACACTGACCCTCACACCCTGCTCCAGCCTCCACCTAGGCAAGCAGGAGGCATTATCAGAGCTCAATGACACATTCCAGCCAGGCAAAAACTCTCAAAAGGGATGTGAAGTAAATTTGGTGAGAGGGTGTGGCCTGAGGTAAGAGGGTGTGATCTAGGTAAAGTCACAGGGGCCAGATAGAGAAGTCTGGAAGGTGAGCTTTGGCCTCCAAGTCTGACACACACATCCCTCCCACCCACCCCACTGTAAAGTATTGAAGTCCTATATCATGGCCTGGTACTGAAAACAAAGTGCTTGGACTGAATCCTGGTTCAAATTAAGCCCAGTCCATTCTCCTTCCAGATCCACAAATTCTGCCTCCTGGTCTTTCATCTGTTTCCAAAAAGATCCCATCGCAGAAAACTTAACAGATTCTAGCTCCTAGTTAAACTTCAATGCTCTCATTTGAAGCAGTAGCACTTTAAAGAGTCACAGCTTCCCAGAAGGAGTCCCACAAAAGAACTGTAGTTTGTTAAGAGTGCATGTTAGGAGAGCTACAATTCCCAGAGTTCCATGGGAAGAGGGCATTGAGTTGTTAAACCATGCTGAGAATTGTAGCTCTGTGAGGGGAATAGGGATCTCCTAAGAACTCTCCTCACCCTTAACAAGCTACTGTCTCCAGGATTCTTCAGGGGAAGCCATGACTGTTTGAAGTAGAATAACACTGCATGAAATTGATAGTGCAAATGGGGTGTGCGCCACCCCAGGCACCCGAGCGGCTAGCTACGCCACTGCATACTTCTGAATTTTCCCACAGCAGCCAACTTAAGGCCATTCCTAGCTTTGAAAAATAAGGAATCCAGTGCCTGCCTTACAAAAAAGGCAGAAAAAGAACCATTTTCATTTTATTTTAGGATAATAATACATAGAAGGATAAGTCGCTCCTATTATTACCGGTATTTATTATTATGTATTGCACTTATTAGTTGCTCTTTTTTTTACTAAAATGTAAACTCAAAGCAACTTGAAGTGCCATGAGAACATATGCTAGCTGTGAGAGACAGGACTTTTGGTATCTGCTTGGGTTGATATGTTTCTCTGCTATCTGGGTATCTTACCATGCACCACATGACTAGGTTTTCACGCTATTCTGCTTCCTCTACAAAACTGTAAAATTATTCTAGCTTCCCCCAACTTTTTAAATTGTATGTGCATGCCCTTAATTTGTGAACTGAATACGAAAGCTATATGGACTAGAATTTATATTTGGGAGTTTTTTTAAAGAAAAAAACATTCTCTTCTGCTTTTCGTTTCCTATGAATAACATTTGCAAATGACTCATTCCAGATTGAAAAGGCACTCCTCTTTTGAACACTGCCAACACACATACACATATGTCACTAAAATTTTCTGACACTGGCAATTAACATCTGGCTCCTAGGCAGAGAGGTCAGAATGCATGGATAGGCAACTTAAACTGCTTGATCACAGAAGAGCTCTTTAGAATAACTTACTTCTTTTTTCTGTGAGGATACTAAAACCAGTGTTAAGAATAAACAAGCATCCACAAAATAAAGGGTGTAAAAAAACATATTAGAATTCACAAAATGGGGAGGGCACAATACAATTCAGTCCTAAGTATGCACATTCAGAAGCAAGCGCCACTGAGTTTGATGGGGCTGAATCCAAGAAAAGTTGTTTAGGAGTGTAGCAACACTGCACAATCCTGCATAACTTTACTCAGAAGGGTAAGTCTTCAGTGAGACTTACCGTATTTTTTGCTCTATAAGACTCACTTTTTCCCTCCTAAAAAGTAAGGGGAAATGTGTGTGCGTCTTATGGAGCGAATGCAGGCTGCGCAGCTATCCCAGAAGCCAGAACAGCAAGAGGGATCGCTGCTTTCGCTGCACAGCCATCCCTCTTGTTATTCTGGCTTCTGAGATTCAGAATATTTTTTTCCTTGTTTTCCTCCTCCAAAAACTAGGTGTGTCTTATGGTCTGGTACTTCCAAATGTGCACAGGACTGCAGCATCATAGTCCCACTTGCCTGGGAATAAGTCCCAATGAATTCAGCAGGACTTACTTCTGAGTAGTCTTGATTAGGATTGCTGCATTAGTCTACTTTTTAAACAGATACAAAATACTTTAAACAAATACAAAAAAACCAAAATCATTGTCCTAGATATATCTTTTAGGAATGTATATCTCCATCAGTTTAAGGCCTGGGGTAATTTTCACACAATTAAAGGTATTTCAGCATCTCATTTCTGCTGCACATGAAAATTGCAAATGGGGAATAAAAACTGGAAGAGAGACCAACAACAGCATTTACTTTTCCATTATCACCATCCAGTTTAATCTTAAACCTCATACATGAAAAGGCCCTTTAGAAACCTAGGCTGGGTTTTGTCAGCTGTAGTAGCAGAGTATGTTGAGCTTAGGGTAAATAACTGAAGTATATAGGATGCTAGGAAACCCATTTTGGAAGAAACACGCACCCCCATAAGGTATCACATTATCCCGAAATGCAATACCCACTACTTTGGAGAAGGGGCAGCATCTGGGGATCTGAGAGGTTCCGTGATTTCCAACACCTCAAGCACCTTGTTATTCAAGGCAGGCAGGAGTCTCAATGGGGGGGCTGGGGAGGGAACACCGCCCCCTCGGCTTTTGTTTTAAGTTTCGCAGCTACCCTTTTACGGTGCGCCGTGAGTTGGCTAAAACGTGGACGATTCAGGAGGTGGAGCTGGGTGAGCTTTATTGGGGGGGGGGGCTACCCTCCATTTGCAAAATTTGCCTTTTACAACGACCTTCGTGTATCGGCCTAAGCAATGTATTGATCGGACTCCATCTAAAAAGCGCTGCTAAGGGAGCTTGGAGCGATCGGGTCGTGTGTCCGAAGGAAGGCTCCCTGAATTCTCTTGGGGAAGGAAATGGATCATAGCGACGAGCGGGCGAAAAAGAGAGGATTTTGGGGAGAGGACGCGGGGTCCAGAGGGTTAGAGCAGAGGGAGGGGCTGGCAATCTGACAGAGGGGAGTGGTTTGCTAAGGCTTCTCCTCCCCCCCAGCCCCAGCCCCAGGCGTCAAATTGATGCCTCTCCCGTTCAATTCTCACAAATCCCTTTCTATTTCCTAAAAAAAAAAAAAAAAAAATCTGGCTGTCAGCTCTTCCGAGCCTAACTGGCGAGATCTCTCGATCTCTCTTCCCACCGCCAAACGGGAATATTATGGGATCCTACCTAGCACCCTGCTCTAACCCCCCTCCCCCTTTCCCAAGGTCTCGTTTCCCAAATTCTCCCTCGAGAACCCAGGAGTTTTGGCACCCAACTTTCCCCCTGACCCGTTGGATAGGTACCTGGAGGTGCTGATGGAGGGTCTAGGATGGAGGCAGCTTCCTGCTGCTCTTGTTGCTCCTGAAGTTTCCTCTCTTCACCCCCTCCTTGGATTAAAAAAACACACAGAATTCCCCAGTTTAGCTCATCCACATCGCACCAGGCTTACCCAGCCCTGCCCTTGGCAAAGGTCCACGTGGGTGGGACCAGAGAGCGCGTGGCTGGCCAGTTGCCCCGAAGAACGGAGTTGGGGAAGGGTGGCTCATTTGGGAGGGGCCCGACTTCTTGAAAATTGTAGCGCCCCTCCTCCAGTTGTGTCGTGTCTCTTTTGCCGCTTTTCTTCCTGGCTGACAAGGGCTCGGTCTGCACGAAAGGAAGAAACCACTCAGTCTTTTTCACCATTTCACTTTCTTGTCCGGAAAGGGAGGTGGGGTGGGGTGGGGGGAACCTTTATCTGCCTGTCACGAAACTATTAAGACACAGAAGCACTGGCCAGGTGAAAAGGGGGGTCTTTTCCTATTACTGGACCCCCCCCCAACCCGTGCCACACAACAAGTTTATTGTGACATGCACTTTCGTGGACTGGAACCCACTTCTTCAAATGAATTATCTTCAGAATTATCCTCTGTGTGGACTTGCCAGACCAGCTTTTGGACATTCATCCCGATTTGTTTGCAGGGAAGTTAGATGGAGGAGAGGTTGGATGACCATTGTGCAAAAACAAGTGTTATCCCACACTTTCCAGTACGTTTCCCTTTCACCTTACTGGAAAGAAAACGTGGGGGGATTTGACTCAAAGAAGCTGCACAAGACCTCTCATTCAGCTATAAATACACAACCTGAATTTACTCATTTGTGATTGAATTTCGTTTTAGCGACAGTCTGGAAGCACCCACAGAGGGGTCAGAAATGTAAAGAGGGGCCAAAAAGTCACAAAAGGCAAAGAGATACACTCTGGCATTCCTGTACAAAGCTTAAAAGAATATAATAACTCTCCATACCTGTAGTAACTGTGGACAGACAACTCCATCTTCCTTCTTTTGCTATGCTACTTGTAGAGGGAGAAGAAAACCTGGTCTCCGTTTAATCTTTAATGAAGTACTGCAATCATATTCAACCTTGGAGCCTTGGAAGGAAAATATGTTTACTGGAATAGGAAAGAAAAGCTAGAAAGTATATAAGAAGAGTCCTATTGGGTCAGGTCAAATATCCATCTAGTTCAGCATCCCATTTCTGAGTGTGGCCAATCAGATGCCCCTAAGAAGACCACAAGCAGGGGGCTGGCTCTCCACTGTTTCTGAGCAGCTTTGATTACTAATGACCATTAACAGACCTATGCTCAGTTTACTTGTCTAGGTAAAGGTAAAGGGACCCCTGACCGTTAGGTCCAGTCGTGGCTGACTCTGGGGTTGCGGCGCTCATCTCACTTTATTGGCCGAGGGAGCCGGCGTACAGCTTCCAGGTCATGTGGCCAGCATGACTAAGCTGCTTCTGGCGAACCAGAGCAGTGCACAGAAATGCCGTTTACCTTCCCACCGGAGCGGTACCTATTTATCTACTTGCACTTTGATGTGCTTTTGAACTGCTAGGTTGGCAGGAGCAGAGACCGAGCAACGGGAGCTCACCCCGTTGTGGGGATTCGAACCGCCGACCTTCTGATCGGCAAGTCCTAGGCTCTGTGGTTTAACCCACACGTAAGGTCATTTCCAGACAATCTGTTGATTGAGCACTCTTCTGCCTTGCCTGTGGGGAGGTTAAGCAAATCTTGCCCCACACTATCCAGTGCATTCCCCCCTCATTTTCCTTATTATAAAAACAATCAGATTTTTTGGAGTTTGGGGTCTGTTGTGCAAGGGCTCCACCACATAAGCTTTAACTGCACAACCTGAATTTGCTGGTATGTGATGGAGTCCCACAGTGACTCTCTGGAAGTGTCCTAAGACAGTGAAGTGGCCATCACTGCTTATTGTTGCAATCAATAATACATATTATACAGTGCTATTTTTCTGGAAAAAGAGGTGCCGGAACTCACCATGAACACCTCCCTTGTTCTCTTATAAGGGCAATGGTGCCCACATGAGAGGTGCCAGAACTGAGTTCCAGGGAGTTCTGGCTGAAAAAAGCCCTGATATTATACATTTTATATAATAATTATAAAATGTATAAAGAAGTGCTTTCTCCAATCTGTCCTGATTCTACCATTAGTCCAATTATCTGGGTTATTGTATTCCTAGGACAGTCTAAAATTTACTGGGCCTGGGCCTCATCATCCATCCATCCATCCATCCATCCAATGAAGTAACGAGGGCTGTATCTGAGCCAAGGCTCAGCACAGTTCCTTCCCAAAACAATTATGGTGATCCAGCCCCAAAGTATTCATAAAATGAATGTATCCCCAAGCATGCGTAGACTACCTCTCTTTCACCACTGGGTCATTCTATCCAGGTCTGATACTTCTCTGCCTCACATTAACAACTTCCACAATGGGGCACCAAAATCAGGTGGAATCCAAGGGCACACCTAGAGCAGCAATAGCTTATTAGGGAGTACGCTGCCCTGAATACCGTAGAACATTTCTATTTAAATATACATGGGATTACACTAGAAACCTAGGTACGTAGCTGTTAGCTTATTGAAGGGAGAGCAAGAAAAGATACAAATGGGGCAGAATTATTTGTTTTGGGAACTGACATTTAAAGAGTAAATTGTATCATGCAACAAAATGTAAATATTACATCAGCGTAAGGCTGTGCATACACCATACATTTAAAACACATGGCTTCTCCCAAATAATCCTGGGAACCATAGTTTTCAAAGAGTGCTTAGAACTGAAGCTGTGAGGGATAAGCTATAGATCCCAGAATTTGTGTGTGTGCCCTTAAATGTATGGTGTGTACACAGTCTGTTAAAAATTTTGTGAGGCGTTAACATAGACATTAACACAAGTAATTCATTTCTTGTATGTTGATAGCTGCATGATTAATAGTATCAACAGTTGTAATCCAATTTATGGTTCCTAGCAGTGGTAGAAAAAATCATGAAGAAATTAAAGCTCAGATTACTTATGACAACTTATTTGCAGTTTAGGGTACTTTATTTTCCACAAAAGGGAAAAAGGAAAAGGGAGGACTGTTCTGGCAGCATATTCACTACTCCAGAATGTGTAAATATTTCTAACATACCCTTGAGGTGCGAAACTGGACTGTAGGATGGGCACTTCAAGATTCAATAACACAAATCAGCATGAGTGCTCAATAAACAGGCAATCTGGAAGCGACCAAGGTATGGGAAGCTAATTATTTGCAGAAAACTCTGTAATGAAACAAAATTCAAAAAAAGGGGGGGGGGAATTCCCTCCCACCCACACTAAATGGCTCAACATCTTGTTACACACCGCCCAATGTCTGAGCGGTGTGAGATTCCAGGGGTACCAGGCATGCTTTCCAGGGTCTGTATTTCCTTTTGGATAATGAGACACAGCAGAGACTGTGGCGTCTTTATGATATATGGTTTATTTACACATATATACAACCTAAGCCTAGATGGAGAGAGTGCAGAACATTCACATCCTAAAGGAGCCCTGTTCCTTCCATTGCTGCAGCCTTTGATTCCAAGAGACCCTAAACATTGTGTCTCACCCTCTCTGCAGCAGAAAACAGATTACCCACCTCATGCTCTGCCCTATCCCCTCCAGTTTGCAAAAGGGACACTGTTTGCTTTCCTGTTTGCTTATATTATTGCCCACTACAACCCTGGAAACTTTCTCCTCCCAACTCTGGTACTATCTTTTGTTAATTACCTAGAGATCAGAGTGGAGTATTTCCTCTCTGTATCAGAGTATTTTGCCTTGTTGATGGTTTTAATTGGGATCAGGTGTTAAACAGGGTTGTGTTATTGCCCCAACTCTGTTCATTATTTTCATTGCCATGATCCTACACTTTGTCGAAGGGAAACTCCCCACCAGAGTAGAAATCATGTATCGAACAGATGGAAAGCTCTTCAATCTGAGCAGGCTGAAAGCAAAGAGTAAGGTTACAGTAACTTCCATCATAGAGCTTCAGTATGCTGATGACAAAGTAGTGTGTGCACACTCAGAGGATGACCAAGTCCAAACCATCCTAAATATCTTTGCAGAAGCTTACGAAAATATTGGCCTATCCAAAAAACCAAAGTGCTGCACTAACAAGTACAAAATAACCCCTCTGCAGCGCCACAAATCCAACTCAATGGTGTAACATTGGAAAATGTCAATCACTTCTCCTACCTAGGCAGTTATCTTTCCACAAGGGCCAGCATTGATGCCAAAATCCAGCATCGCCTGAGCTCTGCGAGTGTGGCTTTCTCCCGATCAAAGTGCAGAGTGTTCGAGGACCAGGACATTCGCAGGGAAACCAAAACGCTTGTTTACAAAGCTATTGTATTACCAACCTTACTATATGCTTGTGAAACATGGACCACTTATAAACGCCATCTCCAACTCCTTGAAAGATTCCACCAACGGTGTCTCTGAATTTTTTTTACACATTATTTGGGAAGACAGGTGAACTAATATTAGTGTACTGGAAGAAGCAAAGATCACCAGTGTTGAAGCAATGATTCTTCAACTTTGTTGGACTAGTCATATTGTGCGGATGCCTGATGATCGTCTTCCAAAGCAACTACTCCATTCTGAACTTAAAAATGGAAAGCTTAATGCTGGTGGTCAACAAAAGAGGTTTACAGACTGTCTCAAGGCAAATCTAAAAAAATGTAGTACTGTATAAACACTGACAACTGGGAAACACTTTCCTGTGAGCGTTCCACTTGGAGAACAGCCTTTACCAAAGGTGTCATGGGCTTTGAAGACATTCGAACTCAGGATGCAAGGGAGAAACGTGCTAAGAGGAAGGCACTCTTGGCAAATCCACACTGTGATCAACTCCCGCTCGGAAACCAATGTCCCCACTGTGGAAGGACGTGTGGATACAGAAAATTGGCCTCCACAGTCACTTATGGACTCATTGTTAAAACCGTGTTTATGGAAGACAATCTTACTCAGCTACGAGTGATCGCCAAAGAAGAAGACTTAATGACAGGCCATCATCAGCCTGTTCTTCCAATAGCCCCCATCCAACTAGCTCTGCAGGAGCTGGCCTGGCTCATTAGCAGGAACTAAATTTAATTCTTCTACTGAATTCAAAAATTATGGGTGACTTGCACTCACAAACTCTGGCACCCAGAACCTATAGCAATATTTAAATTTACTGTTAATGCAAAGTATGCAATCCATAAACAATTTAAGATTTAAAACTGCGGGAAATTTTCCACAGTACATCTTCAAGATCACTTAATCCAGATTAGTGGCCTGCTCATACCCACTTACCTCCCTGCCATATTTATAGTCATGGTGTCTATAGATTGGTAAAAGGTTGGATTTTCTACTGCCTTTTAGTGCACCTTTCTGGATGGAGTTATTTATGACAGTTGTTTGTTTACTTCTTTTTTTTATTAAATTTTCAGAAGTTTAACATATACACTGGAATATACTCTGTTTTCCGTGGTGTTTTTATTTCTCCCCCTCTGCCGAACCCTATCTTCTATCTCTTATACCATAACAATACTATAATAGCTTGTTTACTTATTTTAGTTCAACCCCTCTTTTCCATCCAGAAGGATCCCGAAGAGCAGGGGTTAAATAAATAAATAAGCAAATCATGATTGCTTCTATCCTGCTGGGCACTTAAAAACATTACATTCTTTTTTAAAGTATCTATTTCACCTTTCTGCATATGCACTCGAGATAGCCATGGTTACAGGACCAGAGTCTGTTAACTATTCCAGAATAATTAACATACGAGTACAAGAGTGTGTGATCACGTATATATGTTCTTGTGGTGTAGAGTGGATGAGAGGTACGGGGAAGGGAAGGACTGGCAAGAGAAGAGTTGGAACAGGGAGTGACTGGATTAATTGCCTTTTCAATGAAAGTATTTATTTATCCAGAAAGTAAAGTGAAGCTCAAGGGCAAAAATGGAAATCATAGCACAAGTTTAAAAATAGTCCCAGACGGATTCCCACTAATTGCCTGGTTTACAAAGAGGCATCTGAATGAATAGGCAAGTGGTAGAGTAGAATTCAGGCTGCAAGGAGTGGCGGGGAGGTGTACAATTTTTTTATCTTCTCCTACATTAAAACAAAAAACAAAACAAAACAAAAACCAACCAAATATCTCCCTACAAGTAAAGGGAAACTATTAGCATATTAGAGAGAATGCTTATAGTCCAGGCTTCAAGGGCACTGCTAGGTACTGCTAGTGTTATGAGAGAAGGGAGTAAAACCTTTTTCCTCTCTACTTTCTCATGTATAATTTTATACACTTCTATGCACGTCACCTCTTACTCACCTTTTCTCTGAACTAAAAAGCCCCAAATGTTGTAACCTTTCCTCCCCATAGGGGAGTTGCTTCATCCCTTGATTATTTTGGTTGCCCTGTTCTGAATTTTTTCCCAACTTTGCAATATCCTTTTTCGGGGGGGGTGTGTGTGTGACCAGATCATAGCTGTCAAGTGTCCCTTATTTGAAGGGACAGTCCCTTATTCCAGCGCCATGTCCCGCTGCTGTCCCTTATTGATAGATGTCCCTTAAATGATGTCCCTTAAATTTCAAAGGAAGCAGCTCCTCTCCCTCCCTCCCTCCCTGCTGGCCAGGGAGGTGGGAGGCTCCAACTGTGTTGCTTAGCCAACACTGGGTGTTGCTCACCCAATAAGAAGTCTAAGAATGACTGGGGGGTGGAGCTTGCATGCCTTGTGTGTGGCTAGTTAATGCAAGCTGAGGGGGGGTTTGAATGCTGGACGCCATTTTGTTGCACATGCTGCTGCAAACTTTGCAGTGCAAAGCCAGGCTGGGGAGCCATCTTAAGTTGAGGCTGCGTAGGCCTTGTGGTGCATGTGATTCAGATTCTATTCAGTTGAACCTCTGGTTACAAAGTTGGTTGGACAGTGTTCTTGAAGCTACCAGCATGAGTTTGACCAGACTGCAGGAGGACAGGAAGACTGGAGTGCCTGGAACAGGTGAGGCTGCAGGTCCCTTATTTTGGCTGCTGGTCCCTTATTTTCAAATCTGTAAGTTGACAGCTATGGACCAGATCCAAGGCTCCACAGGATATCAATGACTACTAGTCATGATGGCTACAGTATGTTCTCTCTCCACTGCTGATGGAAGCTGGATAGGGAGAGTGCTGTTGGACTCAAGTCCTGCTTTCAGACTTCCCATAGACATCTGATTGGTCGCTGTGGGAACAGAATGATGAACTCGGTAGGTCTTCTTATGTTGACAAACAAGACCTGGGACATGGGGCCACCCCCATGTCTGCTTCCTGGTATACTACTTTTCTACTTGCAGGATTTTTTTGACAATGTGCAGGATCCTCCATCAGGATTCAGATGTAATATAGTTAATTCTTCCACCTCAGAATGCCAGCTACTCTGCATGCACAGAGCAAAACTATCATAGAACTAATCTATCCCTTATTTCAGCTGATCCCCCAACCTGATTCTTGGACACCAAAAAAATTACAGGACTCCACTTTACAAAACCAAGCTCTGAGCACACAAGCAAAGCCATGGCAAAATTCAGCCAAAGTTCCACATTTTGGAGTCTTGACATATCAACCCCATCAGAGGTGTGACTCCTAATGAAAGTGTGCTAGTAAAATATAAATACTGCTCATTCACCTTGACTGGAAAATGGGTTTAAGTATTGAATGACACACACATATAAAGGGAGAGCTAGAGACTTGCAATGTTGTGAGGTTCCCCAAGCAGAGCTGTCATCCACAACCAGAAACTGCAGTGCCATGATGTACACCGACCCAGCTATCTGAATAGTCTGAGGCTGCCCTCTTATGTTAACCTGATTTATTCTGTGGGAGGGTAAGAAGAGGCAGGAAAAGGCTTGCTTATAATGCTATTGCATCTCCCAGTTCCCAAGGATGTGTGCATTTTCTGTTTTAAGATTGCCTCCTTGCAACCATGAGGACTAGAAACTATGTTTTAACCACTACCCCTTTCCTCATCCATAACCATGAAGGCTAGAAACATAACTTGTCTGGTTAAGAGTATCAAACTAGGATCTGGGAAGCCAAGGTTCAAATTCCCACACAGCTATAAGGTCACACCCACACCATATATTTAAAGCACAATTTTACCATTTTAACAGTTACGGGGAATATTGGGAACTGTAGTGGTTTTTTTTTAGTGTGCTGGGAATTGTAGCTCTGTGAGGTCAGCACCCTTAAGAAAACTGTTCCTAGGATCCCCCATTACAGTTGAAGTAGTATAATAGTGCCTTAAATGTATGGTGTGGATTTGAAGCTCAGTAGTGTGCCCTAACCTGCCTACAAGGTTGCTATGAGGATAAAATGAGGAGACCATGTAAGCTACCATGAGCTCCTTGGAGGAAAAGATGGGCTATAAATGCAATGATAAGTAAAAAGTGATAAACTTGTAGACATGGAACCCAGCATTTCCCCCATATCAATATGGGAATTATATCCTGCCCTTCACTAAAAAGTCACAAAAAGAATATTGAATAAAAACGTAATATTCTAGTTTTGAATGTATAACTGGAAGGCAGCGGGGGAAGTTTATAATTTGCCAGTCGAGCAAAAAATAATAATCAAAATTACTAATCATTTCTCCTCCATACAAAATTTCCCCTCAGAGTCGAGGGGCTGGTGCAAAGTTCCCCCTTTTTCCGAAACAGCCCTCTTCCTGCCCCATCCAAAGCCTGTCATATTTCCCTTCGCGGTGCCTCATTATCTCCCAGCCCTCGCGAGCTTCCTTTCTGAAACAGTCTCCATGGCAACCAGCAGCAGTGGGACAAACTGAGCGAGGGATGTGGTTTGGCAAGGGCCATTGGCGATGGAAAGTTGCCATGGCAACCCTCCCGCGTCGTCGATCCTTTACGTACGTCGCCTCGCGCCCGCCCCGCGCCGGGCAGCTACGAAGTCTCACACTGCGCATGTGCCTAGAACTAATCTTGAGGGTGCTAAAACGAGAGGCTTGAGAGGGAGGGGGGAGGAAGGAAGGAAGGAACTGTTAATTTCGCACATGCGCAGTGCGAATGCAGGCCTGTAAGGTAAAGGGATGGGCTTACCAGAAGGGGTGGGGCTTAGGGACTGCTGGGATCCTATGTATGGTTTGAGTAAATCTGGAGAGGGAGAAGCAGGGGGACCTTGAGGGGTTTGTGTGATTGTGAGCTGATAATTCGGAGTCACGTGACTTTGCAGGATTTCCAGTGTGGCCTTCCAGGACATGGGGGGCTTGGCACATTCAAAGGAATTTGGCATGACTTGTAGGGGTTGCAGTGTGACTGAGCCCCATAGCCTCATGGCTACATGGGGGGTTTAGCGTGATCTACCAGGACCTAGGGGGTGGTTCAGGTGCCTTGGCATGGTTATAGAGAACTTTGGTGAGGTCAGGCTTTGGGGTCACCTGCTGAGTCTTTGGAGTAGTTGCGTACCTCCAAACACATTAGTATTGGGATTTTAGTATTATGTTTATATCCTACTTTTCCTCCAAGGAGCTCAAGGTGGTGTATATGGCTCTTCCCTGCCCCTATTTAATCCTCAGAGTAACCCTGTGAGGTAGGTTAGATTGATAAAACAATGGCTGGCTTAAGGTTGCTCAGTGAGCTTCACAGCTGAGTGGAGTTTTGAACCCTGGCCTGCTGGGTCTTACAGTCTAACCACTACACCGCACTGCCACATCCTGTTAGGGTCCTTGGAGCTGCTAAACATCATATGCCCTCACAGGGTCTTAGCATGATCTTCAATGATATTGGCATGAGCTGTGACCCTTCACTTGGTTGATACCTGAACTCTCATGTCCTGGATCTGGTACATTAAAGCTTTGGCATAACATGCTGGCAATAGGTCATGGAAGCAGTTAGGACCTTTGGTGCATTTACTTGGTGCCCACCAACAATATACAATGCTAGGTGGGGTTGCCATCTCTTTTTCTAAGTATCGCTGTAGCATGGAACACAGAAATTAAGCAGATGAAGCACTTCCTGAGGAGAAGGGGCGGGGGCAGTAAATAGAAATATAGCTACTAAATTCCTGCTTTCTCGGGCTGTTGTGATTAGAAATGCACACAGCAGTAGTTGTAGGCAGCTGACATTCTGACCTGAGAAATCCATGGAACAAGATGACCTGACAATTATGATGATATGTCCTGGTAGAGCCTTAGGTACATCTGAAAGTATTAGGACCCTGTGTGGCATGGTGGAAAGTTAAAGGACTGTTGTATGTAGGGCTGGGGGGCAGGGATTGCAAAGTATAAGAAAGGGTAGGAAAAGGAGAAAAAAATGTCTAAACTAACCAGATGTTCCTAGATAAGCCTTTTCTCTGCGTGTTTGACTTTCATGACTCTTATAACTCATTAGACCCTACTACCTTCCCAGTAGATTCAGAAGCTATTGCTCTATAACTCATACAAATTTAACCTCCCTTTATCTTTGAGAATTCAAAATCACTTGCTCTTTCTGGGCTCTAAGACAGCAGTCTCATTTGAGCACATTTGGATCTCGGGTCCACCATAACCTTCAACCCCTGCTTTACCTTATCAAATAAACCCTGGAGTCCTCTTCTACTTTTGCCCCCTGTTTTAGCTGGCCCTCTAGATTACCCTTTTAGAGAACCCAGGAATCCTCATAACGCCTTCCTAATCAGTTGTATGTAACCTGCTCTCTTTTTCCTCTCCTCTTGCCCTTCCTCATTCATTAGGGCTGGTGAAGAGCTGATGCATTTCCTGGAGACGGTTGCTAACAACTGAGTTGACAAAGGCAACGTGTGCTGTTGGCAGGAGAGCCCAGGAGTTTGTACCACAGCATCCCCCAAACAGATTGCCTGTACATAAAGTGCATAGCTGTCAGAGTGGCTCTCCAGTAGAGAGCAAAGGTACTTCTAGTTAATGCTTTTGGAGCGGGAGTTGGGGCTGATTTAATCCAGTTCACAGTTGCTGAGAAAGCTGCATTTTTATACAGATTTTGGATAAGAGGGTGTTTAGGTATAGTGGGAAAACAGGCACGGGATGAATTTGGATGGAAAGGGAGGGAATGGTATGTATATGAAGAAGGATGAGGTAGATGTGTGATTTGAAAAGAGATGAGCGGATTTAAGTGTGAGCAAAATTTAGTGAGTGCTAATGCATTATGCTGCTTGCTGTGGTCGTAAAACTATTGGATGGGATATATTTAAGAAGTAACATGGTGTGTGTGTCTGTGTGTCTTGTGCTAAGTACCAGAGGTTATTCTGTTTCAGGAAGGGTGGTTCTACTAAGATGTTACTTACAGCAGCAGCATTTTTGTGGTCATTCAGCTGGACCACAAGAAAGCAATAAAGGCAACAAAGGGAAATGCTGCATGCACACCTGATTTTAGTTTAAATGTTCATTTTTAAAATGAAAAGTGGATTGTCCTTTTCACCACACAGGCACCCACAGTGGAATTGTTTAAAAAACAACAACCACAAAACCCTCCAGCCCTGCTAATTACATTCATAGTTTTTCAGCCAATAAAATGTGAGGCAAAAGAGGTGGGCATTACAAGGTTTATACATCCTCTGTGTTACTGAGAAGTTGATCTGTTAAGACACTAGTTTTAAGGGCTTGTTGTTACATGGTTGGCTGTTGCATTAGAGACTGCTTAAAAAGTTTTCACTCTGCAGCTGTATCGTGTGAGAGCCTTGCCAGTGTTCATATCACCCACACTGTATGGCTTACCCCTTTCTTGTATTTTGTAGCCTTGCAAATACAGACCCTCCAAGTGTTGCTATTTTCCAGGGACAGTTCCAGATTTACAGAAGCCATTCCAATTTTGATTTGATCCTGGAATGTCCTGCTTTTCCTTAGGATGTCCCTATTTTCACTGGAGAAATATTGGAGGGTGTGGTAGGGTGTCCCTATCTTCATTGGAGCTATGTGACCCCCGAGCCAAGGAGATAAGTAACTATACAACTATTAGAAGACACCTGAAGGCAGCCCTGTATCGGGAAGTTTTTAAATGTTTAATATTTTATTATGTTTTTATATATGTTGGAAGCTACCTAGAGTGGCTGGGGCAACCCAGTCAGATGGGTGGGGTATAAATAATAAAATGATTGTTGTTGCTGCTGTTGAACAGGTTGCCCCTGTTTTCATCAGAGAAATGTTGGAGGATATGCAGATAAGTCTGCCCAAGTTTCTGGCCCACAACTTTTTTTAATGCTACCACCTACGTTAATCATTTGTTTTAAGTAATTTATATATTGCCTTTTTAGCCCAAAGCCCCCCTAGTTTTGATGTCTTAACACTGAAAGAAAGAGGGAATTCTTGTAAAGCTTCCTGGGTATAGGCATCTTGAGGCTGTTCTCTGCCACCTCAGGCAAGCAAGGAAATGATTATATTTATAAGTCTGGGCTCTTGAACGTTACTGGTACCTTTAGAAGTCTTTCAATGCTTCTTAAGGAACTATTAGGTGAAGTCTCATGGTCAGAAATATTCAAAGAGAAGATAATTCAAGATGGATGGGAGTTTCTTAAAGGTGAAATACTGAAGGCACAAATTGTCACTCAGGTGGCACAATGGGCCAGTGTACCTGGCTGTTAACCAGAAGTTTGGTGGTTTGAAGCCACCCAATGATGGCTGTGGGCAGGATTCCTGCATTGCAGGGGGCTGGACTAGAAGACTCTTGGGACCCTTTTATGATTCTATGATTCTGTGTAACGGATAGAAGTATGCTGGCTATTGCAGCAGAAGAGACTGCATATGAAGTACTGAGTTAGAATGAAGTTTACTTTTTAAAACCTGCCTTTCAGGGTGCATTGATCTCGCAAGGCAGTTTGCCAGACTCTAAAACACATGAAAATATAATTGCCACGAACAAAGCAGAGCCCTGAATTAGATGCATGCAGCTGGTTAGAGGTTTCTGTGGCGTTGTGCACGCTGGTAGGATGAATGTCAGTTGGCGGGAGAAAATGTTGGATTGCCATTTTATTTGTGTGCTTTAATTTGGATTTATTTATTTTTTATTTAGGGAGCTCAGAATACAGAATAGAGGTGTCTTGCTCCCTTGCCGTTAATAGTCCTAGCACCCCTGAGGTGTGGCAAGAGATGATGGCAAGTGTGGCAGAAAGATTTGTGGACAATCAAAGAAACATTTAAACACTTCAGTGTAGCGTAGTGTAGATTAGTATCAAAATATTTGTTTTTTTATTTGCAGAATATGGATGGATAGTTTTTCATAATGTTGTGTTCATTGTTATAAATCAAGCACTGCTAGGAGTTCTTTTTGTTTTCCATTGTATTTCTTATCAATAAAAAAATCAGTGTGGCACAAGCAAATTTTTATTCTGAAAGCCTGGCCCAGAAAAAAAAAACTTTGAGAACCACTGGACTAAGATGTAGTGTCTGGCCATGGGCGTAGCCAGGATTTTCGTTAGGGGGGGAGAACTGATGTGATTGGGCAGTTAAGTATTTCTGTTGTTTTACTTGATCTAGAGGGGGACAGCTGCCCCCCCCTTGGTTAAGCTCATGTGATTGGCCCAAGATCAGACTGGGAAATGTCATGGCGAGCAGTGTTCCAACCTGGGTCTCCCCGTTCATATGTTTTATGCAGTATGCTGCACTGTTTTCCATGAATGAGTTATTTTATGACAGTGATTCTCACCTGCTAGCCTCCCACTTTGTTTTATCATTTTTTTTCCACCAGCAGGAAGAAACCGAAGATGCCGTTCTTCAAATCTGCTTCAAGCCTCCGCTCAGATGGCAGTGACGTGGACTTGGAAGGCCTTGGTAAATTCCTATGGAGGGAAGTGAGGATACCGCTGTAGGAACACTTGCATAGCCAGAATTTGCACTTGGGAATATTGTTGTGGGAAGCTTGTAACACTAGAGTCCCTGGATGCAGCTTGTGATGTGATCCCAGTGTCATTTGAATGGAAAATCCCCCCCACACACATTGGAATAGGGAAACAGAAAGGTCATTCTCTGGCCCACTTTCTCCATTCAGTTTGCTTTTACTAAGTCTGTGCACATAAAAGTCTCCTTGGATTGGATTAAGTCTCTCTGGATCCAAGACATTCTGTTTCTGACAGCTGGCCAGATGCTTTTGGAAACTCACAAGCAGAACATGGAAGTGACAGTCCCTATTTTGTCCCAAACATCTGGTATTTAGAGGTCTACTTTCTCTGAACAGGAAGACATCCTTTAATAATGATAGCTGAAGTCTGGATTTGGTGAGGGCCTGCCCTGATTTTGCTTAGCTCACTGCAATATTGTTTCCACCAATGTGATTATTCCAGGCTGAAATCCATATATATTCTTGCTCTTCCCATAGTGTTTTAGCGGCTGCTGTTTTCCCTCACAGCATCCTTCCACCCCCAAACTTTGTGAAATATCAGCAGAGCACTCTTGCTGTCTCACAGAGCAGTTTAAACTTTTGAAGTTTGGGGTTAGTGCAGGCTTTTCTGAATTGCTGCATGCTTTAATGCATTGACAACATGTGGATATTCAGCTGACGTTATGGCAAACGTTCTTGTGGTTAGGGAACTTCCCATGACACTTCTTAGCCTAAGTCTCTGCTATAAAGCACCCATGTCATCATATATATATATATATATACACACACATATATATATACATATACATATACATATTTGGCATTTTTATAAAGGGTTTTCATGGACAATATTGCTGTGGTCTTAGGCCAGTGCATGTATGTAGAAAGCTATGAAACCAGCAATAATAAATATTTTTACTGAGAAGATTTATGCTAGTAGCTCACTGTCTGCAGTGAAATGTGTATAACTACATCAGACTCACTGAAACTGATCCCAGGTTGAAGCAAACTGAAGGTACCAGACAGTTCTGCAAAATCTGATACAAAAATAAAGCTAAGAGGCTATCTCCTTCTTTGACAGCTACATGAAATAATATATATTTCCTTTCAGTTTTTGCCAGGGTGACTAGGAAGGAGTTGGGGGATATTTTTCAAGCCAAGCAAAAATGTTGCTAAAGGGGACTGCTTTTGAAAGGGAGCAGAGGGATGAGAAATAAGGCCTTTGTATCCAAAGAATGAGGCCAAAGAGACAGAACCAGGGCGCCTTGGCTGTTTTCCACATGTCTTGGTTAGCTTGTAAGAATTACTCTTTGAACTAGGCCTCTTAAGTGAATGTTGGCTTTGAAAAGCAGCAGGGACTAAATTAAAGTAGCGGAGGTACAAATTGTCCAAATCCTCGCTAGCATACGGGGGACACATGTGGGCATGAGTCAGTGGCTTTGTGAGGATCCAGAGACTGAGTCATTCGCTTTGCTGGGAGTGAACAAAAAATGGCAGTCGAGGAACAAAACAAGAGCCTGTCTGCCGCCAAGGGACCAGATGTCCATAAGGCTGGAGTGTAGAATAAAGGTTGGTCTGTTCTTGGCACTATTAGCACCTGCTCAGAAAAGCAATCATGTCCTGATGAAGAGGGAACAGGTATTGCCTCGCTCCCCTGGCTGCCTCCCCTGAAGGACAGCACAGCCTCTTCTGTTCCTCAGTCCTTTCCACAATCCATTCCTGATAAACCGCACTGAATGATCAAAGCATGCCACACATCAGGGCTGCCTAGATCAGGAGCGCAAAAGCAGCTCTACCAATTCCTCCCAGAACTGACCAAGCTCTGTAGACTCAAGGATTCCCTGGGTCCAGGAACCTGATAGTGACCAAAGAGACCTATCATTTGGCTACATGGAGGTCATTGATACTTGCGTGTGTGTTTCTTCTTTAGAGAATTGAAGGCTCTTTGAAAGAAGGATTGCTGTGTACACTAAGGCTGTATATACACCATACCTTTAAAGCACATTCTTTCCCTCAAAGAATTCTGGGCATTCACATACCGCCCAACATTTATCCAATGAAAATAGGGATGTCCCATTCCTTAATGATAATTTCACTATTCATACCCCACACATCTGACTGGGTTGCCCCAGCCCCTCTGGGAAGCTTCCAACATACATAAAAAGGTAATAAAACATTGAACATTAAAAAACTTCCCTATACAGGATTGCCTTCAGATGGCTTGGGGGGTCAGATAACTCCATACCCACCAACATTTCTCCAGTGAAAATAGGGACATTCTAAGGAAAAGTGGGACATTCCAGGATCGAATCAGAAACCGATCCTTCTCTAAATTGGGGGCGTCCCTTCTCTAAATTGGGGGTGTCCCTGGAAAATAGGGACACTTGGAGGGTCCACACTCATTGAGTTATAATTCTCAGCAACCCTTAACTAACCACATTGCCCAGAATTCTATGAGGAAAAGCATGTTCTCTGGCATGCAGGTCTTGGAGGCTTTTTTATTGTTGCAGGAACCTGCAAAACCTGTTTGTTCAGAAGTGACATTGGGACAAAACCTGTGGGCATGTTCATGGAAAGTGAAGCCTCTCTCAAACCCCTTTTGGCTCTCTTAAAAACAGCTGTTTGTCTCAAGCCTAACAAAGCCAACTGGAGCTCATTATATAAATGGAATACCACTGGTAGTCATTAAGTTGCTCATGATTGTGCTCATCAAATCTGTGCCAAACACAGCAGGGAAGTTCCCTTCTTTCTGTAATCCTGGACCACATTAGTCTCTGCCCTAATTCTTGTGCCAGGTGTGATAGGTGGGGTCTTTAAGAGAAGGCCATCATGCTGGACTTTCTAACCACCTTTCTTTTCTCTGTCTCCCCAAACCACCTGTTGCTTCACTGGCTTTGTGTCCCACTAGCCGAAAGCGAGTTAGCCAAACTCCAGCGCCAGTTTCGTCTCCTTGAAGGCAACCGTCATGCCTACGCTTTCGAATCCCATGAAATCATTCGCAGGCAGAAGTATGTATTCATCTCATATCCTTGCTAAAATTCTGGATCCATTTTGGAGATCCATTTTGTTTTTCCTTGTTCACAGCAGGAACGTCATGGTTTTACTGTCCTCTTACGCCGGAGATGGACATAGTTCTTTAGATAGCTGGAAATGGTCTGGGAGAGACCATCACAGTGTATGCATTTGGGTTTTGGAGGCTATACCAAATCCTGCAAAATATTTTTATTGGGGGCAAGAATGAGCTGTGCGTGCACCATGAGGTGATCCCTCTTTTACATCATATTCAGATTTCTAAGAGAAACAAGCCTGTTGCCCATCACCAGCCTTAAACTGCTTTCATTGGACCAGTTGTCTAACCTTTAGTTTTCAGTTGTGCCACAATTTGATGAGAGAGCGGTATATAATCGCATTGAGGGGTGCTATCTCCTGTCCATTTTTCTTGGCACAGAGCACAGCCTGTCATCTCTTGCTCTGAAACATCCAGTTTTGGATTTGGGGAGCATTTGAATATTGTACATCCTACTGCAAGGAGAGAGCTGTAAGCTGAGCATTAAGAAATAATCCCCACCTCATGTACTGAAGCAGATACTGACTTAACACAAGGGCACATAGCAACTGATATGCTCCTGGCAACACACAGCTGACAATTGGTTTGGTCACATCATGTGTGGACATGTTTGTGCATATAACCTGCCTTTCTTTAGCACATGCAGCTGAATTCCATCTCCCACAATCTATCACATATGTGTACATGCATGTACAAACATTTGATTCTTGCCATTATGCGCTTTGGCACGCTGACATGGTTTCAGATCTTGTACTCATGCTTCTGTGTGTCCAACCTCTTCCTGCCCCTTTAGTATAAAACGTTCCCAGAGAATTTAGGATTCTTCTCTCTCTTTGTACTCTGGTTTAGATCACTTAATGAACGTTACTCATCATCCCTGCCCCTGAGAACCTTGAAGTTCTGGCCTTCTACCCTGACCTACAAAACATAGTACTTTCTTTGTAGGGAAATCAGAAATTCTGTGTTCCCAACACTGCTTGTTTCATAGGGATGTAAAGGCACAAGAAGTCATCCCAAGGCCTGAAATCTATTGTGTCTTTTTACACAGAGCAGCTAATTTTGAACTGTTGAAGCCTGCTCTCTTTTGAGAGTATATCCTGTCCCGATTCTCCCCTTCCCCATTCCATCTTGTCCCATCCGGAGTTGGTGAGATGCATGCTCAGATTCAAATCGCCAGCTTTCCAGGAGTTTCTGTAGCAGTGTCTCAAAAGCTCCTCTGAGCTGGCGCTGCCACCAATCCCAACCAAAACTCACCAGCACACCTGCTGCCATGGCGCTCCGGTACGTGCCCATGCAGCTGTGTCTCGCCGTGTCATCCTGCCGCCCCTCAGAGTCTCTGCCCCTCCTCTCTTGGACAGGGCAGAGATAAAGCGCCTGGAGAAGGATAACAAAGAGCTGCTTCAGAGGCACGCTGTGGCTGAGAGCAAGGCCAACGCACAGCAGGAAAAGGTCCACGGTGACACTCTCCGTTCCTTGTTGGGACAGCGGGATGAAGTGAAGCAGCAAATAATTCAAGAGAAGAAGCAGGTAGCCCTGCTTGATAAAGAGGTATGGAGAAGGGAGCTAAGTACCAAGTTGCTTGGCATTTATTGATGTGAAGTAGTGTCCTGTGCTAGGATTTTGAAGCCTTCCAGGTGGGGAGTGGAGTATAATAGCAGGTACAGAGAACAAGTAGTGTGAAGTGAGGCCCTGAGAGCAGAATGGAAGTCTCTAAGAAAAATATTTTTTCCTTCACTTTCCCCCACCCCCCAAAAAAATCCAGGCGAAGAGAAACTCCAGAAAGGAGAGGAGGATCTTTTGGGTTAAAAATGGGTGTGAGGGCTTTAAAAAATGCAGAGGGAATTGGCAGCTAGGACTTCAGGGTCGAATTCATTAGAACAGGGGATCCAAGAGCCAAGGATTCTTTAGTCCTATCCCAAATACTAGTTTCTCATCCCATTTCCCTGCTTTCATTCTTCATTTCTGACAGATCGAAAACTGGAACAAGCGTTTGACTGACCAGAAGCTGGTGGTGGGCACTGGGACCCTGATCCAGGAACAGAAGGGCAACTTGCTGAAGCGAATAGGAACAGTTGAGAATCAGCTTGACCGGGTAAAAATGGTTGCAAGTGCCCAGGGTTTCTGAGAGCCAGGATTCTTGGCTTGTCTTCAGTTTCTCACTCCACTTTTCTATTTCCAGACCACCACAGAATTCAATTCTCAGCTCGTCTTGAATTCACAACTACGTGAGGATCTAGAAATTCTCCGGCTTGAACACGATCGCTTCGAACAGCTTTATAAACGTCTAGAGACGGTACATTCACACTAAGAGAAAATTGAGGAGAGTTGACAGGATGTAATTGCCCAAGAGAGTTTCTGAGAGGGACTGGAGTCGTGATATAGACTAATGAAGGTTCTGTTATAGAATTGTGAGATCTGGTTGCTTGGAGAGAACTCCAGCATGGAATGGAAGGATATGATTAACTGTTGAGAGTGGTATTAAAAAAAAATCAGGGCTTTTTATTGGCTGGGAGAGAATCACAAAGCTAAACCATGCATTTTGGAAAGTATGTTTTTACTTACTAAACTAGGGATTGTAACTGACCAACTAGATTCTGACAACAGAAATTATGATGCCCCCTGCCTTATTCCTATCCTCTTGGACCTAAAGATTTCTGATTTTTGGGTTTGACAGGGCAGGGTCTGAAGGCCAATTCACAGGACCTCTTTAACACTTGCAGATTCATGTGGAGTTTAAATTTATGGACTGTGCATCTGCTGTGGTGTGGATGACAATGGTTAGGAAAGAAGGGAAGAGCTGTGATTGGGCTACAGTGAGGAGATAGAACTTTGTGAACAGGATGGTATGGCTGTGGTGCAATTAGGGACTAGATCTGAAGGCTTCCTCTCTCTCTCTCTCTCTCTCTCTAGGAGCTGTTGGAAACTCGTAGAGCCATTGGCGCAGTCATCAGCACATCCTCTGCAGCCTACGAAGCAAGGTTGGGGGAAGGGGAGTACTCAAGCATGCTGGGGCAGGGAGGAGTGTCCCTGCAGAAACCTTGCTCATGTTCATACCCTGGTTCTTTGTTGCTCTTCCATTGTCCTGCTGCCTCCACCCATTCATGTGCTGTGACAACTTAATCAGCAATAGCCATGCTCCCTCCAAGTCCTAGCTTCTAAGCATAACTCTAATATAAAAGACAGGGCTATATATCCTCTGCGCTAAAATGGAAATTCTGCTTCAGGGAAACAAAAATTCTGCACCAGGAAAAGCAGGATTCTGTGACCTGTGCAGCATGCCTGAGGAACCTTTTTGGCTCTGTAGGTCAGATCCAAGCCACACAGGCCAAATTTGACATGCGAGCAGGGCTGCAGATGTCACATAGTTGGGACTTCACGGCACCACCCAAAGCTTGCAAAGAGCATTGCACGGTGCTTAAAAGAATGCGAGGCTTTACCGAACCATCAGGTGATGGGGTGGTAGAGCCAAAGCCTGCTTTCCCTTTCCAGTGCACAAAGGAGTGCACTTTGAGGCTCTTGATTGCACATCACATAGGAGATCAGATAGGGGCCAGTGGGTGTGACCCGCGGGCTGTAGGTTTCCCACCTGTGTCATATAGGAGGAAGGTAGGAAGCTGCTTTCTACTGAGTCAGACCATAAAGACCATCGGTTCATCAAGCTCAATATTGCCTGTATTGACTGGCAGCAGCTCTCCTGGGTTACAGATGGGAGTGTCTCCCAGCTGTGCCTGGAGATGGGACTTGGAACCTTCTGCACACAAAGCAGAGGCTCTTCCACTAAGCTCCACTACCTCCCCATAGAAATGTATGCAGACCTGCAGCATTTATGCTTAATTTTGCATAGCTACATTTGCCAGTGGTGGGCAGGGGAAAGGAGCTGTGCATAGCGCTGAAGCACCCTCCCAACATCGTGACTTGGATGTTGGGTGTTTGGCCATAGGAGTCGGACCACTGGCCCATCCAACACTGTCTGTTCCTAACTGGTTCAGGCTTTTCCCCAGCCTTGTTGTCCAAGAGCCTATTATTATTATTATTATTAAAATTTTGTATACTGCCCTATACCCACAGGTCTCAGGGCAGTTCACAACATAAAATCATATTATAAAAACACAAAATACATAATAAAAACAAAAACAAGGACAACCCAATAACCCCCCTTCCCCAACACATTTTTAAAGGGCATTGGATGTTTATCAGCCAAAGGCTTCATTGAAGAGGAACGTTTTCCCCTGGTGCCTAACGGAGTACAATGAAGGCTCCAGTGAAGCCTCTGGGGAGAGCATTCCACAGACGGGGAGCCCGTTCTCACGTTGCCACCCTCCAGACCTCTTGTGGAGGAGGCACATGAAGAAGCTGGTGGTAGCTGGAGCTCTTAGCTGGAGGTGGAAGCTGGGCTCAGACTTGAGAGCTGCTGGATGGAAAGCATGTGCTGTCGCCTTTCCCCATAGGACTTTCCATTAGAGTGGACCAGGCCATCAGCGCATCGAACACAATGCACTGTCAGTCCTGACTTATGGCCGCTCTCCAGTATCATGGACTGAGGCCTTTCCCAGCCTTTTCTACCTGAGATTCCGTAATTGGAGATGGCAGCAGTTGAGCATAGGACCTTCTGCATGCAGAGATGTTTTATGCCCGGGGAGCTGTGGCCTCTCCTAAATGGTGAAGTAATATCTGAAACAAGGCCTTCCTGCCTGTCACTCAAGCTCTTCATCGTTATGCTAGATTTCAGGGGTGGTGAAGGAATGGGGATAAGAGCATGAAGAAAAGTTGGGAAGTGGAATTGCTGGTGGTTCTCTCTCACATATCCAAACCTTGTCCCCATCCCATTTGTCCACTGGGGTAAATATAGGGATGAGGCACATACGCGCCTAGGCCAGCTGCAGGACAAGGCAAAGAAAGATGTAGCGCAATATGAATCGGAGATGAAAGAATTATGCCGCCAGATAGAGAATGACCAGCGCTTGAATGATTTCATTTCCGTCAAGCTGCAGGAGAGGACATTGACGGAGGAGGCACTAAAGGCCAAGCAAAAGAAAGGTTTGTGTGTGTGTGTCATATATGGTTAGGGGCTATTTATTGAGTCATTCATTCATTCCCACATGCCCAGAAGTGGTCTTGTGGCAAGACAAAACAGGTACAGAACAAATAGAAACTAAGCAATGGCTCAGGTGGCCTCAGTGATTTGGAGTGCCAGTTTCCAGCTCTGGCTCGTTTGTTAGCCATGGACCCTTTTGGACAGAAATAACTTGGACATTGCTACCCATGCTCTGGCAACTTCAGAACTGGATTATTGCAACATGTTCTCTGTAGGGCTGCCCTTGAAGATGACTTGGGAGACTTCAGCACGTCCAAAAGACAGCTACTGGCTGGGGATCCATTTAGAACTCACATAGCCAGTTTCAAAACAGGTGCATCGGTTGCCAATTCATTTCTAGGCTCAGTTCAAAGTGCTCATGCTAGGATTTAAAGTTTTAAATGACTTAGGCACCAAATGTATGAAAGACCCGCTTGCTTCCCTACAGACCCTCTCCAGGATTTAGAATGTCTTAGGGTAGTTCCACCATCTTCAGAAGTTGAGGGGGACAGCCCAGGAGAGGGCATTATCTGTGGCAGCCCCTGAACTATGTTCCCTTCCCACAGATGTGTGTCTTGCACCTTCGCCATGTGGCTTTCATCATTTGCTGAAGATGGAGCTCTTTATCCTGGCCTCTGACGCCTGAGATACATATCTCAGGGTCCACCCTATTCTCTTAATTGTATTCTGTTTTAACTGTTCTTAATGTTGTATTTTTAAATTGTTGTAACCTTCCGTGGGAACTCACGATGAAAGGCAGTTAGAAAATCAAGATGTCCTGAATAATAATACGTAATGAGCAAAACTAAAAGTTATGTATTAAATTCCACAAAAGCTTGTAGTAAATTCCCCCCACAATAGCAAGATCACCATACGGTATAACTTACCAACAGCAAATATCACCAGCAGCCAAGAACTGCACAATCAGACGCTTGTGAGAAAAGCGCCAGTCTTTGCTTTGTCTGGTGCCAGGAGTATTCCTTGGCCTTTGGGAGGCAAGTGTGTGTTGTGGTTTATAGTGGAACAGCTCAGAGCCAGGACTGCTGGATTCTCTGGGAAGAATTTTGTGAATTAAAGCAGAGGATCTTGGGGGGTTAATACCTAATCAGTCTGTGTTATCTTGTTACCCCCCCCAAACACACACACACACACACACACACACACACACATTTTAATGAACTTTTTTGTATTCAGACAAATAGTTGGCTAAAGAGTATGGCTGCAGCCCAATTAAAACATTTTAATAAGTTATCATGTGAGTTTT